TTCATGATCAATTGTTTTGGCTGATAATTGGACAAAACTGGTTGCACATTGATCAGGATCAGGACCTTGTTCATTATAAAGCTCATAATGAAGGTAAAAAAATTGACTATTCAATTTGCCTCTTGAAATTAGGAAAAACAAAACTTCAACACCGTTAATTTGTGGTGTAGCTTGAATGCTGATTAATGGATGCTAATTAAAAATGAGCATTGATTCAATCGATATTGAAAATTGCGGTTAATTTTTCGAGTGGCTCCATCTAATTGTAAATAATCAAGGTCAATATTTTCATTTTGTTTACATTTGCACTTTTCATTTTCAGTTATTTTTCAGCAATCAATTATTTCAACGCGAATTTGCTTTCCCAAGCTTAATGAAATTTAATAAATGAATATGCGTCTGAACATGCAATGGATGAAAAAATGAATAAATTAACTGTTATTGGAAAGGTTTGAAGGGGAAAGTTTTTGATTTTGTATTGATTTTTATACAGAGTTATCAGTGGCAGGTGATAATACAGAGGATACTAGCCATTATACTACCAGAGAATATATTACCAGAATTATCAGAAACACTAGAAACATTCTGAGCTGAGTAACAGTTTTCTCAGCCAGAAGAGGCATTTCTATGTGTACATCTATTGCAGTGATGTTATGTAACATTTATCTTTGTATTGTATTACACTGCATGTGTGTTTAAAAAATGAAAAATAGATTGCCAAACTTAATATGCTTCAATAAAGTGATTCCAATATTTTGTATAGTCGATTCAGAAAATTGAGATTGAATTACGCAAAGTAAAATTTCTTGTATATTTTTACCAGCAAAGTTAATTGATATCAATCTATTAGCAGATTAAATGCTAGTTTCCAATACCTGACTCATTCAGACATAGTTTATTATTACAATAAACCAATCACTAGTGTTACTTTGATTGATGAATTAGGTGCAGCAAATTGGAAACCAGGTACATTAAGATGATCAAATCAGCCAAATAAAGTTAATATTGTTTACCATTAAAAATAAATGAGCTGTACTGTTTATTAAGATGGAATACAGATTGAAGACCATCTATCAATGTTTATCAATTTGAAATAGAGTCTGTTGATTGGGTTAGAGTTTGGTTAATCATGAAGCTTTATTATTGTAAATGATAATGTTGAAGGTTAATCTAGTTACTCTTTAATTATTATCATGATTAACGTTACAATTGAAACAAAAGATGTAAAAGTGATGAAACTGGGAATCACAAAAAAAGAGGCCAACATTAAACAAATTGTAGCTCAATGTTACCTCAGGGTTGACCAAAGGTTTTCCTACAAAAATGAACAGGGAAGGCAAAAGGTAAGCAAAAAAGCTAACTAAGCCTTGGAGGATAAAAATCTTTATCCTTAACCAGGGTAACAGGGAATGGTATTTTTAAAGAAACATGGATGATAAAGATGACTACCGAGTGTAACAGAAAACCATTATTAAATTGTAAAGTAAAGGAAATGGCCAATGGATGAGTTGAAAAAAAGATGATGAGAGGAGATGATAAGATGTACACTTCTAGGAACAAGGTAAGGAAAGAAAGGTTTAAGAGTTGACAATTAAATTAAGGTTTGAACTAACCCTTACCATCATCATCATCATCATCATCATCATCTAAAGGGAATGGGTAAATAAAGGCAATTGAGTAAACAGAAATAATGTTTCAGTTGAAACACGATAACAAAAAGAGTGAGTAGGATGATAATGATGAAGGAGGAGGAAGAAGAAGAAGAAGCAAGATGAAAGTAAAAGATCTGCGAAGAAAAATGGTTCAATAGCAATAAAAAAAGGTAAGGAAAAGGCCTTTATTCATCAATCAGAATTAGCTTTGATTATCATGAGATGGAGTAAAAAACGGCAACCAAGACACAAAATCAGGTAACTTTACCTTTTACTCTCAAATGCTTTTACCATTGAAACTTGATTCTTTTCATTGAACTTTTTTTCCTGCATTCATTGTATTTTATTCAACTTTTTTTTCTAGCAAAAATAATCACAAAAATCAAATCAACTCAACACACATTTGGACAAAAAATTGAAAGATTTTACATTCGATTGTGAATTTTACTGTGAATTTGGAATAGGAAAATGGGTTTTTCGTTATCCAAACCTGATGCAATGAATTTAAGAATATGATGAATTCAGTTTACTGTAATGTGATTGAATATAAGATGAAGTTGATTTGGGTTTATCTTTGAAGATGCTTCTAATGAGAGATTGATTTATACCAATAAAGTTGATTTCAATTTTGTTCATTTCATCATTTTACTATTGAATCGTTTGAGCATCTTTTTTATCAAATGTGTCTGGTAAATATTAAAATATTGGGATAAGCTTGGTGTAGGAAAATGTCAAAGTTGTTCATTGAAGATGAAATTATATTCAGTAATGAGCAACTTTGTAACCTTAACAATCTTTATCCTTTTTAAATGAGTTACATTTTTGGTAAGATGATGATAAATATCATGTTTTCATGTGTATATAAACTAATAAGGTAAAAGGTTGACTGATTAAAGTATCGATCAAATGGTTCCACTTGTAAATTGGCTTTTTTTCAAGTAATGTTTCAATGCTATTGACTGATGATGTTGCGATGATTTCAATGTTTTCAGATATTCTTATCATGAACCTTTTACTTTATGAATAGTTGCCATTGAGATAATTATCATTTAATGTTGATTGCATCTTAATGATGGTTGAATGGTGGGTTAAACAAGTGTAAAGGTGAACAATATGAACAATGATGAGGTGAGAAAGGTAATCATCATTAGCTGATTGATGATTATGAGCACAAATAATAACGGAAATGATGAGAATCGGGTTAAAAGTTGGGTTCAATTTGGATAAGTAAAAAGTATTATTACAAGGTAAATACAGAAACATGGATATCAAGTTTATGCTATAAATTAACATTTGATATTCCATGATGATCATCATTCTGATGATTGGAATGATGATCAACATTTCGCCTATTTATTACCATCAACGAATCCATTCATTACAATTATCAGAGGAAAAGGGAAGGATTCATGGAAAAATGATTTACAACAAGTAAAAATTAAGGTGAAAATCAATTCATCTTGAAATGAAATATTCTTGTTTGTAGAAATTTTTTTTCTCTTTTCTTGAATCTTTAATCATTTTTCATGTTCATCTTCATGAGTAACAATCTTATTACCTCGAGTAAATTAGAAATGAAGCTTTTTCTTTCACTTTTTTCTCTCCTTCTGTTCAACTTTTTGCTCTTCTTTTGTCCTGACAAAAAGCTTGAAACTGTCATTGGAAAAATGGATTTGATATTTAATAGGAAAAGTTGAAATTGTTTAAGTATAAAGATGTTGTTATTGTTGATGTTGTTGTTGATGATGATGAGGGAAGGAAGAGTAAAAATCATTCAATCAACTGAGCTGAGATACATTTTCATTCCACTTCAATTCAAATCTTATACATTTTCATTTTTCTTTTGTTGAAATATTAAAGCTTCAAGTAATGGGCCACCATGATCATGGCAAGTAAAAATGAGAAAGAAATTCAATTCTGTTTCACTTCAACAGATGATGATAAATGAAAGATAAATTGATAATATTTTACTCCAAGTCAAGTTATTGTAAATATATCTGAGATGCCTTTAAGCAACAAAAAAATATCAACAAGAATCAAGATTATCAGAATGGAAATCTTTGCATTTGTTGCAAATGTCATTAAATCATTTGTCAATTGTAAAACCATATTTGATTGGAAATTGAATTAACAATTAATGTTCAGTTCAATTTAATGTATTTAAACATTGAGGTGAAAGTAAACAAGAAAAGGTAATCTGGTAAAATTTGGCTTCACTCGTTTCTGGTTTTCTGGTTTCTTCACTTTTCAATGTTAATGGGTTTTCATGTTTTCTGGTTTTTGCTTACGTTTTTTTTTGGATCTTTTCAAATTGATTATTTTTACTGTTCAATGTTACAGGAAAGAGTTGGGATTGATCTGGGAAGGAAATGTTTCCATGAAAAATTTCAATTCATTAAAACCAATTAAGATTGGATAAAAGGTAATCAATTGATTGGATCACAAGTTGAATCAATTTTTCGGGCCAAATGAGACTAATTTTTGTCATCCATCATTCAATATTTGCTTTTCAAACCCAAATGTAATTGAGTTTGTTATTGTCAGTTTAATTAACTTTTTTTTACAGAATTTTTTGTTCTCAGAAAAGCTTTCAAATGCAATCAAGATAATTGCTGATGGGACAGCAAGATTCAAATGATTATTCATTTACACAGATTATTCATTTTACTACTCAGGGGAAGATGTGAGTTTGGAGTTAGTTGTTCTGGTTTACATTGAATAATTGAAGTAAAAGTTAAAGGTGGAATGGTGAATATCTTGAAATAATTAATGATTAAAACCAAATGGAACATCAAATCAACTCATTGAATTGTTAATTTAATTTTGAATGTAAAGGTCGCAGGGTAACCATGGAATCAAAAACAAAGTGAAGATACAAATTGATGATGATAATAAATTGACCAAAAGAGTTCAATTCATTTTTGGTCAACCAAGTGAAACGGACAAATGAAAACAAAGCTTTTCCCATTTCAAAGTGATTATCAAAAATCATTATGAAAATAAATCTAATCAAACATTGCGTTATTTAACATTGATTAGTATTGATTGGGTTAGACATTGAATCGACAATTAAACCCATTTTTGAAGCAATCTTTTCTCAACCTTTTCCAACATTAAACATTACATTTAATGTTTTATCCAATATCATTGAGGCTAAATTATTTGATATTTAAAGTCATTTTTGGCCTTTTGTTTGACTTTCATTATTGTTATTGAATAAGGTTACTTAGGAACCAGAAATGAGCTTTCAATGGGTTTACCTAACCAAAACATTTTTTACATAAAGATATTGTTAGACTTTGCCAGATCATTATTATCATGATTTTTTTGTTCAAGAGTTAAACTCACCAAGGCAACTGTAACCATTATCTGATAAAATATATCCTGGATGACAGGCGCATTCAAAGGTTCCATCATGAAGATCAAAGCACAAATGTTGACAAGGACCATTTGAATGACATTCTCCTATTATTATGGATGGAATGGGGAGAAAAATTGATTATCATTAGTTGAATTGGTTGAGGTTGTTGGAGTCAAGACAGGGAAGAAGATGAACAACAAGAAGAAGAATCAATTGAATTGTGAACCAGGGGAGAAAAAGAGTTCTGATTGAATGTTACTTGTTAGATGATTCAATCCTTATTCACAATTTTTATTCACCTTCAACTCTCAATTCTCAAAGTGAATTAATCAGCTTCAATTGTTCACTTGCTTTTTGACCCAATCCATGTCATTGTTGACATTTTTTTGCCTTACTAAACTCAATTGGTTAACTTTATAACTTGATTATAATCAAATCATTGGCTCATTTAAATCTAGATAAATTCAAATTTGGTTGAACATCTTAATTGAACGTTATTCATAACAAACATTGCTGCATGGTCTTTAATGGTCTGGTCAAGCTGGATTAGCTTGTCAACCTTGGTCAGGCTTTGTTGACTTGTTTACCTTGTCTAATATTATGAGTGACAATGAGTCAACTAATCAATCAGTAATTGAGATTTATTTACCCTGAAAATGTGTGTAACAAACATTTTTCTACTTTCCTGATATTCCAATTAAATCAGTATTAAATCATCAATATACATATTATTATCAATTGCCAATGGATCAAAAGTAAACATTTCACTTGATTAATTTTAGGTTTTTTTACAGGTTTTTAGAGGCTTTTTCAGCTTTTTCACTATTCTTTTGGGTTAATCATGATTCAATGAATTTTGATTATTTGATGGTTCCTATTGAACTGATGACTTATTTACATTTCATTTTGACTTTCACTAACTCATTATGCAATGTAAATGCTATAAAAAGCTATCATTGATTTGTGTTATTTATATTTGATCAATGGTTTCATTTTCAAAAAGTGAATATAACTTACCTTGAAAGGCAGCTTCAAAGAGTATTTCTGGTTCAATGGATTCACCTAAGGTTGAAATGATTGTACAATTTAATAATATTAATAATGAAATGTACATGATAATGGGCGATTTTATCCGTATCAAAATGGTTGAAACCATGTCTAAGGATTTGAAGGTTTTGGAGGTGATGAAGATGACGATGAACAATATCTGACAAGATGAATGGAATGATGATGAGGCTGTAAAGATACAGTTAGAGTGTATGATTACAATTAAGTTTATTCCGATATTTGGTTAATCCACAAACAAATTACTAGATAACACCACAAAATGTAAACACGGTAAGAAATATTTACGGTTGTCTAATGAGATGGCGAGTACGGTAATGATATTAGGAATGTTTGAGGTAGAAAAGGTTGATTTTGTATAATTATTTCAATGTACGAGTTGCTTTTAAATTGATAAATGGTAGTTAGATGGACACTTGAAATTAATCCAATAATGTTGTACCTTTTGTTGTCATCAGGAACACATATTAAAACTGGAATGAAAAGATATGGTAAATTATGTACATTGATCAAACACTTTTTGGGTTACTCTGGTTGAGGGTTTATTCACAGGGTTCACTTTTATCTTGGTCACTTGGTTTAATGATATAATCAATTTGGTTAAAACTAGAGGTAAAGTTGACAATTGTAATTATAAACTTAACTATTAAAGACGATAATTTGGTGATGGCAAGTTAAATTTCATTTCAATCTCTCCAAATTCACCTTTCTTTTTTTCCCTGGTTTTTGCTTCCTTCTAATGTGTCTCTCTGTTGATTAAATATGTAGAGAGAAATGTATAATGTTTACTTGGGTTCCTCGTTGCTGGTTGAGGTTAACATGGAGCAAACTCACAAATATATAACTTTGAAGAGAACCACTTTTCTCAGAGCTTCGAGAATATCGAACTTGCGGCCAATGATCCTTCCATCTTCATCTTCTTTCCCTTTTCATCTCAATCTTCATCGAAACCTTTTTCCCCCTTTATCTTTGGCAATATTTTCCAGCTGAAATGTACACCAAATATATGGTGACATCTGATGGGCTACACTGTTAATCATCCATAGATTATTTTCATTTTGTTTTAACCGTTAAATTTTAACCGCTTTTTTGTTTTCACTTTTATTTTCAAATGTTACTGTTAATAACAAACATTTAACAGCTGCCAAGCAATTTCTAATTTTCATTAGACAGTGTTTAAAGTCAGTTATTACTGTGATTATGCTTCCATTGAATAATTTTATTAGGTAAGTAATCTTATCCCATTGTTCAATATTTTCACCTCTGTGTTGAGACCAACATTTGGCTTACAGTTTTTGGGCTGAATTTTTGTCTCATTCTCATGATGCCATCTAGATTGACTGGCAGGGAGAAGGAACTAAATGAATTGTTGCTTTTACCTTAGATTGTGAGTCTTTTTTCACCATCAGTTTTGTAGATGGCACCATGAGAAGATTGAAAAACTCAGGGAAACTGCATTCTATTGATAGTTTTTTTATTTGCTTTTTACAATTACTTTTCTCTCATTTATTTTACAGGTAAAGATAGTGGGATAATTGTAGGACTATTGAGGATAATAAGGCTTAAAAGATGTTTATCAAGGAAGGCAAACATCTTTACCATTTGAAAGTCTGTGAATCAGGTTGGTTCCTAGTTTGGATAACATTTTAACTTGGAGTGACTTAATAGAACCATTGTCTTTCATTTCACGGATAACAGAGTTAACAATGTTGAAAATAACTAGAGAACGTGATGTTTCTACATATTGATTCGTTTGCTTCAAAATAAATAAAGACATTGATGAACTTTTCATGAGATGGATAATTCATGGCAATTTGATTTGAAGTACAGTCACATGGAAACTTTTGATTTATTTTTAGGTGTATTCTTCAAGTAAATCAGCTTTTCAATTTTACTTTTAATTTACTGTAATAAAAACATATTTTGCTACTTTATGAAGCGCTAATCTTATGTTGAGCATAATTTGCCTAACAAGCATAATAGAATAGGAACGAATGACAAGAAAAGATACCAATTTTAGGATTGTCAAACAAATGCAGGAAAGACAGAATTACATGTTGGGAAAAATTGTACAACAGTCGACATTAATTATCGAAATCGTCATCAAGATTCAGTATGTTACGGATAATTTCGTAGCTATATTTTGTCAATCGTTTACATTTACTTTCATCACAGCAGTTATCAGTATCAACGCAAACCATAAAATGAGCAACTAATTCGTGTTAACTTCACTCGGCAGGAAAATTTGCTGGCTAATATTGAAATCAGGAGTGATCGCCTCATAGTCAACCCAATTTATGCAAGATATTGCATGGTATTCTGCTACTTTAAATCATCCGCATCATAACTTCACCCTTGTACAATTTAATTCTGACAAGGGAAGTGACCTTGCTTGTACGGTCATTTTCAATTTTTTCAGGCTTATATTGTAGAGGACGAAAAATAATTCGACACTTATTTTGTTTTTTTACACCGGTGCGCGCTTATTGATATTGCGGCCCTTATAAGTGTGGATATTGCATTGAAGCCTATTGGAGTCACTGAAAAATAATTCACAATTTCAATTGAGATATTTTCATTTGTTTTATGTGCTTCTCAGTGACCGAAATGCAATACATAGAAAATTGTTCGTTCTCTTCTATTTTTGAATCGATTAGTTTGCAGGCTACTTGACGATCCCAGCCACAAATGATTGGTATTGCGTATGGATTAGTGTCACGATATTTTGAAATATCTTTATAGGAAACATTGATGCAGCTTGGAGAGCAACGATGTGGAACACGAACTGGACTTGACACTAATAGATTAGCTTTAGTTATGCATTCTGGGTAAAGTTCAAATTCAACTTAGTTACTATTCATAATAGATTCAAGTGAATTAAGACTTTACCCAATCTTGGTAGAGCTATCTTCTTCTCGGACAAATTGAACATAAGGGTGTTTTTTTTGGCATAACCAAGAATCGAAGATTGGCTGTTTCCTTTTCTTGAAACTCTTTTTTTTACTGTTGGTTTCAGCATTTTAGAGTGCCTTCAAAGACCTGAAAGAGGTTTGAGTCAAGGTGATTCTCGGTAGAGCTATTCATATTTTTCAAATTGCTAAAATAAAATCTAACCAAACAGCAGTTACTTTGTAAAATACAATCAAAACAACTAAAAGTAACACAAAATTTTACCCGCGCGACCAGAGGTTAGCTGATCAATTTTCTTAATTGCTAATAGATGGAGTTTAACAGGTTTTGTCTTGTTATGAGTCTTATTATTTTGAGGAATCAAATGTATTGCTGTTTTGGATATTTGTCATGTTTCAGTTTGACTATCCAAACAAAAATGAATTGGTGATGGTTGAACACGAAACACTAGTCTTGAATTATTAATGTGTTTAATTTTACTGAAACTTGATACTGAAAATAAGTGAATCCAATCAACGAAACAGTTCAAGGAAACCGTTCTGCATCAAGTTGAAGTCCAGCAAATCCAATTGGAGAGCTATTTTTGATGTTACAAAAACGCTGCCGAAATTGATCACTAATCTTGAAACAAAGCAAGCTATTTTAAAGAGTAACCGTGACTGAATGCTCAAAAGTAAGTTAAATACATAATGTATCTAATAAGTAAAATATTAATCATACTTATCTTTTAGCTTTTGATAATTTTTCATGACCACTCATTTGCTTCTCTATTCATCATCTTTCTAGGAAACCAATGAGTTGAGGCGAAAGCGAATAAGATTCATGTGAAAATGATGACTATAATCAATCTGAAAGAAAATGAAACTTCATGACTTGAGTTTCAATAAATTAACTTAATTGAGCTGTTTTCCCCCGTTTAAACAAACTAAAGCTGTTTTTTTTATCAAAGCACAAAGAGTTGGCTTGGCTTTTTGGTAATTTTACACTGGTCAAGCTGCATTACAAAGCAAAAATGTGATCATCTTCCATGCTTATCAGATTTTCCTTGCCATTAAGAAACCAGAAGGAGGAACAAAATCATCGGTGGCTGATAGAATGGAATCATGAGCAAAGTTATTTCTTCCTTGGTTTAAAAAGATTGCAAATCAAACGATGTCTGCCAAAAAGAAAAGATTTATCAAACATGAAAATCTTTTACTGTAGGAGTTGCCATTACTGAAAATAATGCAGAGCAGTAGCACGATATTAAACACAACAAAAAGTTGATGATCTACAAAAGGAACCAGCAACAAAGCCAAGAGAAGGCAGATAGCAAAAATCGCTGAGTTTCAATCAAAAATATTCTGGTATTCTGGATTAGACTTGAGTTATTGTGGCCTCCATGTGGGTTTGAAAGGACAAAGGAAAGCTAATTTAAAGGAAAGATTGTCTATCCAAGGAGCAAAGAAAGTAGGAAGAAATAACTGTGATCAAGAAGATGGTAAATGTCATGGCGATATCTAATCAAAGATTGGAATAAAGACTGTAAAGAAAGTGTTCATTGGTCTGGTTGATGGAAAAGCAAAGAGCAATTCATCTGTGCCATTGAGAGGGAAATGATGAATTGACAGAGAAAAGGTTTTCGATGAACGGGTTTCAAGATGATCAAATGGCTATTAGATTGGTTTTTTAGAGTTAAATCGGATAAAATTGGCCTAGACTGAAATGAAATATGGTTTAGGTCCATTGATCTTTAATGCTTGGATGATCTTGTTCATATTATTTGGTAGTTTTTATCTCTTCCACTCCATCTACATCATCGCCATCATTTTCATCATCTTCATTTCTTCATTGTTTAATGGTACTCGTTCAACTCAGCAAACATCCTTCTTCCATCTCCTCCCTTTTCCCACTCTTTCCCTCATCAGCCTCAGCCTCATCTCTCTCAACTCATCTCACGTTCTCCTATTAACTCTAAACTCACTAACTCACTATCACATTGAGACCTGCTTTTTTTACTTCTTTTTTTTCTTCATTTAAGCTCGTAGTCTCCAAGAATTATCATCACCAGTGCCGATCCTCCTCCCTCACCTTCCATGGACTCAAGGCCTCTAGTCTATGAAGAGTTATCTTGATTTTTCTTCAACTTTTGTCAGGTCGGCTATCGCCAGATTCAACTCTTTATTGCAATTAGTTCACAAAATCGCATCATGAACAGACTCATTGTTGTCATCTTTGTATTCATAGCATTCAGTTGGTGTACGAAAACAAGTTCAGCTCATAATAGTCAAGGTAAGAAATTTTACTCTTTTTCTTGTATTCCTTTCCGAAACTATCTCAACCTTACAATTTTCACCACAATTATCAAACTTTCCCTTCAACTCATCTAGAATCATATTATGAAATTGCCGAGAAATGTACAGTACCAAAGAATCCGCCTTACATTTGGATAAAGGCAGTTACCAAAAATGCCATTGTGCTGGGTATCACCGATCCAAATGATCCAGGCCAAGTAACGGGTTATTCAGTTTATTATTGGGGCCTTCGCTATGGAGTTAACTCTACAATCGAGTAAGTCTAACATTAAACACTGTTTTTCATTATGTGCAATTATGTTTTGATTGTAAAAGAATCAATTTTCTTGTTTGTAGTAAAATCTAATTTCATTTTTTATGCTCCTTTTAAAAGTCGTCGAAATCGTGATTTTGGTCAACGCAACTTCAGTACAAAAGGACCATTTGTGATTGAAAGATTAAAGCCAAAATTCATCTATTGTGCTGATATAACTGCCTACAACTCATGTGGCCATGGACCATTCTGTGTTTCATGCTTTGAAAATATTCTGACCTGGCCTGATGCTCATCTTAATCATACTCATTCTATTTATTCCAATTGATAGTTATTTTAAAATCAATCTTTTCAACATTTCGTTCTTTTTTCTTTTCTTTGGTTCACCATTCTCGATATACATCAAGTCCGATCATTTTTCTTTCGCCAAATCAACAAAAATAAACACCATCATCACCACCAATTCAAAGTTTAACCGATTAACAAGTTTGCTTTGTTATTTCTTTTTCTATCATTTATATTGATCAACTTTCCAAAAAATTGGATCTCAACTCGTTCGTAAGCACTTTTCCATTGATAGTGAATATTTTCTTGAACAAAGTTACATGTATTTGTTTACATTTTTGCTTGTGTTAAGCTTCGAGAGGTTCATGACGAGACACTTTTGTCTGTATCCAAGGCTGGATAATCTGTTTGATTGATCAATTCAAAACAACTGGGCTAAACGTTTGCTATAACAATGGCAATCTTTGTCAACTTTCAGTCAAGGTTTTCACAGCTCGTTCTCAACTTGTGACTGTTCCGTGTTGGTTATCCATTTCGAGGTTATCCAACCAGTGTAAATATCTTCCATGTTTGCCTTTCTTCCGCCTCAAAAATCAGACTCATTCTTAACCTTGTCAGTAATAATCTGGTTGATGCTTACTTTGTTAATGTGCTCTAGACCAATCAATCACTGAGACCATTGTGAATTGGAGTAAATAAAAAAGTTATCATTAGTAAATATGAACACTTGAAGAGAAAAAATTATCTAAAAATAGCAATTTCGCAGCTCTATTGTAGCAATTACAAGGTAGGAAAGTTGTTCACGCCAGTGTATTTGGTGTCCACCATGAGTCGGTTGATGTAAATATCTTAATATTGTTCACTCTGTGGTTGCTTGTTGTAAACGAAATTCGAGTTACTTTTGATCTCTAGATATTATCGAGATCTCCATAATATCTTGTCAATAGATTATGCTAACAGTAACAGTTGACAATCATTTAATCCAATCATCCATGTATGTTGTGTGCGTTTATGACCAATATTGAAAAGCTTTTCAACCCATATTGGAACGGTTTGTATTAAAATGTTGGGAAAACACTTTTTCAAACTAAAATCATAATTAAGTTCACAATGAATCGCGATTTAAGAGGCATTAAGAATCCAAAGTTGCTTAGCAGGAGATAGATCATCTTCAGAAAGCTTATGAACGCAAGTTGCTGATTATCAACAAAAAAGGTAAGATGTATAATGATGTTGAAGCTATTGATGGAGAAACAATTCAACCAGTTAAGAGATGGAAAAGGTGGAGAAGAAAGATGATCAAAATTGCACGATTTGAAAGGCCGGTTTTCCTTTTACCTCTTTTCCTTGCTGTCCATCCATCTTATGGTCAAACTATTATAAAAAAAATGTAAGATTAAAAGAGAGTTTAGAGAATCAGTGAATGTACAGAAAGAGAGAGAAGGTAAAGGGAAGAGTTTATGAAGATGGAAAAGGATGAAAGCACAGAAAGAGTAGAAGATGAGGAAAAGTAAATGAAATTCCCTCCTTTTTCACTCTCAACTTTGCAGTTCAATTTAACCAGTTATGAAGCATCAATGTGTAGACCAGAATAGAAATGGTCATCAAGACACGACAAAGAATCATTAGGTCCACAAAACATGGCCATTGACACTTTGAATCATCACTAATAATGTCCTTTACATAACCTCAAAATCAAAAATTTGAAGATTTTACATAATCAACCATAAATTGTTCACTTACAATTGTTAGTTTAAATAAACGCAAGTTTTGATCACCATTCATCAAGGCTTGCTTTACTGTTATTGAGATTCAACTAAAATCGATCTAATTTTGTTACCGGATCATTATCAAAACTTCTTGAAGTCAAATCTTGAATGTAAGTAGCTGAAGAAATGAAATATTTGATTCGTTTTGAAACATTGTTAATCTCAAGTTTGAAACTACAAAAAACTATGTTTCGCCACCACTAGATGTCACTATCAATTGCTAATAGAAAGGGAAATTTAAAAGACGGCTTGTAACTAATATTGACCTTAATTAACCAATTTAAATTGAGACCAAGTAATTTGCTTTAACCTGCGACTATCCATTCAATGTGATGCTTTTAAAAGAACCGCCTTCAAAAGACAAGTGTTTAGTGAAGTGTCACTTAATGAAGTGAAGTGAAATGGTTAACATCAATGAGGTGACTATACCTTCTGGTAATGAGGCAAACGGGTGTTGAAGCTTACATCAGTCACTTAAAGAATCTGGAATTGATAACAGTTAGCAAATATGGTGACAAACAATCAACATGAAAAGGATTAAGTGTATACAGCAGACAATGAAGACAATTTGAATGGGTAAAAATGGAAGTGATGAGTTTCGCAAACAATTAGGCAACTAAAACTGTTGAGTTATTAGATGAACTCTTCACAAACCTATTAACAATTTTGTGTGAAATTTACCGTTTTGATTGCTAACAGTCACTGTTAAACCGTCACAGTATCCATAGATAACTTGAATAAAAGCATAAAATTTAATAAACCACAATTAAACACTAAATCTCCACTTTAAAATATTTCTGAACTCGCTCCACTCAAGCAATTAAATATCGTGTGTTCCCTTGAAAAACATGAGGAATTGCTTGTCAGTGTCTTTAACATAGCTCTGAGCACTTATTCAGGTTCTAGCAATATTTGACAAAACACTCGAGACTTGCATAATAATGTCACTGTACATGAATATCAGTGAATAAGTGTCAACATTTCATTGTTTCATGTTGTCAGATGTTTCATTCAAAATCAAAACACTAACCTCTTAATCTTACTAATGGCTTACAAGCCTTGGAAATCAGATGAACATTTCCTTTCCAGAATCTGTTAATATTTAGAATGAGTGATTCAATGTGTCAACCTTTTAATCGTTCAACAGCTCATTTTACCGGTTTAGCGCTGTGTCGCTTCAAGTAATACATGAATGTTCAAACTGACTTTCACCAGCACGTCTTCAAAATACAAAAGCTGATGTTGCTACCAACAAGGTCATTAATCAGAAGATAATGATTAACCAGAATTCATGAAACATCTGATTTGCAATGGTGTATAGACTGTAGTTTCATATCGAATGTAAATTTACAATTCAAGCTCGACTCAAACTGCAGCTTGGTGCAATTTAATTTAGTCAAATTCCCCTACTTTTTTGGTTCACATCTTTTTCATCTGACAAATGAAATTGTGATTAATCTGGCGTGCTATTACATTTGGTAAGCTCATTTATTTTCATAACCAATCCACTCACATAATCTTGTATTAACACAAATGTGACCCAAACTTGAACCTTTTGATTTTATAATTTCTTCCAATCAATTTGAATCAAAGAATTATCAATTTTTCTTATCATTTTATTTTTTTTTCGTTCATTTCTTCAGCAAGTGCTACAAGTGATTCTCAATAAAAATCTCTTTTACCTTCCTACAAGTATTTCCGTATAATCTTTACTATCACACAACATCATTTTTCGGCGAAACAAGTTTACTGGACACAAAACGGAAATAATTTTATCCATCACCATCATCATCAATTCATGAAAAGGCAATCAGTTGATTCCTGTTTGTACAACTTCACTATCGCACTAAACCCGTTCAAAATGAAAAATAAAAGGGAAAACAACTGTTGATCAAATGGACATTAACCCAGCCATTAAATTCAAGTTGAATGTTTCCCCTTTTTAACTTGCAGGTTCAACATTCACTTTTACTGTTCAACTAATCAACATGATTAAAGGTACAAGTTTAATTAAGAAAAGGTGAATGATGATAACAAAAACAAAAAGATTAAGGATGTCAGAGATGATTGAGCAAGAGAAGAGATCATTACTTTATTATCAAAGTATAAAGTTGTGTTACAGATTTGCTCGCACTTAGAGGAATATAGTTTCTCAATCTGATTGAACTAATTTTGGAAAGAAACAAGACGGTCAATTAGAGTGTACATGGACACATGAAGAGATTAAAAAGGGTTGAAAAAAACATTCCCTGAGTGTTTACATCTCTGTGCATTTTTAGGAGAAAAAAATATTCAATGATTACACGAAGAATTAAAAAAGGAACCAGCCTCCGGTAGTCCATTTTTAAGATTTTATACACAAAGAGAGAGATGGAAAAGGAGAAATTCATTGACTTTTCTTGGACGTGATTGCAGTTGATGATGGTGACGATGATGAGGATGAGGATGATGTTGATGATGATAATGATGATGATGGTGATGATGGTTTTGTCTGGATATAAGTTTTGATGAAGAAAGAGATGAACATAACCATAATAAGAGCAACTTGAGGGAAACCCAATATGAACATGAATTTAGGAATCTTGCAGTCTGACCAAGCTCCAAGGTAAGTGTAATTGATGAGGACAAGCACAAATTGACTTATTTGAAGAGTTGTCAGATACTTTTTCCACCATAAATAAAGGACGTACAGCGGGACCGAAGGCTGATAACGCATAATAGGCATACATGATGGTGTGAACCAAGGAGTTGATGCAGGGAAGCAGAACCAGATTGAGAGAAGGGGCATATTTAAAGGCGAGCCAAAAGTTGATTGGTACATAGTGTGGTGAACAACGTGGAGTTGTAGATACATGGGAAATTTTTTCCTCAAAATAAAGAAACGGTATCAAAAGATCAACAATTTGGACATAATGTAAATCCAGATGACCCAAAGTTTGTAATCTTTGTCCTCCCGAAGAGCCAGCTCTAATGGTGAACATTTCCAGAAATCAGCTCCAAATGTGGATTGTTTTAAGGTGAATATGAAAAAGTAGAAATTAAATATGGATAAAGAGATATTATGTGTCAATATTAAAGGCTTTAAATCATATGGTTTACGGTTGGCCATCATTCTTGGTCCCCAAACTTTAACAAAATACAAATAAGTTGCCATAATTGACAGTATAACAAGAAAACCATTTTCCATCAAAGGAAGTTTAGCGATATCAGCATGTGTCTTTGTTTCCATAAATTCATCGAAGTAATCACTGACTACAGGTGAAACAGTGTTAAAATGTTGAAAAGTCATCTGACCAGAGGCCATTTCAAACAAACTGGCAAACATTGTTAGCTAATGTGAATGACTGTGTATGTGTGTGTGAATAGAAGTGAAATGAAATGTTTTTAAAATGAAATGTTTTTAAAATGGGAATTCGAATAATCAGAGGAGGAGCTTCAACAATTAAGGTAGAATGAGAGAATATGAAGATGATAAAGTAAGGAGGAGAATGAAAGATAACAGGTAGAAGAGTAGAAAGGTAGAGAAAGATGAGGAAAGATGAAGAAATTTACAGATATTTGATGGAACCAAAGGTTTTTTACTGTTGTTGTTAGGTTGAAAAAAAGGTTGAACCAATGATATGGATTCACCAGGGATTAACTGGTTCACTTTTAAATACAAACGGTTGACAAGCTGATAAGGTTGACCAAGAGAAGAAGGCATTAGCCCAGTTAAACTAGTTTTTAACAAAAGCAAAAAAACAAAGTCCATTTTTTGTGTACACATTTTTATTATGGTTAATCCTTTGACCTGCAACAATCTAACCCTTTGCCATATCGAGAAACAAGCTGAAAATGGAAAATGTTTCCTTCGTAACATAAAAGAGGGAGCTTTTTATAATAGGTACAAAGTTGAATCTATTTACAATAGAGGGCTTTGAGGTTACCTAGTAATTATTTACAAAATTGAAGGTTAACGTTTTTTTTCATATTTTGATTAATTAATTACAGTGACATGAAACAACTATTGTCCAGTTTTTACATGATCTTTGAGTTATTCATTAACTCAATCTCCTTGAAATGGTGATGATCGTCTCTTCAAGCCGCAATCCATTTAGCAAAACAATCATTACCAAAGAGGTTCAACAAATTTTCTGTCTTCATTTTGCTAAATATAAATTTCACTTCTTTCAAGTTGAGTCAATTTTTTCTTTAAATTGTAAACATCTATTTGTGAACAATCAATGGATTGGTGGATGGGATTTTTCCTTGTTAATTAAACCAAGCTCATCAATTAACTCATGAATAAAATCAACTAAATTCTGTCTTGGTTTTAGCTTTCTGGTTAAACCAGCAATCCAGCAACAACTTTTTACATTTCATAAGCCCAAACAGTTAAGTTGTTACATTGATCAGTAAATTGTTCAACGGTACTGTAATTGTAACATTAATATTAATTTTAACACTCATTAAGCTCTTTAATTGTTACATCACAGCTCTTTTTAATCTCAACCTTTAACTTGGCATACCTGTTGGTTACATTAAATGTATTCAATCCATGGTTAATAAGAGGGAAGATTGTTTAATCGGGAAAATTTTCATTACTGTTATTTTGATTTACTTGAAAATTCAAAACCTTGACATTAAATAATAATAATAACAAAAAAAGTGTTTGATTGATAAAAAAAGAAAACCCAAAAAAGATTTTTATTTTTCCAGATTAATTATTCTGATTGACACAATAAGCAAAAGAAAGCCAAGAAACATTATTGAATACAATTAATGTCTCAATTATCAACAAAAACAATGCTGACTTAAAAATAGTTCAATCTTGAGGGCTCAATTACAATCAAGATCAACACATGATTGTTGACAGATACAACATTGTCATCTTAACTATTGACTAAACGATGATTGAGGAAATTAGATTGCAATAAATATGATTGTATCACCAATGGCGTTGGCTGATTTGACCTCAAACCATTGATTGAAATATCAATAATTTTGTAATCTGGGCTCTTGAATCAATCAGTCAATTTTAACTGGTTTAACTCGTTGCTCTTGAAGCAATCAACTGATTGTGTCATTGCATAATGTGAACAATTTACATAGTGATTTAGGGCTTCAATTTATGCCATAATTTTGGTATCGAATCATCACTTGATTTTGACTTGGCTTTAATTATCCAACAAGATGAATTGTTGCGACCATCCAATGTTTAATATCCAAATTACACGCAAATTGTGATTATTCTGTCCAGGTAATTACTATTTTTCCTCCACATGACAATTCATGCATTTGTTTTCCTCGTAAAAGCAGCGTGAAGCACATCATCAGCATGATAGAAGTCCATTCTTGTTTGTTTGCCGGCCAACAATTATCTAACATTTGTTTTTCATAGTCAAACAATTACTTAATCTACAATTAACATGTAAACAAGATTTGAAAAACAATATTGACATTAAGTTGATAAACAGATCCATTGGATGGCTTTTTATCGTCAATTTCAATGTCATCTTTATGGAAACCACATTTGACTAATTTTAAGCGAAGAAAAATGCCATTTGAATGAATCTACATGGAAATATAAATGAAAGTACAAATTATTCAAAGGTTAATTAAAAGTAATTTTCAGATTACATAAAGATAAATTAAAATTGATAAGTACATCTTACTTTGAGTGGCTTCCAATTTTTGGTTAGATGAGCTTTTAACACAATTTTTAGATGGTGATGATATAATTTATAGGGCTCTTGTTGATAGAGATGCAAGTCTATTGAAAAATTTGGGTTTAATCAATAGATTGGTCTGTCAATAGCGTCCGTATATAAGGTTAAGTGTACATTGAAAGTTGATGATTAGGTTAACCTTGACTTGGTTTGGTTGATTAACATTAAACTTTAAGATGATGGTTAACAGGACCAAAATAAGTAACAAAATGATGATTGAACTGATAATCAGTTAAACTCCACTCATCTGATTAACTCACCTTGACACATGTTAAAAATGGTTAACCAGAATTAGCAAAAACAAAAAGATTTGCTACTAAATTACGATAAAGATGACCAGTCAGTGAACGTGAACTGCAAGACGTAACCCAATAATGACAACAACCAGATTATAAAAACCCAAGCCAGATAACCCAAAATGTGAGCGGTCGATTTAAACTAATTTGACCATTTATAAACAGGCATGAAGTTGTTATTGATGTTGATGGTAATGAAGATGATTTGAATTCAATTAGCGGCCATTCATTTGGATAATATTCTGGTATTCCTTGTGAGGTTCCATCTTATATCAGAGTCAATTTTGTCATACAAATATCAAAGACTATGTAATGAGATAAAGATAACCCGTTAACAAGAGCAACAAACATTAAGCAAATTAAACGATTGAACAAGGTCGTAATACAAGATTAGTCTATGTGATAAGGCATGGGTTTATAATTGTTAATTAAAATCAAGGATAAAGAATCCATAGGAGTAATCAAGGTTAATCATTTATTGAGAAATATTGAAATAAAACAGGAAAATAAAGTTAACCATTGAGTTTACCATCGGTTAACATATTCAAAACAACGTAACAGTTTTGATCGCACTGACATCTCGTTTTAATTACTTTCACTTTGACTTATGAATTATACTCTGCATTGTTTTTGTTTTTTTTATTGTACTGATTGGTGAAAATCAAATTTTAATCATTTTTTTATTCATTTGTGACTCAGTTTGAACATCTTTTTTCTTCGAGTGTGAATTTAAACTGGAAAATCCTGATTTCTTTATCCATCGCCTGAGTTTAACTTTTCTTTTTCATCATCAGTATCAGGTTGTAACCCTTAAGCAGTTTAGTGCATGAATGTTTGGAAATTGAAAGTAAGACTTACCTTACTTCCATCGCCTTAAGGTTTGATTGTTAATCAATTTACAGATTTCATTAACTGATTGTTACTCTAATTTATCGAGTCTTACCGTCCAATGGGCTTTGTCTGATCTAAATGACTGTAAATCTCTAGTCTTTACCAGCTCATTGACTGCCAGCTTGACGACGATGACATAATGTAAAAGGCGTCACATTGTGAAATATTAATCTAAAGGTTAGTTGATATACAATCAAAGAAGATTAGTTTGATCATTGATCTTTGTGCAAATTGACAAGTCAATATTCAGGAATAAGAACAAGTTGTAAATATTTTTATCGATTTCAAATTCTGTCCGGTGATAACCGATAAGTGTAACAATGAATCTATGTTTACAATTTTTTTCATACCCGAATGTATTGACTTGCCAATATGTGCAAAACATTTATTGAAAACTCATATTCTTTGACTGTAACTATTCTGATTCAAGAATAATTTTCATTTTGTAAGATAATATCTAAGTTAGCTTGAATATTTTCCATTTACAGATTATAACGATTAAGAGGATTGATGTTCAAGATGAGTCCACTTTCACTTTATACACAAACCATGGATTCAAAGGTATATCAAGTCTTGATCTGCGATTTGATTAACTTGAAGCTGTTGTGAGGTACATTCTCGTTTGGCTTCGATTCCAATTGCAAGAAGGAAAAATCACACGAAATCAAGTTGATCAATCAGATCATGTAATCTAAATCTAACATTCAATATATCTTAAACTTAAAGGCACAGCTAAAGGTGTTCACTGGACTCTCAACTCGATTCAAGATTACCCAAATCAGCCATCTTTAGTACCAGATTTGGATGGCTTATAAACCTTACATGTGAACACAGATTTGACTGTCGATTAATCTTGATTCAATTTGTTCTCATTAACAAAACATGATCCAATTTAACCTTATTAAGATGATTAACCAACTCTTCATAATTAACTTCATCTCGGAAAGTTGAATGGCTCATTTCATCAAGACAAAATGCTTATCCAGCCACTTTTTTCAACGTTGCCCATTTGACCAGATTAGATGAACCCTAAATTAGCTGTTAACTAATACTTAAAGCTGCGTCCAAGCCACAACAATACAAAAACGCTGTTATTACAATTGATGATCAATTGTTGCATTGAACTTGTCTCCCAGCAATTTGTTATTCATGAAATTCAAGTAACCAAACAAGTTTACTTGATTAGCATTAACAAATGAATCAGGAAGTGACATCAATGATACTCAATTGAAACAATTTGGTAAAACAACAGTTAGTTAATCATGTTAATAGTTTAAAGGTTAAAAAATTAACAAAATAGAGGTTAAATATCGCCTCAGCCTAGATGGTAATGAATTAATATCAAAACAACAACAACAACAACATTTGATAGTCTCAAATGAATTTTTGATTTACCTTTCACACAATCCAAGCAATCACTTTCAATTAACTTGAAATTGACATTGAATGCTCGGCTGATCACTTTCCATTAACCCAATCAATTAATCACTGGTGATGCCTTTAATAATATAATAGATAAAAGGTTTAAAATTATCAATCGGAAGGAAGAGAGAAAAGCTATAAAAGCTAATTTTAACTAAAAGTAAAAGATTCTCATTTTTAGGTGTAAAAATTGAATTGTACTTGTGACAATTGGCCTTATTAAATTGTTATATCTTATTAACACACTTACACTTAAACTAAACGAAATGTTCAAGGATATTTAATGATAATCAATAGCATTTTTACCCATTTTTTAGCTTTAAAATAACAATTTTGCTTGAAATAAAAATATAATACTAAAAGTATTGACAATTGATTATTTTGATCTTGAACAGCAACTGCTATTGTCTATTGATGTTCAATTATCAATACTTTCCATGATAGACTTGCTTTCAAATCAATTGAAATCAACACTATAGATCAGATTAATTCATTTTAATTGTCATTCCAATATTGAAGTTGATTCCTTATGACTGTTGTACTAATTAATCGCTTATTTCCGCATAATTATTGATTTGTTGAAAGGTAACCATCTTTTGGTAATCATTTTGTTTCAATCTTATAATGGCGGCTTTAAGTCAAACCATTGTTATTAAATACAGATTAACTTGTTTGTGATTAACTTACTTTACGCTGTTGATAACAATTAGATTAAGCAATCATCAATAATAAAATGCTATCAACAGTTGGTCAGTTTAACAGTTGAATATTGTTATTACATGTTAATGTAATAATGAAGATACCAGTTTTTTGTTTAAAAGCAACAACAATTTCAATTGTTTTATCATTTGATTGATCCGCAAAAGTAGCTTTTTTATTGCATTTCAATGTAAAGTTGAAGTCAATTTTTCATTCCAACATCATCTTTTATTTATAATATTTCTCGTTATTAGGTAACTGGTAAAATGGACTGTAATCAATAGCTAACAACAATTTAAAGATTTCACTTTTAGATTGTATTATATTGTTTACAGTTCAATTGTCTGATATTTTGTCTGCTATTAATGTAATATTTAAAATGAGCCAACAATTTATCGGAAAGGTTTCATTCAACTCGTAAACATTCATTTGGTTATGTTTAAACGGCTGAAGGCAAAGGATTTCCCAGCAATCTATTTAATTAATCCTTATCAAACTGCCTCAAGTTACGAAATTATTTACTATATTTACTACATTTCCTAGCATTTATTGATAATCATTTTTATTGAAACCATAACTTTGTTGCAATCCTGTTTTTATATGTAAATCCAATGTGAGTGATAGGAAACGTCGTTAACTCAATCAGATGATTGAAATGATGTACAAATTAAGCAACTTTGATATCAAAACAAATTAAAATACGCTGGACAAGGTAAACATGCAACGATTGAACTTGCATCAAACATAAAATTATGAATCAAACCCAGACCGTTCATTGGATTAGATTCATTTGTTTCAATTTTGTATTTTGGTTTTGAATCGGAAATTTTTTGCTATCATTTTCATTTTTTCAATTTTTTTCTTCCTTTTTCTGTTTTTATGAAGATTTGATGAGCTTTTCCAGTCAAATCAAGGGAATCAGTAAATTCATAATTACTGTTACAACTTGTACTCGTTATGAATATGGAATGGTAAAAGGATGGAGAAAAGAGGAATTCCAGAAATCAGTTAAAGGGAAAGAGTTATAAGCCCGTTCGACTGGTCAGTCTGGGACAGAGATCTAGAAATTTCTAGCAGAATTTGCTTTTCACAAATTCCTCTGAAAATATGGTCGTAACAATAAACGTTGCTTATGAAATGGACTCTGTAAGGTTGGACCAATAATTAGTGTCTCTTAAAGTAAACAAACCTAATGACTGCCGTTTCCATTTTGACCAAGCTTATCCTTTCAAGTATTTTCATCCTGCAATTATCATTTACCTGGGCTTGAAAAAATAGTCCAGTAAAAGGGTTTTAAAAGTGCAGACTGACAACTTAAGACTCAACTTGGAGGACAACAAAGCGGTCCACAAATGTCTTTAGGGTCTTCCGCCAAATCTCGGAAATTGACCATATTTTGGAATCTTCTAGAAACTCATTTTAGGTTTCAATTCAACCGAAGGTGTTCAACAATTAAAGTAAGCCTAGAGATCAACCATTATCAATTGAAAACCATTTTATTTCACAGTTTAATCAGTGTACATTGAACAAATTGAGGCTTTGATGAACCTTCAATGTTGACTTTTGGTGATTTGGAAAGCAAATATTTCACAAATCAAGATGATTGAACAGACTGGAAAAATTGCGATGATTAAGGTTGGAAAATAATAGCTGTAATGGACAATTGTCAGCTTGTTGTAGTCTATTTTCGTGTAGATACTATTGTCTATTGATGTTGTTTGCCGGTATAAATGTGTAGGCCTAATGCCGTTCTTGTCGTGAAAATGTCTTGCAATCTGCGTCTCAACGTGTTGATAAATACGGTTCACTAATTTATCGTAAAGGGCTTGGCTCATTTGTGTGTTGATTAAATTGACTGATAAACTTGAACCAAAAGGTGCACTGTATTCAAAATACTTGCCCAAATGTTCACTTTCCTTATCAAACACTTCCATGTCTTTTTTAGCCTTTTCAATCTCCCATTTGCCAGCAAGATAGACAAACATTTGGGCATTTTTAATGGTTTTGCCGAACGTTATTGTTGAATAATGGGCTCTAACATGGGATAAAATTTTTGCCTCTCCAAGTTGTTCAATACTTCTATGACAACTGCCAATCTTGATGGTTTGTAGTGTTAAATTACGGTCAATTAGATCACTCAAACTGGTAACTGGTGATTCACTTGATGTTAGAGTAAGATCAGTCTGAAAATTTACCGAGTACCAAATTTGAAGTAATGTTAATACAACTGTCAAGGTGACTCTCATCAATTGAATTGCTGCTGTTGGTGAGGTTGGCTGATTATCATTAGTACCGATGATCATCTTGGATACTTTGGTGATGGTAATTTTGGTGTCTTTGATGGTACCTTTAATGTTGACTTTGCTGGCTTTATTGTATTGTTTCTGATTGCGACTGGTAAGGACAACAATAAGTGGAGTCAATTTAACGAAAATTGCTAGTCCAATTAGCAATATTATTACTGAAGGTTGGATTGTTGTTAATGTTATCAAGCAGTCTAGGGAAAATTCAGTTAATGGATTCCGGTAATAGGTTATAAAGAAGCAACCTTTCTCGTCAATTGGTGGGGACAGAGTCAAGTTGGGATAAATTGAATCGTATAGAAACATTCCTGCATGAAGTTGATCACAATCAGAGCCATTTAACTGTATGAAACGGGCAAGTTGAGTACAAGTGCCATTATTACAGCCACCGAGGTCTTGACCTCCACTTTCCCAAGTAACATTGAATCCTTCGTATAAAACAAGTCCCCAACGGTAAAAATATTTTGATAACAAACCTTCAGGTCTTTTGGTTGTTGAGTTTACAAAAAAGACGGGACGACGATCAAGAAGGGCTAATCTTAGATTTAAATTACTAGACATTATGAGATTTGATTATAACTATTTTAGATTTGTTGGATGTGAAACGATTTTAAATCTGTTATTATAATGGTATCAAAACCAACTAGTGTCAACTCGGATTGGTTTGCTACTAACAATTGAAGATCTTTCCGTGAGCTATTCTCAAGAATTAAAGTCTATTTGACTGCATATGTAAAAATATAAATGGTACTTGATCATTGTTGCTGTGAATTTTTTTATTGTTGTTTTATTCAAATCAATTGACTAAATAGGACTTGAAAAATCATTATATCATTATATGTCATGTTATTAAAATCAACTCCATGTAAATTTTGATAGCATCTAACTTGGCTATTCCTATCAATGTTTATTATCTGCGGGATAAAAGCCTTGAATATTAGTGTTTTTATGTGAAATAATCTATGAATTATGAAAAATATATTTGCAGCTCAATTTTACAGTTTCAAGTGAATTATGTGAAATATACAATCATTGAATAAAGTTTGACAATGAAAATGAGTTTGTTTTTGAATACATTGCTTTTAACGAAGGAATATTTTTGAATAGATTTTAAGAGTCCATATGATTATTTTAGATGAAATTTGGCTAGAAATTGAAAAACAAGATAAGCGTATGATTATATAATGATAATTATGTAATCTGATTCGATTCAATTTAATAATTGGCAATTTTAAATGAAAATATAATTCAATGAGATTTAAATAAAGTCCCTTAACTTACAGATGATATGATCCGCCTCTTCATTGGAGTTTATTGAAAGAAGCTTCACTGAAAGTCATCATCACATCAATTTAATTTGTTTCTTCTTGACAAATGTATTTAACGTTCAAAGTCTTTATTAATTCAGTGATTTAAATGTTTTAATTTTGTCCTGGTAATAGATAATTTATTATAATATCTATTATTTTAAATTTTAAGGGACCCTTTGTGGTTTCCCTTGTTTAATGTTGAACCTTTTCCGTTGCTTGTTGGTTGGTTTACCTGTAACCTATTGTTGGTAAAGAAATAGAGTGGAGAAAAAACCTCCCTCTTATTGGATTATTTGGATTAATTTGAAGCAAATAACTAACTGGACAAGATGATTGGTGGATTATTCATTTATAATCATAAAGGAGAAGTGCTTATTAGCCGCATGTATCGAGATGACATTGGCCGTAATGCAGTTGATGCTTTCCGTGTTAATGTTATTCATGCTCGTCAGCAAGTACGATCACCGGTAACAAATATTGCAAGAACATCTTTTTTCCATATAAAACGAAGTAATTTATGGTTAGCGGCAGTTACTAAACAAAATTTAAATGCTTCAATGGTATTTGAATTTTTACTGAAAATGTGTGAAGTAATGCAAAGCTATTTTGGTAAAATAAGTGAAGAGAATGTTAAAAACAATTTTGTTCTCATATATGAATTATTGGATGAGATTCTTGATTTTGGTTATCCACAAAATACTGATACAGGAATATTGAAGACATTTATTACTCAACAAGGAGTAAAATCTCAGACAAAAGAAGAGCAATCACAAATAACTTCTCAAGTAACTGGACAAATTGGTATGTTATTAGCTTATTATTCCATAATGATTTTACTTTTACTATCAAATTTCTAACGTTTGTTTTTTTTCTGAAAAAAATAATTTTCAGGTTGGAGAAGAGAAGGTATAAAATACCGTCGAAATGAGCTATTCCTTGACGTTCTCGAATATGTAAATCTATTAATGTCACCACAGGGACAAGTTTTGAGTGCCCATGTTGCCGGTAAAGTTGTAATGAAAGCATTCTTATCTGGTATGCCGGAATGCAAATTTGGTATAAATGATAAACTTATTTTAGACACTAAAGGTAAAACAAGTTCAGCTTTAGATGATCCAACAACTCGTGGTAATGTTGGATATCCATCAAAATCTTCCATAGCAATAGATGATTGTCAATTCCATCAATGTGTTAAACTATCAAAATTTGAATCGGAACATAGTATTAGCTTTATACCTCCAGATGGTGAATTTGAATTAATGAGATACAGAATTACAAAAGATATATCATTCCCGTTTCGAATAATTCCACTTGTACGTGAAGCTGGTCGAACCAAAATGGAAGTAAAAGTTGTTCTAAAAAGTAACTTTAAACCTGCAGTTGTAGGACAAAAGATCGAGGTTAAAATACCAACGCCCCTAAATACAAGTGGTTGTCAATTGATATGTATGAAGGGTAAAGCTAAATACAAAGCTAGTGATAATGCTATTGTTTGGAAAATCAAGAAAATGGCTGGTATGAAGGAGACACAATTAAGTGCTGAAATTGAACTTTTATTGACAGACACAAAGAAAAAATGGAATCGACCACCAATATCTATGAACTTTGAAGTACCATTTGCTCCTTCTGGTCTTAAAGTTAGATATTTAAAAGTATTCGAACCAAAACTCAACTATTCCGATCATGATGTTATTAAATGGGTTCGTTATATTGGCCGAAGTGGACTCTATGAAACAAGATGTTAATAATAATAAGGAGGAGAAGAAGAAGAAAATGATGAAGATTAAGAGGAAGAAGAAGAAAATACAAAGATGCAAAAGTCATTCGATATCATTGATCCAAACTATCAATTTACATTATATCACAACTTTAATCGTGTTGATCATGAAAAATCATGTGGTTATGAAAAACAACAATGATGATATTAGAAATAATGATAACTTAAAACCGGTGAAACACCTACCTTTTAACTTCTATTGATTTTGTGTGTTAACTGTTTATTATAATTTAATTCATGGGTTGATTTGGATTCCAAATGAAAACTTATGCGATAGCGATTTCTCTATGTATTGCCTATCAGAACTTCTATTAGATTACAACGAGTCAAAATGGTTCTAGTTTCACTAATAGGTGAAGTGACGCATATGTTGTGAAAACCATTCCAAATATTTAAATAAACTATTATATTTTTTTCAATTAATCGATTCATGTTGTTGATTTTTTCCTCCCCCAGTTTATCTCGCTTGAAAATTTCTTACTCATGATTACTTACCACGCGCTTAAAACTTAAAATAAGAGATGACAAAAATCCATTTGTACAAATGGACTAATAGTTAACGATAACTTATAAACAGTTGCTACCAGCAGAGAAGTTTTGGAAGAACTAAAAGGTCAGTAGATGGAGCTATTTATATTTAAAGAAAATAATCTTATTTTAATTCTCTTTCGAATACTCGATCAACTTGTTAAATTTTTTACTCTCTTTTAATTGCTTAAGTTTCTTTAAAAATTGTTAATTCAGTTAAATCTTAGATTTACAGTTTTATTTTGATTACATTGTTATTTGAAACTAGTGAACCAATGGATTCTAACAAAGTTTCCGAGAGACGTTCTCAAGATGTTAAACCTTGTGAGCAAACAGTTAAAGAAGCTGATTGCTCTGCTTTCTCTTATGGAATTAATGCTGAAAATTGCTTAAAACAATTATTGAACATTGAAAATGAAGCAAAGAGATTAAACTTCGAATCTGTAACAATTGCTCATGATTTGGATGTGGAAAAAGACCTGCGACACGCCAAGAAAAAGTATTACAACGAGCTGTGTGAGTTTATGAGCAAAACTCAAGGTTTCGCTCAAAATGTAAAGCAAAAGTGTGAAATTAAAAAAGAGATTTATGGTTCTATTGATAAAATTATTAATGGACTGAAATCACAGGTTGAGGTCTGCAAGGATATTGTTCCCTTGACTCAAACAATTTACGATACTTTGGTCACTCGTAATAAGAATGAAAAAAAACACTACAGAGATTGTGTAATTATGTTCGCCGAGTTTGTCAACGGAGCCGTCCAAGTTAATGGTTTGGGTGAATCTCAAGGAGTAATTGGTAAAGTTGAAATAGGTAATCATAGATCAGCCAACGATATTGCCAAAGATTGCTTACAAACTATGAAACTATTGAAGGAGAGAGAGTCCATGGATCCATTTTCAGAGAAGATAGCTGCCAATTTGCGAATTGAACATGAGACTGACCTGCTAATACAGCAAATAAATGCTAAAAATGCAGAAAGTAAAGTCGAGGAAGAGCGATTAGAAGTGGAAATCAATAATAGAGAGCAAAACATCAAGCATTTAGAAATGGAAATTGAAAAGATGAAACAAGAGGCAAGTGCTATTGAAGAAGGTGAAAAGGCAAAGTTGGTTAAATTAATTTACTCAAATATGGAGAAAACTACTTCATTCATCACTATGGGTAAGAAAATTGATGAAATGAAGACCAACCTAGGAGAGCTGCCTTTCATAGAAAAAACTTACCATGAATTGAAAGAAAAATTGGAAACATCTGAAGAAAAGCTTGTTTTATTGGAAAACGAGATCGAAAACGTCAGATTCTCATGCAAGACCAAGCAAGCTCATATTGACGAGTTGAAGAAAAGAAGTGACAAAATGGAAAAGGAACAATCGGCTCAGATTCAGGAAATTAGAAATAATAATGGAGAGTTGGAAGTTCAGCTTCGTGATCTGCAGGTAAAATTACAAGAAGAATCAGAGAGACTCGAAAGAAATAAAAAGACAAATGTAGAGACACTGCAGCGTCTAGAGACTATTGAGAAAGAATACAAAGCTGCCAAAGATTCAGTTCGCCAAAAGAAAGCAGAACACAAGAAAAACATGCGAGAAAAGAGGAAAATCAAAGAGAATCTCGATAAAGAATTTTTCATGCTCTCATTCAAAATGAATCTACCTTGTTGAATCTTTTCCCCATTGTAATAACCAAATGTTAAAAAACAAAAAAATGAAGTATATTTATCAGTATTATTCATCATACATTATAATTGAATATTGTATCTCAAAAAAGATTGTAACCAAAGTTAGCGCTAAATCACCGAGAAACTTTGAAAATTCAATAAAAAATTGACACTTTAGATTAAAAAAGTAACGAGTAAATTAATTTATTAATTAGATAACCCATGAATTAAATTATAATGAACAGTTAACACAAAATCAATACAAGTTAAAAAGTAGGTGTTTCACCGGGTTTAAGTTATCGTTTTTCTATTATCATCGTAACTGTTGCTTTTGTTCCAATATTTAATCAACCATTTCATGATCAACACGATTGAAGTTGTGATATAATGTAAATTGATAGTTTGGATCAATGATATCGAATATTCGTTGCAACTTTGTATTTTCTTCCTCTTCCTCTTACTCTTTATCCTCTTCTCCTTCTCCTTATTATTATTAACATCTTGTTATGTTAATTAACATCATAATAATTTATAACATTTAAAAACGTTTTTAAATTAATATTGCAACCTTTTATTCAATATTTTATAGACAAAAGAATAAAATTCTGAATTACAAAATTACAATCAAATCCATTGTATTAATTTACAACTTTCGTAAAATTTACAAACATTTATACATGTTTCACAATTAGTTGAATTACATATGGGTTAATTTGAGCCGTGGTTGAATACTCATTGCTTGAAGCTCTTGTAGAAGAAGTTTGTATGCATAAGGAACTTGAATATCTGCAAGAGATCTACTTGATTGGCAATATGAGCACCATTTTTGATAACCAAGAAGGCCACAAGCGGTACATACATCAACATTGAATGCATCACTAGATAACATCAATCTTTCTAACAATAACATACTAACACCATGACCAATCAAACAATCTCGCTCCATTTCTCCGAGACGCAGACCTCCATCACGGGCTCTTCCTTCGGTTGGTTGACGAGTAAGAACAGCTTTAGGGCCACGAGAACGACCATGTACTTTATCCAAGACCATGTGTTTAAGCTTTTGATAATAGATTGGACCGAAAAAAATATATGCAGTAAGGGGTTCGCCAGTAATACCACTTGTCATAACCTCTTTTCCGTGATAATTATGACCGTATTCCTGCATAATTTCGGTCATTTCTTGAATTGTTGTACCTCCAAAAGCGGTTCCATCATGTAAAGTTCCTTTAATAATAGCTGATTTTCCAGCGACTAGTTCTTTCAATTTCCCAACTGTCATTCTTGAAGGAAATCCGTGTGGGTTCATAACCATGTCAGGACATATTCCCTCACAATTAAAAGGCAAGTCCTCTTGAGATACAATAAGTCCGATAACACCTTTTTGACCGTGACGAGAACTGAATTTATCACCAACTTCAGGTCTTCTCATTTGTCGCAAAAGTAATTTAATCAAAAATGATTCCTCAGTATTTGAAGTTATCATGACTTTTTCTACACAGCTATCTTCGATTCCTCTATAGGTGATTGGCACATCTTTAAAACTATAATTCATTGATCCAACTTTGCCGGTACCAGTTTCGTCAATTGCCGTCCCCGGGATTGGTGATTGTTTGTTTACTAATAATTGTCGATTCTTGATAATCTCCCCTGGAGCTGCAATACCGTCATTATCAAGAGCTGCATGACGAAAAATGGGTTTATGAGGAGGCTCAGCTTCCACAATCGGACCTTGAATTCTATCTGAAATTCCATCCATTGTAGGATAACGTCTCAAAAAGCACTTTTGGTTGCGATAAACAAAACAGCGTCCATAACCTCTGTCAATACTTGCTTTATTCATGATAGAAGCATCCTCAATATCGTAACCTGAGTAAGACATAACAGCGACAATAGCATTTTGTCCAGCAGGCATCTCGTCAAAATGAATTAATTCAATTGTTTTTGTTTTAACAACTGGTCTTTGTGGGTAAGCTAGGAGATACAGAAGAGTATCAATTCGTTCTCGTTGATTTAGACCAATCGTGCCCATTGCTTGTTTTCCCATAGCACATTGATATGTATTACGAGGAGACTGATTGTTGTGTGGAAAAGGAATTAAACCAGCACAAACTCCTAAAAGAGTAAAAGGCTCGATTTCTAAATGAGTAGTCACACACATTTTAATATCTTTCGTTTCGATGGCAATGTGTGCATCACTGGCCTCGTTGACATCCAAATATTCAATCAAACCCTCATTGATAAAGTCGGAAAAGTTCATTAATCCCCTGTTTAATTTTTCGATGTGCTTTGATTCAACTCGAGGCAATCCAGTAGAAGTATTCACGATAATATATGGACGGCACAGTCTACCACCATCGGTAGCGATATAAACAGCTTTATGTAATTGATTGATGGAAACTGATATAAATTCAGAGATTAATCCCTTACGACGTAAATGTCTCAAAGTTGTAACTAGAGTTTCAGGTTGAATTGCAATACCAATGATATTTCCATTAACAAAAACTAATGGATGTTGGTTAATTTTGGAGCCACTTTCACATAAATTAATATCTAGCACAAAACCAAAGTAGAGACAGATATCAATGATTGGTTTGTCATCTACATCAGTAGTGATGTGAGTCATGAGAGCGAGATTTTTGATAAGACCACAAGATTCGCCTTCAGGAGTATCACAAGGGCAGACCAATCCCCACTGACTGCATTGCAAAGATCTAGGTCCCGATGTTTTGCGAGTTTTTTCAAATTGAGAGTTGATACGAGTCATCATACCAAGAGCAGAGATGTAACTGAGTCGACTGAGAACCTGACTAACTCCGATCCTCTCCATCTTGAATCTTTTTAAAGTCCAGTTGCCAGTAGCGATACAATTAACCAGGCCATTGGTAATTAAATCTTGCCTCATGTGTTTCGTAATATCAAACTGAGCAGCCGCAACCTTGCCAATATTTTTATCGGTTATCATTCTCAATTCAGAGTTGAATCGTTTCAAAAGATCTTCAAAAAGGAGTCCAATTAATGAGCCAGCAAGCTCAAGCCTTTTGTTACCGTAATAATCTCTATCATCAATGTATTCGGGGTTATCAACTGCCAATATTAGTCGTCTAACCATTTGAGCTAAATAGATGGCCTTCAGTCGGAAATTTAGATTTGTCACAGGGACATGAGCTATTATTGTGGTGGCCAAAAGTTCTCTAATTAAATCAATTGAAGAAAAACGACGATTTTCACCAGCTTTCAAGCCAGATGATTTGTTCTTCAAGCGATTGGCCATGAATTGTAAGGCTTGCTGTGATGTCCAGACTTCTGCTTTATGACAAGCTTCGATGGATGGAATTAGAAAATTGACATCAACTTCACCATTTTCCTTAAGTGTTCCACAAATATATTCCACAATCTCACTTTCACTAAGAAATCCCATAGCTTTAAACACAATAAATATGTGGATTCCTTCGTCAGTGAATGAGTTGTGCTTCATGACTATTTGTTTCTTTTTATTGATGACTAAGTTAGTTCGAGATTTTCTCTCAGCTGTAGCACTGGTGACTTGGCACACTGGACCCTCTTCAATTAAAATACGATTTCTAGAGAGCTAAAAGAAAAGAAAAATGAATTACTATAAACTTTCTTGATGAAGGGAAGTTCAGTTTGTAAGAATACAATACCTGTTCATGAATTAGAATAACTTTCTCACTTCCATTTACAATGAAGTAGCCCCCAGGATCATTTGGACATTCTTTAAGAGCCATCCGTTCTGCATAACTTTTACCATTTAGTATGCAATTATTCGAGCCAACCATGATTGGCATTCTACCAATAACCAAATATTCCGAAGGAACAACACGTTGTTGTCCTTTTGCATATTCAAGCTTAACAGATATTGGAGCGCTGTAAGTAATATCGCGAAGTCGACACTCATGCGGTGTTGTCGGACGAGACACATTGAAACCCTCTTCTATTCGAGGAGAGTCCACTTTAATATCCAGATAACGTAAAAACCAATTCTGATCATTTTCACAACGGACTTCCGCATTCGCTTTGAGAATATTTTTAATCTCCACTTGAATAAAATGATTGAAAGAGTCGAGATGTTGTTTAACCAGACCTTTCATACCAAGAAATGCTGGTAAAAGTTTCCCTTTATCCTCAATTGTAACCATTTTTTGGCACGACAATGAACTTTAAAACAACGATGCTGACTGTCAGGCTATAAACTAAATAAAATAGATCAAAAATTCGTTAAAAATTTAAAAACACGCATTTAAGCTGATAAACTTTAAGAAGCTTAAATTTGAGTTTCCCATTTAAACTTGTGCGTTTGGGATGTGATGTTCATCACATGTTAGGGAGCATTTCAATAGTGCAATTGTAAAACAGGTTTTCACTCTGCTGTCTAATTTTAACAGGTTTAGTTGATCAAATCATCTCAATCATGTGCATATAAATAAAAAGTGAAAATATAAATATTGAAAACAGTTATTTCAAGTTCTGTGGTAAAGTAAAACCTAAAGTTCTAGTGATTCTGTTTATTCCACCACGGCTCAGTTCATTTTCATTCTTCCATCAGCAACAATACAACAATACGTATGCTAAAGTAGACCATTATAATTGGTGAATTTTCTTTTAATGTATTTATTGCATTCACATAATGATAATTAATTTGACTCTAATTACGTTATATTTTGTGATCGGTTAGCAATTTGCTAACCATACCAGTGTAACCATATCTTGATTTATCCTCATGACGTTTGGAACCAAAGTATGTGATGCTTTATGATTGGCAAGCACCTTTTTAGCCACACAAGTGTGATCTTATTTAGGTCTTTAACCCTTAAAAAAGTGCATTTCCACCAAGTCAATTATTCTACTTTATTATACAAAATGAGCCAAGAACGGAGTAAACTTATCATTATGGACATGGCTTCAGTGTGTATAGAGCCATCGTTTTCAGAAAATTTGGAAAAGATTCGAAAGTCCATGTTAATTTACAATTCCCATGCTCCAGTTTATGATTTAAATGATAAACTTGCTTCTAATGGTTACCGAAGCTTAATAAAATTGATGGAAAATTTCTCAAGACTGGCATATCATGACATGAAATCGCGATCATTTGCTGGAGTATCGCCTCACATCGTCAAAATGTCTGAAGTATTTGCTAAAATGTTTGATCATCTTGATGAACGTAAAGTTCTCGATAGTCAAAGCCTAATGTGGCCTCCTGATGCTGATTTCATTCAAATAGCTTTCTCATTTGAGCCCATTATGCACGCTTTTTACGCTCGTAATCACAATTTTTGGCTCTGTCCATCACTCCGATCTATTCTTGGTAATTACATTTCATTGGTTGCCTACAAATCACTCAAATTTTTCGACATGTATCGCCTTTTCTCTCGAGCCAGTACATCACGGTTGTTTGCTGACTATGCATCAAATGTTTCAATCGATTTTGTTCGCATGGTTTGGGGCATGTCTGAGGCCGCTTTTTATAAAAAGCTTTACCCAATGCTTCTGTATGGTACTCGACCATCAAGAAAAAAAACTCTTTATGCTCCAAGACAAGAATTTGCCAGAATTGTTGGACATGATGGTTTAATTGAATTCAATGAATCTCACAGGAACATTTGGAATGTGAATAAACCAGTGCGTTTTAGGTTCCTTCAAGATACCAAAAGCAGTCTTTCAACGTCAACCTTGGTATTCCACTGTCATGGAGCTGGTTTCGTTGCTCAATCACCTGAATCACATGAGGTTAGTTCCTGCTGTATAAAAATATTTGTAAAATATTTTTATCATTTTTTTCAATCGACTTTAACATTTATACCTCCGGCAAAACCAAAATTTCAGGGAAATTTCTTGGCAACTAGGAGACTTCGAGGAAACTAACAAAGTATTCCATTGATTTTACTATCAAACTATACGAACAATTGAAAAAATACCTTTAAAAAGTAACCTTATCGCTTGATTTAATTCAATTGACATTCGATGAAAAGTTTTCCCAGATAAAAGTTGATAACTGTAATTATTTCACTCTGTGTCTATTTTTAGTTATAATTAGATTACTTTGTTTTGTTTGTCAACATTTTTCTTATTCTACGTGCAAGTTTCCATTTTTATATTTTCAATTACAATTGCCTTTTCATGTTGAAGAATTGTTCAACAATGAATCGACACAATTTCCTAATCTGAACTACTTTTAGTCAGTATTTCGAGTTCAGTTGGCTTCCTTGTGTAGCTTGTCGAGACTGGCTTCAAGGCTGGTGTAACAATTGACTTGGTAAACATTTCCCTCTATAAATGTAGTTGGTCAAGCTCGACCAATTTAATGTATTTTTTCAAGGATTCCCATTCATTTGACAATTATTCATTAGCTAGTACGATTTATCAGGATGAAAGCTTTTCAAAATAGATAAATTATTCATAGAATCTGCTTTGATGAATCGATTTACATCTAAATAACCTTTTCTCCATTGGCATCATATAATATTTGTTTCAATCATTGATTGTATCATAAAACATATTATACTTCTAAATTTGAAATCTTATCTTTTCTATTCATGGCAATTTGAGTTCTTTGGCAACTTAAATTGATTGATTAACTGTGATGTTTTTTTAATAGCGATAATATAATATTAATTAATCGTCTTCATTTAATATGTTTTATCAATAAAAATGATTCTCAAGGTCTGAAAGCCGAAACAAAGAAGATAATGATTTATAAATTGATTCTGATTGGAAATACTAATTTACTTTATCTTTTAATTTTTGTACAGATTTACTTAAGAGACTGGGCAATTAAACTTCGTGGAGTACCTTTGGTCAGTGTTGATTATCGTCTGGCTCCTGAGAATAAATTTCCTAGTGGACTTCAAGATTGTCTTGATTTATATTTATGGATAACCAGTGGTTTGGATGAAGTCAAAGATTTAATTGGTTTCCACCCAAAACGGATAATTTTATGTGGTGATTCGGCTGGTGGAGGATTGTGCATTAGTCTTACTTTAGTCTTGAATGAACTGAAAAATTTAATGAAAATTCAGATGCCATCATCGTTAATTCCTTTCTATCCTGTTTGTTCTTTACAAACCTGTGCTTCTCCATCTCGACTATTTACATTTTTTGACACTTTTTTACCTCTTGGTGTATTACTCAGTATCTTGGATGCGTATTTTGTCGATACCAATTCAAATGTTCCCACAAAAAGACAAGATAATAACAGTCAAACGCTCAAACAGAAACAAATATTTGGCAAAAATCTTGAAATAGGACCACATTCCATGACACCTCCGTGGTACAAGGAAAGCGACTTTAAAGAACGACTTGCTCAAATCAACAAAATAGCTGCCGATCCTTTTGCATCGCCATTAAACTATCAAAATTTTTCGACACTCAATGACGTTTCTCTCAATATTATAGTTGGTGAATTTGATCCTTTACTTGATGAAGCCATTGAATTCTCTAGAAAATGGAAAGGTGTGTTAACCATTTAGTGATTCAATCTAATATCAGACTAATTGCTATTCTTTTATTATTTTAGGTCCAATCTCTTTGGATGTTGTACCCAACATATCACATGGATTCTTGTATTTCGCCAATATTAGTGTTCATAGCAAAAAAGCCACCAATCTGTGTTTCCAACGAGTTATGGAAGCTGTTCATTTTCCTCAAGCAAAAATTTGAATATCACTTTTTGTTTATCTAAATTGTATGGAAATACTAAATTGCTGTTGATCAGAATTGATATTTTATAAATTTATTGTCAGTTTGAGATTACCCTTTTTTTCATTTGAACCTGTTTGAAGATTTTATCACAACGACAACAACAAACTGAATTACATTTATTATTAAGTCACTGTATAATTTGGTAATTATCTATGTGACCAAAGATTTATTTGGCTTGTTATAAAAATTATTATTTGACTAGCTGCAAAGTATCCATTAAATAATATATGAGCTGAATTGTTTACATTTTGATTCTGAAATTTTATAAAAATAAATGCATTTTGGATTCTCATTAGTATTCGTTTTATCGTCGTCATATTTGCTTTTAATAATGTCATTTAGGTGACAAGATTTGTTTTAAATTATCATCTGATTATTTTATTGGTTTAAAAATCATTTATTTCAGTCTAGCTCCTCTTCAATCGCAAAATTATCTAGTCATAATATAAAAGAGTTGCTGTATTTTCAAATTATGATATGTTTTGAAAAACGCTTTGATTGCCATAAGTTGTGTTGACAGCAAAAAATTGTCTTGAAATCCATTGTATTCAACCTAGGGATCTTTTTAAATTAATGTTTATAGTCCATATAGTTATTTCAGATAAAATTTGGCTAGAAGATGACAAAATAACATAATCATAGAGAAATTATGTAATCTGATTCAATGCAATTTAATAAATGGTTATTTTAAATGAGAATCTAATTCAATGAGATTTAAATAAAGTCCCTTAACTTACAGATGATATGATCACGTTAGCCTAAATCCTGACCACAATCTTTAAAAGGAATGAATGCATAAAAAAATTGATAGATGGCACTGTTTTTTCATTTAACCAAATAAACACATTGTATTAATGTTCAACCTTTTTTTGATAATCATTTAATTGCTACAAATTATAATTGTGTTTAACCTTTAAATTATTGTTATAATGGACAAAAATTTTACTTGTGATAAATGTGATCGAACCTTTGTCAATATATCAAATTTGAATCGACATAAAAAGTCGATTCATGATATTATCCCTGACACTGGTTTTCAATGTATAATTTGCGATGAATCTGTACGTGATAACCAAACATACATTAATCATTTACATGATGAACATCAAATCAACATTGAACAAAAATCAACTGTTTGCGAATCATTTGAAGGTAAGAATTTTTTAATATCCACTGATTATCCACTGCTCATGGATTCGTTTTTTGCTCGATTTAGCGTTTCTCGAATGGAAAAGACAAATTGAAAATGAAGATTCATCAAGTTTCATAAGTTTAAGAGGCCCACGGAAGAATCTGAACATAGTGACTTATTATTATGTTTGCAGTCGCAGTGGGAAGTATGAGTCAAAAGCTCAACAACGCCAAGGAAGAGTACAAGGAAGTAAAAAAATTGGTGGTAGATGTCCAGCTCATGTTACTGCAAAGAAAAATAATGTTACTGGAATCATCGAAGTTAATTATTCAATTACACATGTCGGTCATGATTGTGATTTGAAATTTCTCAACTTACCGGAAAGAGATAGAGAAGAGATTGCAGCTGAGTTAGCTTCTCAAGTGCCAAAATCTGTTGTTTTGTTTAATGTGAGAGCTTCTCTCGAATCTCGCTTACAAAGAAAACATTTGATAACTTCGAAAGATCTCCAAAATATTGAAGCATCTTACAATTTACTTGGACAAGTTAAAAGAGCTTCAAATGATCTTTTGAGTGTTGAGATGTGGATGGAGCAATTTAAAGACCTACCCGATAATCCAATCTTGATTTACGAGAAAGATGACAAGCCATTCATGCTTGGAATCATGAATGAAACACAGCAATTTATGTTTGAAAAATATGGTAGAAATATTTTGAGCATTATAATTAAAAACGTTTATTAAATTTTATAAATATGAATAAATTGAATAGAAAATCTGCAAAGAAAAGAAGCAAAAATTAATATCCACTTAATATCCACTGGTCTAAAAATACTTACTTATTGGTTACTTGGACGTCCAGGATTATTGTGACGCCGGTCTCCAGGGTCATATTCATCCATTGTAATCCTGCCAGGACATTGAATAGCAGGATTCTGCCTGCAGGAAGGTCCACAAGTGTGGTTGAGTGAGCCTGGAGCTCGGCAGCGCCTGATCTCATGATCAGTGCAGTAGCTGGCTCTAGAAAAAACTTGACCACACCATTGGCAGGCCTTTTCCGGGTTCTTCTTCCTCGGATTATTCTGTTGAAATAGATAAAAAAATACAACATAAGATTACTAACGAATAACTTGAGAAAAACTGTTTTTTTGTATCTATTATAACTAACCTTTTTAGGTTTTACCGTCAAGTCGACCACATCTTTCCTTTTATGGTTAACATAACCTCTAAAAGGAAGATGTGGGCAGTCGACTGTATCAGCCCAAACATCAGTGTCCATCCATCGGACCCGCTTAACCAATCTCACTGCAAAATAATAAAGATTAAATTAACACATGACATATTTAATCGAATCATTTAAATCTCGTAGTTTTTCATTTATGTTATTCTTACTTTTGCCAGTCTTATCTTTTTTGAGGTAGGAGCCTTTTATCTCCTTCACGGGATGGTAATAACCATCAGGGCCAAGGCAATGATTAATTTGGGCAGTTTGTCCATCATCATCCTCATCATCATCAGCTTCAGAGTCCTCTGGACCTGAATCAATGATTGCTGGGGCTGGACCTTCATCATCACTGGACTCTTCATCATCATCCCGCGGTGGGGTCATTCCTCCAGAGGAGTAGCTCAGCTGCAATGGATAAAGAAAGTAAATTGATTCAAAATAAAGATTAACAATTAAAGATTATCAAATATTTAGTTAAAGCGACCAGTGGATATTCAGTGGATATTAAAGAATCAACTTTTTCATCATAATTCAATTAGATTATAACTAAATTAACTAAGCTTATCATTTTTAATGATTTTTAATCATTAAAAATGATTAACTTAGTTAATTTAATTATAATCTAATTGAATTATAATGAAAAAGTTTATTCTTTAATATACACTGAATATCCGCTGGTAGCGCTACAAGCAAATAGCAAGCCAAAGAAAGAGAAAAAGAAAGAGAAAAGGGAAGAGCCTCATATCGAGCCAAAGCAAAACGATGAAAGAGCATCAAAAAGAAGAAGGCACGCAAAAAAACAAAGCTTACCATTACGGCCATTGTAAAAAACCCGTCAAACGGTACTAAATAACAATTTTTAATCAAAAAAACACAAGCAAATCAACTTTAAATCCTTTGTTTTTGTTTATTTCAAAGGATTCGAAAAGTCTATGGTAAATAGTATGTAAAATTTAGTGCCATCTATTTTTTGTTTTTTGAATTGAAGTTTTTTAAAGATTGTGGTCAGGATTTAGGCAAACGTGATATGATCCGCCTCTTCATTGGAGTTTATTGAAAGAAGCTTCACTGAAAGTCATCATCACATCAATTTAATTTGTTTTTTCTTGACAAATGTATTTAACGTTCAAAGTCTTTATTAATTCAGTGATTTAAATGTTTTAATTTGGTCCTGGTAATAGATAATTTATTATAATATCTATTATTTTAAATTTTAAGGGACCCTTTGTGGTTTCCCTTGTTTAATGTTGAACCTTTTCCGTTGCTTGTTGGTTGGTTTACCTGTAACCTATTGTTGGTAAAGAAATAGAGTGGAGAAAAAACCTCCCTCTTATTGGATTATTTGGATTAATTTGAAGCAAATAACTAACTGGACAAGATGATTGGTGGATTATTCATTTATAATCATAAAGGAGAAGTGCTTATTAGCCGCATGTATCGAGATGACATTGGCCGTAATGCAGTTGATGCTTTCCGTGTTAATGTTATTCATGCTCGTCAGCAAGTACGATCACCGGTAACAAATATTGCAAGAACATCTTTTTTCCATATAAAACGAAGTAATTTATGGTTAGCGGCAGTTACTAAACAAAATTTAAATGCTTCAATGGTATTTGAATTTTTACTGAAAATGTGTGAAGTAATGCAAAGCTATTTTGGTAAAATAAGTGAAGAGAATGTTAAAAACAATTTTGTTCTCATATATGAATTATTGGATGAGATTCTTGATTTTGGTTATCCACAAAATACTGATACAGGAATACTGAAGACATTTATTACTCAACAAGGAGTAAAATCTCAGACAAAAGAAGAGCAATCACAAATAACTTCTCAAGTAACTGGACAAATTGGTATGTTATTAGCTTATTATTCCTTAATGATTTTACTTTAAAATTTCTTACGTTTGTGTTTTTTTTTCTGTAAAAATATTTTCTAGGTTGGAGAAGAGAAGGTATAAAATATCGTCGAAATGAGCTATTCCTTGACGTTCTTGAATATGTAAATCTATTAATGTCACCACAGGGACAAGTTTTGAGTGCCCATGTTGCCGGTAAAGTTGTAATGAAAGCATTCTTATCTGGTATGCCTGAATGCAAATTTGGTATAAATGACAAACTCATTTTAGACACTAAAGGTAAAACAAGTTCAGCTTTAGATGATCCAACAACTCGTGGTAATGTTGGATATCCATCAAAATCTTCCATAGCAATAGATGATTGTCAATTCCATCAATGTGTTAAATTATCAAAATTTGAATCGGAACATAGTATCAGCTTTATACCTCCAGATGGTGAATTTGAATTAATGAGATACAGAATTACAAAAGATATATCATTCCCGTTTCGAATAATTCCACTTGTGCGTGAAGCTGGTCGAACTAAAATGGAAGTAAAAGTTGTACTAAAAAGTAACTTTAAACCTGCTGTTGTAGGACAAAAGATCGAGGTTAAAATACCAACGCCCCTAAATACAAGTGGTTGTCAATTGATATGTATGAAGGGTAAAGCTAAATACAAAGCTAGTGATAATGCTATTGTTTGGAAAATCAAGAAAATGGCTGGTATGAAGGAGACACAATTAAGTGCTGAAATTGAACTTTTACTGACAGATACAAAGAAAAAATGGAATCGACCACCAATATCTATGAACTTTGAAGTACCATTTGCTCCTTCTGGTCTTAAAGTTAGATATTTAAAAGTATTTGAACCAAAACTCAACTATTCCGATCATGATGTTATTAAATGGGTTCGTTATATTGGCCGAAGTGGACTCTATGAAACAAGATGTTAATAATAATTAGGAGAAGGAGAAGGAGAAGGAGAAAATGATGCAGATAGAGAGGAAGAGGAAGAAGAAGAAAATACAAAGTTTCAAAATTCATTCGATATCATCGAGCTAACCTATCAATTTACATTATATCACAACTTCAATCGTGTTGATCATGAAATGGTTGATATAATATTGGAAGAAAAACAACAATTACGATGATAATAGAAAAACGATAACTTAAACCCGGTGAAACACCTACTTTTTAACTTGTATTAATTTTGCGTGTTAACTGTTCATTATAATTTAATTCATGGGTTATCTAATTAATAAATTAATTTACTCGTTACTTTTTTAATCTAAAGTGTCAATTTTTTATTGAATTTTCAAAGTGATTTACGCGAAATTTAGTTACAATCTTGTTTGAGATACAATATTCAATTATAATGTATAATGAATAATACTGAATAATATCCTTCATTTTTTTCTTTTTTAACATTTTTTGCTTACAATGGGGAAAAGATTCAACAAGGTAGATTCATTTTGAATGAGAGCATGAAAAGTTCTTTATCGAGATTCTCTTTGATTTTCCTCTTTTCTCGCATGTTTTTCTTGTGTTCCGCTTTCTTTTGGCGAACTGAATCTTTGGCAGCTTTGTACTCTTTCTCAATAGTCTCTAGACGCTGCAGTGTCTCTTCATTTGTCTTTTTATTTCTTCCCAGCCTTTCGGATTCGTCTTGTAATTTAATTTGCAGATCACGGAGCTGAACTTCCAACTCACCATTATTATTTCTAATTTCCTGAATCTGAGCCGATTGTTCGTTTTCCATTTTATTGCTTCTTTTTTTCAACTCGTCAATATGAGCTTGCTTGGTCTTGCATGAGAATTTGATGCTTTCGATTTCATTTTCCAATAAAACAAGCTTTTCTTCAGATGTTTCCAATCTTTCTTTCAATTCATGGTAAGTTTTTTCTATTAAGGGCAGCTCTCCTAGGCGGTCTTCATTTCATCAATTTTCTTACCCATATTAATAAATGAAGTCGTTTTCTCCATATTTGAGTAAATCAATTTAACCAGCTTTGTCTTTTCACCTTCTTCAATAGCACTTGCTTCTTGTTTCATCTTTTCAATTTCCATTTCTATCTGCTTGATGTTTTGCTCTCGATTATTGATTTCCACTTCTAATCGATCTTCCTCGACTTTACTTTCCGCATTTTTAGCATTTATTTGCTCTAAAAGCAGGTCAGTCTCTTGTTCAATTCGCAAATTGGCAGCTATCTTCTCTGAAAATGGATCCATGGACTCTCTCTCCTTCAATAGTTTCATAGTTTGTAAGCAATCTTTGGCAATATCGTTGGCTGATCTATGATTACCTATTTCAACTTTACCAATTACTCCTTGAGATTCACCCAAACCATTAACTTCGACGGCTCCGTTGACAAACTCGGCGAACATAATTACACAATCTCTGTAGTGTTTTTTTTCATTCTTATTACGAGTGACCAAAGTATCGTAAATTGTTTGAGTCAAGGGAACAATATCCTTGCAGACCTCAACCTGTGATTTCAGTCCATTAATAATTTTATCAATAGAGCCATAAATCTCTTTTTTGATTTCACACTTTTGCTTTACATTTTGAGCGAAACCTTGAGTTTTGCTCATAAACTCACACAGATCGTTGTAATACTTTTTCTTAGCGTGTTGCAGGTCTTTTTCCAGACTTAAATCATAAGCGGTTGTTACAGATTCGAAGTTTAATCTTTTTGCTTTATTTTCAATGTTCAATAATTGTTTTAAGCAATTTTCAGCATTGACTCCATATGAGAAAGACGAAAAATCAGCTTCTTTAACTGTTTGCTCACAAGGTCTCTCGGAAACTTTGTTGTAATCCATTTGGTTTTACTAACTTCAAATAACAATTTAATCAAAATAAAACTGTAAATTTAAAATTTAAACTGAATTAACAATTTTTAAACAAACTTAAGCAATTACAAGAGAGTCAAAATTTAACAAGTTGATCGAGTATTCGAAAGAGAATTAAAATTATTCTCTTTAAAGCTCTTTCAGCTCCATCTACTGACCTTTAAGTTCCCAAGAAAGAGAAACTTATCTGCTGATAGCAACTGTTTATAAGTTATCGTCAACTATTAGTTTAGTATAAATTAATATTAACGAGATTAAATGGATGAAAATCATTTATTAAATGTAATTAAGTAAAAAAAGTGATATAATTTTTGCACTAAATGGTGCTCGTAAATAATAAGCTTGAAAAGTGATGAAAATATAAATTTTTAAAGGTGATATACAACTTTAAAGACTACAATGTATTTATTTTGAGCAATTTTTGTCCGCCAAATCAATGAGATGATTATGATCGAGCCAGCAGTTCTTTAGGTTGGAACTTATCTGGTGGAATGTATGGTAAAACGTCATCTGGATAAAGTTTTGCCAATTTAGCAGCGATGCTCTTACGATTTTTGTCACAATAGTCGAGAAAATATCTCAAAATGACTGAGAAAAAGTATTGGCTGAAGGGTAGACGGAAGATGAAATGGAGTAAAATGTAACCCGCTTTCTCGGCCAACGGTGATTCCACAGGTACGTCAACTTTAAAGTCAAATATGCTGTACCAGTATCTCATAAATCCTTGTAGTGAAACATATGGTGATAGAGGCTGTAAACCAATGGCAATACCCTTGCAAGTTTCAAAGCCAACAGAGGAAGGAAACTCCATCTTCTCGATGATAGGTTTATATTCCCGTTCTTTGATTATGGTGCACAGATAATGAGCCTCATCATAACTTCCCGTCATAATATTGAAACGATCCTCAACTCCAAGTAAACGTCCAATACATGCCCAAACATGCATTAGATTTTCAATCTCTTCTCGAGTGATTCCATGGAATCCAATTTTTTTAGGATCCAAGATGACTGGAGCAATAACACACCAAACAGTCACCGCCATATCATATTGGCTTATCCATACCGGATTTTTACCTGGTTCAATAACACTTTTGTTCATATCGGAACCAACTTTTCTGTGAAAATTGTTTACCATTTTCAATGATTTGTGACCAAGGCTACCTTTCTCATAAGGATCCGTTTCATACCTGCCAATGGAAATATTATTACCTCAGCAGCTAAAATACAAACAGTTGTACTAACCATTTTTTGACATGGATAAACACAGCCAAGTAACGAGTAAAAAGCTTGGAAACACTTGCATGGGTCCGAGTTACTGCTAATGGTGTTATCATTGTTGGTATATTGAATAAAACAGTTAGTCCAATGGTGTGACTTAAAAAGACGCTAAAAATTTCAAGTATTTCGGTGTTAGTTAAAGATGGATAAAGCAAATAAATCAATATTTATCATTATTAACACTTACCTAGTGAAATATTTTAAGGCCGTTTCTTGTCCTTTTTTGAATTTTTTTTCGTCAAACCATGATGGTTTTTCATCCCAAACATGGGCATCTGAAGTAGCTGATACACAAGCAGCATCTTTTTTAATCCTTTGATACAATTTTTCACACTTTTCAACCACTTCTTCGTTTACTCTTGGTGTCAAAGACATAACTTGGATGATGGCTCAAAACAACAATGAATTTGAATGTTAAAAGAATCGATGAAACCCAAAAACAATAAAATGGATCAACCTTTTAGATCCACTATTGCGTTTAGCTGTTCTAGTCCTGAAATGGGATTGAGACTTTGTTAAAACTTTGAAAACATAGATCGTAATTAACAATCAATAAAAAATCTCTACAGTTAAAGTGTCTCTAGAATAAATTAATCAAGCTAACCAGACCAGTTCAACATCAGAAGTGGCAAATAATTTCTTTCCAAACAGTAACTATAAAAATATCAAGTGAAAGCTTTTTTAAGGCACAAAAAAAATATTCTTGTTATCCTTGATAGTTAATGATAACTACAGGATTCATGTGTTCTTAAGGAATTATCATCACCACTCTCCCTTTGCTTTTCATCATCACAATCATCATCTTCTGTTTAAAAACTGGTGCCTCTTCTTGATCAACTTCCCTTCTGCTTTTTCCATCTTTACCTTCCTTCTCTCCCTCTCTTTCCCTCTTTTTTTGTCTATTTCTAGTTTAACCATGTTTAACAGTATTTTCCAGTTAACTGTGGTCGAATCTAATAAAAAATAACTAAATTACCAAAGTATTTTGGCAAATTATCAATAGCCAAGAAAAACATTACAAGCATCAATTGTGTTTATTGAACATTACAGACTTAATCTACGCGCGTTTACATTTTGTACTTTAAACTTTGACTCAGGTTTGCAAATGTCTGTAAATAGCAAATCCTAAACACTATTTCAATTAACCAGAATCTTTCGGGTAAATATTGGGTGACATAAAAGTGGGTTTACCGTAAATAATGATGGCAGTTGAAATGAAAGGGACGACTTTGTCGCTACATCAGGATCAGATGGATGAAAGGACACACAATACAGTAAAACAAAATCATGCTACCAGCTAAGGACCGATTACAATTAGCAGCAGATCTAAATAACAAATCTAATTGTTAACCCTTACTCTTCTTCGACTCTTACTGACTTGATTCCAACTCAGAGAGACTTTATACCAGATGAAAGTAGTTTCATCAATATAAACCAGTGTTCGTTATCATATATTCATGATACAGTATGGCTAACAATCAAAACTTAATCATCACCAATTGGTGAAAAAATATCTCATAGACCTTATTTAGATGAGCCATTAAATGTATAACCAATATTTACGTCACAATTGTCAAATTTACGATTCAAAAAATATCATCCAATTTTGTGATTTAATGGAAGTCTGTGTTTCTTATTACATAAGATGGGTTTATTTCCATAACTGTGCATCAACTTCTCATTTTTTATCTTGATTTGCTTCTAATGGTGATTTTGATTACTCAATTGTGGTTGAAATGGATAATCAATTGTGAGATTTATGTGCTGATAAATAATTTGAAAGATGTATTGGTAAAAGGCTAATGAACTAACGCAAGATTAGATTTACTGTGAATAGCAACTGAATCGCCAAAAACATTGTCCTTCATTGTAATTTTCTTGCCAGTTCAATGAGCTTTCAATTATTATTCTAGTGAACATTATTTAATAAGATTCATCTTTTTTTCTGGCCAACAATTAATATATTTTGTTTTAAAATGGCTTGGTTGGTATGAATATAAAATATTTAATGATCCAACTAGATACAAATCAAAACATCAGAAGTGAAAGATAATTTTAAAGAAACAATGATCAAAATCAAACTGATTTTGTGAAAATTAATTTGTGAGATTTTATCATCGACTTGCCATTAACTTCAAATAAAAATTGAGATACAATCAAATACTAAACGTTAGCCCAATGTCACCAATCCAAGTCTGTAAGATCACAATATCAAATTACTTGATATAAATCTACAAATTGATTGTGGTCCAGCAATTGTCAATGTCAATTACCTTCAACACTGAGGCTAAAAGAATCAGCTAACGATGAAAATCAATCATAAATAACAACTCATTATGCTTGATCGATGATAAAATCCATCAATAAGATCATTCATAATGTAAAGCTTCATGATTAAATCTCTCAATTGACCCTGAATCCGATAAATTTACTAAACTTTTGCCTAATAGAGACAATTTGATTTGTCAATTGGTACTCTTGTTTGATATCAAACTGATGATCATGGGTAGAACCCAAGCTCTACATGAAAATATACAAAATATGATGAGAAAAGCAAAATTGAATTGAACATCTCAAAACTACCTGCTATTGTATTTGCCTTAAGGTAAATGTTTTCAACTGAAGTTAAAAATTGATAATCCAAGTGACTTAACATTAACCCAGAGATGAAATTACAAATTCAAAATTGAAAATTTTTCACCGATGACATTGAACATTTGTTCAACTACAGTCAACATATTAGGAAAATCTGGTAAACCTTGAAGTTAAATCTAATCCATTTTTGATATTGAGTAGTTGAATGAAGATGCATTTTGAAAGACAGATGATTCTGCCTGAAAAAGCTTCAGTGTCAAGGTTATTCTTATTTGCTAGAGAGTTCAACTAATTATTTGATAGGAATTACATATTACATGGGAAAATGATATCTTGAAAGGCAAGTTGAAGGACTCATTTCAAGTTACATCCAGATAAAAGGAGATCTCTTGTAGGTTATTAAGTGTCAGGGTAGTTTAATTTGGTGATCTAGCAGTTTTTACAATATGTTGTTACATTACAATTAAGAAACAGTTTAAAAAGTAGAAATAATTTGATTCCTTTGTTAAAATAGATGGAACCAGGTTGAACTAAAATCTTTATGCTGCTGTTCACTTGAGTCAATGTTGTTGTCAAACTGTTGATCTTGATCTGGTCCTTCACTTTCTAGGGAATCGTCATGTTTCACTATTAACTGGTTGTCTGCCATTTGCATTGGGATATTAACACATCCAATTGTATAACCCCAGTAGGAAGATAAAGTTAGATAATAGTCTCCTTTGATGTTGGGAAGCCGGGGATCAACGTAAAACTCGTAAAAGTAATTGTACTTTTTACCTTTCACAATGGGACAGGTTAAACCATGGTTGGTGCAAGCATCTCGATCAACAATTGGTAAAGGTATGCTAACTGGTAAAAATGAATTGGTTCTCTGGCTAACATCTGCATAAACATAATCCGAATCAAATGGAGCCTCGAAATCAACCTCCAATCGTCCTTTGATTCCTCTTTCCATCAAACATGGTTCGGAATCGTTTCGACAGCCAAATAAACGTAGTTCCAGTACTTTACCTCCTGAATCAAGTAAAGAAATAAACAAACAAATCAGATATAAGCTGACAATCATGTATGGGAAAAATGTTAGGGTTACAAATTTACTTACCACAAGGAGAAAAGTTTAATTTCAGGCAAAAACATTGATGGTTAATGCAAAGAATGAAGAGAAATGACGATATCAAGGTAAATTGTTGCATGGTCAGGTTTGTTTGTGTCAATAGTTGATGAACATCAATTGTATCACTATTTTATAGCCAAAAGAAAAGAAAATGATGACCTGACTATTATTTATTCAGGTTAAATGGTTGATTATCGTTCACTTTGTTAATTATTCGTCATCTAGCTTTTCACCTTTCTGTATAAGTCACAGCATTTAGGTTAACAGTGATCATGGAACAATCGATGGTTCATCTGCTTTTTTTGCACTGATTTTTCTGGCTTGATTCTTATTCCCATTTGGACCAGGCATTGCCAAATTATTTAATGCACAGTCTATGTTTTATTATCATCCAGGATAGTTTTCATTCATTTTTCATCTCTGAATTCATCCAGTTGTCCATATATTAACCTAAATTGTAAGTTGTCGACGTGAAGGTTGATCGAACATTAATGAATTGATTTCACGGTCATTATCCTATGAATGCAAATTCATTGAATGGCCATGATCTTTTTATTTGATTTAATCATTTTATCACCTTTCACTTCAAATAGAAATATTGATGTAAACAAGTCTCCAGAAAAGCAAAAGTAATACAATTGTATTTGCCTTTTGTGGATGCAATCCTTATAAGAGACTTGTTGAGTCTATTCTTTCTAATGGAAATGATTAAAATCAGTCGATTCTGATCTTTAAATATCTTTCTTCATGTTGAAATTTAATCTAATTCCATATAGCTTTACGTCGGGCTCGTAACTGTTTTCCTATAACTCGATTCAACTGTGAAAAAAATGAAATACAAATGTGTTTCAATAAGCGTTAAACTAAAGCCATATTAAAAAATCTATATTTTCTCAATTAACTCACCTTTCCTCTTTGCTTTGGAATCAAATTATCAGCAATAAAGTCTAATTCAAAGTCTTCAAATGGAGACAATACATTAATATGAAAATCATCTTTAATATTACCAGGTGGCTCGTAATTTGCGACGATAATTAATTTGCCAGATCGAGATCGAGCTTTACCAATACCAAATTTTCTTGATCCTTTCCAAATCATTTGTGTGAATTGATCTGCATTGGAAATTAAAAAGGCAAATTAGAAAATAATTAAACTCTAAATGAATAGTTAATCTAATTTTTTGTAAATAACTTACTTGCTCGAGTATGTAAAAGATGTGGAGGTAAATCAAAGCGATAGTAGTCAATCTCAGCGTACCAATATTTGGTCACTTGTTCACCTTTACATTGAAACGATCAGATGGACACATTTAGAATTGAATTAATCCAATAAACTTGTAAACCTACCATTAACTTCAATGTCATGAAGACTGCTACACTTAAGAATTAAATTTTCACCAATTGATTTGTAATTACGATGATAAAAGACATCCCAATGGGCTAACTTGTTTGCCCAATCCTGAGCCAATTCACACAAGCCGATTGACAGGCTTAATGGAGGGGCGCGATGTTTGATTCTCAAAATATTATGCCAATGGAGTGAATCAAGAACAAATTTATTCTCTTTGAAAGAAACATCACTTTGACTTGGATCATTTTCATGAACAATTCTCAATCCATACCGTGTAATCTGAATTTAGATGAAATGTTGAAATTATACAAACTGAGAAAAAATAGGAAAAAGAAAAAGAAACTGCAAAAGCAATTGAAAAGACTACACAATGGTGGAGTGCAAAGAAGCAATACAACTTCAACTCTTTTCCTCTATTATGTAAATTGTTTACCAATAGTAATAATATATCACAGTGAATTGAAATAGTCTAACACTTGTTTTCATTTGTAAAACACTTGTACATCATCTTATTTAATAAATATTAATGATTTCCGAGACCGTCAACAAATGGATTGAATATAACTCAGCCAGTGCTTTTCAACACAAAGTCACTCCTTCCTCACCCCATTAACAAGATTGGAAGCGATTCTTTCATCACTATAATCATTCTTACACCATTCTTATCCCCATCATCATGCTCATCATCCTGATCAAGTTACATGTTAGTGTTTATAAGGAAATGATCATCTCAAGTGAAAGGGTGATGTAAAGGAGTGAAAATGCATAGGAAACTGGCTACAGTGAACTCAATGCCTGTATATCTTACATATCAGCCGTTTATCTTCAACTGATAAATGAAAAGGAAAGCAAAAAAAGTTCATCTTCATCATCAGTTCAAGAAGGAGGAAAAGGCAGTTGTGGTGATAGCAAAAAAAACGCTGAGCCAAAACAATCAATAAATATAAATGTATCTCGATGATTTATATTGAAGTTGCCCTTTCAGGATCTCGCTATTTTTTTGGATCTTTCATCGACCAGCATTATTAAATGTTTTATAGATTATTATTGAGCTGTCATTTCAATTCTGGTTCAAGACTAATAAACATGGAAAGATGTATCAAACAAATGGTTAAGAGACATTTACAAGTGATCGTATCTACTATCCTCATCTCAATCTTCATTTTCATCTCTACCCTTTGTATTCACAGACATCAACAATTGATTGAATTGACTTTTGACTTTTTTTTTCTTCCTCTTCTTTATGCCAATATAAATGTTATTATATAAACATAATAGATGGGCTAATAAAGTAATTCATGTTTATCATGGATGGAAAAGATGATGATACAAGAAGAAAAAGAAACATCTTCTAATACATTAAATTTCCTCGATATCTTTGGTCCATAAGAGGTTCACATTTTTCAAGTAGCTATTGATTCAACTAACTCACTTTGATTAATGGTTCAACAAAAATTGATCACTTGGAATCCATTGGAAAACAATGAAACTTGATTCGCATTCAAACAAAAGCCTTTTTATATCAAAATATTGGACATTAGCTGGCAATTTATTCAAATGTTGTTCAAATTTGTTCACCAAATGGTCAAATCACAATAGAGTCAATACAACGAGGCGTTACATTGAAAACATCAAATTTGTGACTTGAATCGTTAACATTGCATTTTGTTCAATTTGATTTAGAATGTTAAATTACTTTTACTTACAATTTCACTAATCAGATTGTATTGATCATTTGTTTGATTGTTATCCTCATTTTCACCTTGCAATGATTCAATTGAAGGAGACAAAGTTGGTCCATTGACTGTTGATTTGAATATTTTCAATGGGATTGATTGAAGGTTAATCAGGCTAACACAACGATCATCATTTGGTTTGGCAATTAATCCCGAGAATCCACTGAAGGAACCAATTTCTTTCCAGATTGAATTAATTAGACTACTCATTGCTGTTGATTAGTTTCACACTTTCAAAGAGTTTTTTACAATTACAATTTTTACACGTTTTTTCAAAAAATCTAATCTGAACTGATAGTCGGTAAAAGTATCAAAAACTGTTGGATCGGTTTTTTTATTTTTGTATCAAACAAGCTGAATTACAACGAGTTTGCTCAGCTTTAGTCTATTGTTTAATATAAGTAATAGGAACATCAAATTGGATAACATTAACATCACCCCAAGAAATCAAGTTTATAATCAAATGTTGTTTGTTGGATTTGATAATAATTTTTCGTGAGCAGAAAGCATCTTAAGTTGAATGAAGATTCATCCGATTCATCTCATGTATAAATAAAATCATGAGTTCTTTAGAAGCTGATCAACACTTTTTTCACTTGCAGTAGATTGGAGTTTACATAAGTCCACTTGTTCAATACAGCCAACAGCCATGTAAACCAGTGGACAGTAACTTTAAGCCTTTCATACTAGACCAGGCTTCTGTGAAGACTCAACTCTGATACATTACATTTATAACTATTAGGTGTTGTGTTGTTGCGTTAGATTGAAAAAAAGTACAGTTGTTTTTGTTACTCTTCTTGAATTTTGTTCCAAATTCGCCATATTTGTTTTTATGAAATAGCAAAACAGAAAGATCAGAACCTTAAAAACAATGGTTCGATTGAAAAACGGCAAAAAACGCACAATTTTGGCATAATTTTCTGTCAGCGGCAACTGGTTGGTAAAGTTTACTGCTCTGAGTCGTGCTTTATTGAATCCAAACCTTTTTCGCGAATTTTTATTTCAATGGATAAATTGGGTTTAACTTTCGCAGAAGCATTCGCTTCTTATTCGGATGATTCAAGTGTTGAGCTTCCTATGACGAATACAAAGTCTTTCATAATCATAAACACACAGACTAATCGCTTGGTTTTGCTTTTTTTTATTTTGAATCACTTTGGCCTGCTTAGTTAATAAGATTTAATCTTGCGTCTGGACGTCTCGATGTTATTTTGTTTTTTACCGGTGAAAGGTATGAGAATCTATTATTGTGTTTACTTTCTATTACTTTTATGACTCAGATTTTTGACCATAACCTTATAAATGGCACCAAGCAATTTATTCAAGAAAATAATACCATCAGAATTTCCAGGTTATCATTTTCAAGAAAATTTATCTGCATTATTGAATGGTTGATTTCATGATCTCCAATTGTGATTCACATTTGCATTAAAATTATCGCCATTAAAACTTATTTCACTGGACTAAGTGAAGGATTGCTGAAGTTTTACTCTTCTTTTAAAAATTGCAGCTTGAAAGACTTTCAATGAAAGCTTCAAAGATGTGTAAAACTGGAACTGTGCATTGGTCAAAATTAACGGAAAAATTTAAACATCAATAGATCGATAGCGCCATCGATAGATACCAGTAACTGGTCACCAGAGAAGTTTCTCTTTCTTGGGAACTTAAAGGTCAGTAGATGGAGCTAGAAAGAGCTTTAAAGAGAATAAAATTATTTTAATTCTCTTTCGAATATTCGATCAAATTGTTAAATTTTTAACTCTCTTTCAGTTGCTTAAGTTTCTTTAATAATTGTTAATTCAGTTTATATTTTCAATTTACAGTTTTATTTTGATTACATTGTTATTTGAAACTAGTGAACCAATGGATTCTAACAAAGTTTCCGAGAGACGTTCTCAAGATGTTAAACCTTGTGAGCAAACAGTTAAAGAAGCTGATTGCTCTGCTTTCTCTTATGGAGTCAATGCTGAAAATTGCTTAAAACAATTATTGAACATTGAAAATGAGGCAAAGAGATTAAACTTCGAATCTGTAACAATTGCTCATGATTTGGATCTGGAAAAAGACCTGCGACACGCCAAGAAAAAGTATTACAACGAGCTGTGTGAGTTTATGAGCAAAACTCAAGGTTTCGCTCAAAATGTAAAGCAAAAGTGTGAAATTAAAAAAGAGATTTATGGTTCTATTGATAAAATTATTAATGGACTGAAATCACAGGTTGAGGTCTGCAAGGATATTGTTCCCTTGACTCAAACAATTTACGATACTTTGGTCACTCGTAATAAGAATGAAAAAAAACACTACAGAGATTGTGTAATTATGTTCGCCGAGTTTGTCAACGGAGCCGTCCAAGTTAATGGTTTGGGTGAATCTCAAGGAGTAATTGGTAAAGTTGAAATAGGTAATCATAGATCAGCCAACGATATTGCCAAAGATTGCTTACAAACTATGAAACTATTGAAGGAGAGAGAGTCCATGGATCCATTTTCAGAGAAGATAGCTGCCAATTTGCGAATTGAACATGAGACTGACCTGCTAATACAGCAAATAAATGCTAAAAATGCAGAAAGTAAAGTCGAGGAAGAGCGATTAGAAGTGGAAATCAATAATAGAGAGCAAAACATCAAGCATTTAGAAATGGAAATTGAAAAGATGAAACAAGAGGCAAGTGCTATTGAAGAAGGTGAAAAGGCAAAGTTGGTTAAATTAATTTACTCAAATATGGAGAAAACTACTTCATTCATCACTATGGGTAAGAAAATTGATGAAATGAAGACCAACCTAGGAGAGCTGCCTTTCATAGAAAAAACTTACCATGAATTGAAAGAAAAATTGGAAACATCTGAAGAAAAGCTTGTTTTATTGGAAAACGAGATCGAAAACGTCAGATTCTCATGCAAGACCAAGCAAGCTCATATTGACGAGTTGAAGAAAAGAAGTGACAAAATGGAAAAGGAACAATCAGCTCAGATTCAGGAAATTAGAAATAATAATGGAGAGTTGGAAGTTCAGCTTCGTGATCTGCAGGTAAAATTACAAGAAGAATCAGAGAGACTCGAAAGAAATAAAAAGACAAATGTAGAGACACTGCAGCGTCTAGAGACTATTGAGAAAGAATACAAAGCTGCCAAAGATTCAGTTCGCCAAAAGAAAGCAGAACACAAGAAAAACATGCGAGAAAAGAGGAAAATCAAAGAGAATCTCGATAAAGAACTTTTCATGCTCTCATTCAAAATGAATCTACCTTGTTGAATCTTTTCCCCATTGTAATCAACAAATGTTAAAAAACAAAAAAATTCATTATTATTCATTATTCATTATAATTGCATATTGTATCTCAAAAAAGATTGTAACCAAATTTCGCGTAAATCACCGAGTCACTTTGAAAATTCAATAAAAAATTGACACTTTAGTTTAAAATTTAAGATCTCTATCTCTAGCTCTGATTAATATTGGAAATAGTGGAAGAGCATTATCTTCGAGAAGTATCAAACATCAACTATAAATACCCATATTAGCATTTATTGGAAGGAAATTACTAAAGAATGATAATTACAAAAAACGTTTGCTATTGTAAGCTTTAAAAACTATCACAGTTTGTTGTAATTTACATAAGCTTGAGTTGAACCTAAAGGCGTCGTAAGGTAAAACTGACGCTTAAGTCGATCCATTCCTTTGTGATGTTCAACTTAACCTTTGAGAAAAGTCTATCTTTATTAGCAAAGGTAGCCTAAGCCATTCATATGCAGGAATTTTAAAGATCCTTCACTTAGGTCAAGTTTTCTTTGTTCATTTTCTCAAAAATATGGCGCCTTTTTAAGAAAATTTAATTCACAAGGAAATCAGGGTAAACTCTTGAATCGACATGCACTCTAGCTTGAGAACAACTGAGAGCAATCGTTTTTTTATTGAATAATCTAAAATCTAAATTAAACCTTAAAGTTTGAACCAATCTTAACCTAAACGCTTAAATATTGATACCATCAAATTGATACTATTGAGAAAACTATCGATACTATTGGTATAAACAAAAATATCATCGCAACAATAGTATTGTTTACCATCGACGATTTTTTTTATTCGTGTAGGCAAGTTTCTAACTAAAAATGTCACAAACTTCTAGCCATTTCAGCGCTCTTGAGAGGCAGCGACTCCGTGAAATCGAGGAGGAAAAACAAAACATTAAACAATTAAGGAGAGAAGTCGCCATTCGAAGGATCAAAGTTTCAAAGGCCGTTGAAGACTTAAAGGTGAGTTGAAATAGTTTTTGTTTTCTTTGTGAGCAACATTTTTGGTAACTTTGTTTTGCTTATTTATTTTTTTATCATTTCTTTGTAATTTAATTGTCTTGTCTTTTCTTTAATCTTTTTACCATCTATCGTTGATCATTTACCGCATTGTGTTAAAGAAATATACTGAAGCCCATGAACAAAAAGATTACCTGTGGAAAGGATTCAAATCGATTAGAGAAAATCCATTTCGAGAGAGACCTAGATATGACATTTGTGGCTGTCTCTTATCCATGTTGCCTTTTTTCGGGTATAATGATCTCTAGTAAAGCATTTTTTGTAACTATTTTGATTACCACACTATTACAATGAGTATCAATGTATGATATCCGTAAACAATTCGTCCAGATTGTATTTGATTTTATTCCAATTATAATTTTATTCAAAGTATCAAAGCATAAATAATATTCAACAGGTATAAAAATTAAATAATTGACCAAATTTGAAACCAGGCTGGAAAAAATAAAGCGGAACCAAAGAAAAAGGTCCAATTGCCATGTATATACCAGTCTTCTAGGTATTTAAGTAGATATGATTTGTGACTTTCTGCTGATCGTGCGAGATGAACCATCGGATCTGTTTCATGGTGAACCAAGAATGAAACAACCAATATACACAGATAGCCAATTGAAAGAGGATGAAGAAGAAGGATGAAGGGAGCAAGAAGCTTTCGTAAAATTGAATTGGAAATGGATACACATAAATAGGTGACCGGTACTATTAGGACGGTAAGAAACAGAGCCAGTGATATGTTTAGAAGTGATAGACAGGATAAAATTAAAGCGAGATTGATTAGTGCTACACACTGACGAGCTTTCAATTGTTCCTCAGATTTTTGCTTCCATCGGAATATCGGATTGAACATTAAAAGCAAAGATGTAGAAATCAGTGTATAATAAATAGTATCTTTGAACTTCAAGTTATAATCATGATAAAGCCATGAATATCTTTGGATTAAAGCGGGTAGAGAGGCGATTAAAAAGCCCAAAACATGGCAATAAAAGTTGAAAGGTAAAGCATTCCAAAGAGATTCAACTTGGGTTGAGTCTTGTTCACTTTTATCCTGATCAACTTTTTTCATGGTCAAATAAATATTTAGAGCTTTGAAAAGCAAAGGAAGAGCCATTAAACCAAATGGAATCATATAATATCCAATTGAAATATATCGACGAGTTGAAGGTAATAAATAGAACCAGTAAGATCGGTTGAATCTTTCCAATAAATTATTTAAACTACGGAAAATACCTTCAATGACCCGACCAACCTGGAAAAGAGGAGCAGATAGATAATCTTTGCGTTGATTGGCCGCAACTTTTCCAATTCCTTCCAAAGTGATCGCTTGTATAGCATATTTATGAAATAACCCGTGAGCTCCGGTAGGTATTGTCTTTGCTTGCGAAATCATCATTGAGGCTGAATTTTAAAAATGGAGGTACAAAGAAAAGATATAAATTATTGAGTAATGAAATATGTTACACAATAAATGACTTTAACCAACAATATTGTAGTGAAAATCACTTTACCTGTTGTTAATGCATAATCTTTTGAAACTTCATAAAAATCTGCTGAGAAAGGATGTGATTTGCCGTGGAAAGTAGGAGTAATTGATTCTCTTGTTGCTAGCTCTACAGCAACATTGAACAAATCCAAATTGGGTAGTTGTCCGTTCAAACCTTCAATCTTAACCTCTAATCGAGCAATATCTTCTTCGTAAACCTGCAAATTCACAGCTGCTTGAATTGGACCACTCTTTGCTTCTAGGTAACCATAGTCAAGAACAGAAGATCGATCGACTTCATGGTATGCATCAAGCCATGCCTGGAATCCAATATATTCTTTGTCACAAACCAAAAATATCAGGTCCTTAGCTAAATAGTTTTTGCTGGAAAAATATTTGGCCAAACTCAACATTAAAGCAATACCAGGTAAGGTTTGTCCATAAACATTATTGGAAGCTCGGTAAGGCGATGATATCACTAATGCTTCGGTGCTTTGAGCCCGTGAAGCTCTTAAAATTGCATAAACATTATTCCCTTTGATTACCTGATGCAAAAATAAAAGGCAATTTAATAACTAAAACCAACGAAAATATCTAAAACTTACTTGTTCTTTACCAAATGGATAATGTAGTGTAAAGTTGTGTTCATAACCGTGCAAGCCAATGGAGTTGAATTCATTGACAAGCCAATCAGCAACTAATTCATTTGGTCGTGATTTAGCGACCTTTCTAAGCCTGGTTAATACATCTTTAAGATATGGTTGATTAGTAAATTCTCGATTAACTAGACCAGGTAGAAGAGCATTGTCACTGAAATATGTTGTGTCAACGTAATTTTCAGTTACCAGAGCAGCAGCAACTATGATTGCTGAGGTGAAACACAAAAAGGACACTTTATTTGCATGATTCCGTAATAATTTCACTATTCCACTCTCTTCACTTGATTTGTCATCAGTTAATAGTCCCATAATTAGGCTAATTAATTGATGTCACCAATAATTAAAAGAGAGGAAAAGAAAAAAAACAGAAAGATGTTTTGACCAAGACAACCACACAAACAAACATTGACGGTACATTGAGGTAACCATGACAGGAATTTACAAGAAGCGCCAATTTTCAGAATCAAAAAACTCAGTAGATTGTAAATTGATCAAAATATTTCTTAATTGAGACTCTTTTTTCACATTAATAGATAATTAAAGATAACAATTTATCAAACAATATCGAGAGCAATCCTTTTTACAATAATAACAGTAAAATAATCTAAAAGAATGAACTGAATACTAATGTATTTTCAACCCTAATGCGTTTAGATTCATTACAATACCTAAAATCAATCTCATATTAACCATATTAACATTTAATAGCTAAACTAGCCTTGACAATCAGGATTAGTGATTAACCATGAGCATAACAAACACAAAAAACAAATGCAATCAACCAAGACAATTAAACGTTCAAACCAAACTAGGTCAATACAAATAATGATTAGTGTTAACTCAACTTGATCAAAATATTTACATTACAATTCAACAGATAACAATATTGAACAACAGTTAACCGTTTCATTTGCAAATCAGGGATTCACCAAACAACAAAATTAGACATGAATACATTCAACAATTGATTTCCTACTCATTTAATTAATCCAAATCAACTGGATCAAACAATAAGCAAACCAAATCAAGCCTTGAGATGAACACAAAAACGTATCAAAACATGTTGAGACAAAAACAAAAATATTGATGTTATATTAGGTCAGCCGGAATCGGTCGTAATCTGAGCGACCACTGACCTTAAATTAACCATTTCTTAACCAGAATTTCATCTAAATTTAAATTATTTCATCTGTTGGGTTGATTCTTCCTGGGAAATGTGTGGCTTGGTCAGAAGCTCATCACACAAATTCACTCTCATTCAAATCTTAAGTCTTTGCTTCACTCGGAACAATCATTTTTTAAGATACTAATTGTTGGCTGGTAAAAACCATGTGAATAATAATATTAAGCTAAATGATCATGTTTATCATTAAACATGATAATGATGGAAGTTTCTGTTCACATTTTGAGTTTACTTTTACTGATTAACTCAAGAGTTGACAAAAGGTCCGTCTAATTGTGATTGAAACCCCAAATATGGACATCATTACTTCTTGATAAGTGTACAACTCATAATCTTAATCATTATCATTTACCTTGGCAACAATAACTATCTACAATAAAAGCAACTCTTACTTTTTCATTAACCTTACACGTTGGGCTGACACGAGACTCATGATGATCATCATCATACTAATTATCATTTCTTCCTGGTAAATTAAGCACAGTAAAAAATATTACTCAGTTTAGTCTAAAATAATTAGTCCTATTGAATACTTGAAATATTAAAAAAATTGCCAATTCTTCCTTCTATTTTTTTTTACTTTTGTTTCGTCTCCAACTAAATACAGTTTATTGACTTGATCATTATTATTACGAGTCATTTTAATATTATTATAACCCTACTTATTACCCTGATTATTGATTGAAATTAACCTTCGAAATCTTTTATTCACTGTTTTCTGTTCTTCCCCAAACCCAAACATTTCATTTTTACCCAATTTTTCCGTCTTTCCAATCTGTTTAATGGAAGCTAAAGTGAAGCAATTTTTTGATCAGGTAATTGTGTTCATTTAATCATTCAATTGTGATTAATCAAATCCTAAATGGTAATCTTGTTCAATTGTAATCTTAATTCCGTTAACATTCCATTCAATGATTCGTAGACACAAGTAATGGTGAAAATATCATTTGCTTCTCATTTTGTTTTTGGGTTTTCTGGTTTTCTAGTTTTTGGTTTTCTGGTTTTCTGGTTTTCGCCTTTTCTATGTTAGCTTGACTCCTCTTTGATCTCTATTGCTTACAAAGCTTTTACCTTCATTATGTGAATAATTTCATCAATTAATTGGTAAATTGGTTTAGTCTATTGAGAAGTGAAAGAAATGAAATTATAAATCACAAGCGATTCATCTTTTCTCGACCCACAACATTATCTGTTTCACTTGAAGCAAATGATTCTTGAACTTGATTTATGCTTTTTCCTGGATTCTAATTGTTATCAAGACAAATTACCCAATAATCATGTTGAAATGTTGATAATTATCAAGCAACTTATAAATACATTGTACATTGTATTAAGCAGTTAAAATTCAAAATGAAGCTGTTTTATGAAAGACAAAAATTAATGTTCAATGATTGAGTCAGCTTCAATTGATTGTTGAGCAACAGTTCTTGTCACTTATTCAAGATTCGTAATCATTCTGGTTTGAATCAGTTTCCTTCAGGTATCAATTTGAATTGCTATGAGACATTCAACTAAAATATTTCATATCCAAAGTCAATTTTTGTTCATTTGTTGACAACGCATTAAGTAGTTCCAAAATTCAAGAGATTCAGATTTTGTTAATTTACGCTTGAATAGATAACAAATCAAATGATTGGTAAACACCGGATGATGAGTAAAATGATGTAAACATGTTTATTTGTTAATTAGTCATATTGCGAGGTTGAATTGATAGTCATCTTGAAACGTCATTGAAGTATTATCAATCAGATCAAATCGGACGATTGATATTGAGTCTGGCTTATTCTAGCTCTAACAGGAAAATCACAATCAAGATTACAGATCCAAAGCGTTGATTGTTTTAACCATCTTCATATTATGATATTTAACTCTATCCTTTGTTGGAAAAATATTTTATTATTATTTTCGAGTAAATAACACAATTAGGAAACAATAAGATTATCAAAACAACATCAACTTTGATTATCATATTTATTCAATCAATCTATCGATATCTCTAATATCTAGATATTGATATTGGCGGTTAATGGATACCGAACGATTCAAGGCAGTTAAAAACACTGCTAGGCATTTCTGGTGTCTATCTAGTTTTGATTATACGTATCAAAGGTGTGATTTGTGATTATAATCAGTGAATTGATTGTACATCTTGATTATTAGACTATTATTGAGTTGTAGCTTACAAGCGGTGGTCTAATTGATTGTCATCTCAGTGGGATGAAACAATTAATGATAATGTTTAATCATCACTTTTTTCTTGCTTTCACTCATTCTTTATTATCCTCTTGGTTGCTACTTTGTTTCCTAAAGATAATTAATTTGTTAACTTTCGACTGTTACTAACTGTTGTTTTATTTCATCTATCATCTCACTTGTTAATTAATTTAATATGTCACCTAATTCAACCAAATTAACTGAATATCTCCAACAGAACCCGATTGCCCGGTCGTTCATCATTGGTTCCTTCAGTTCATCATGTTCAACATTGTTATTTCAACCTTTGGATCTACTTAAAACTCGTATGCAAAATATTGAATATTTAGCCAATTCTTCTTCACCGTAAGTAAATTATTCATTAAGTTACGTTTTTTTATTGATTTCTAATTTATTGATTACCTTTTTAAACAGAGTTGCTATGCATAGGATGAGAATGGTATCAACTTTTACTGATGTGGTTCGAACTGAAAGTATCATTGGATTATGGAAAGGAACTGTTCCGGTAATTATCTTAAGTTTACTATTAAATTCTGAAGAGATGTTTACAATTAACTCATTTTTCCTAATCTCTTTTATTTCCAGTCTCTTTTACGTTGTATTCCCGGAGTTGGACTTTATTTTGCCTCACTCCATCAACTTCAAACCCTAATCACTGGTGCCAATCAGAAACCATCAGCATCTCAAGCCATGCTTATTGGACTTTCTGCACGTTCATTATCAGCATCGATTTTACTTCCCGTTACCGTGATTAAAACTCATTATGAAAGTGGAAATTTCTCATATAATAGTATTCCAAATGCATTTAAATTAATTTACCACCGACATGGTTTCCGTGGACTCTATTCCGGAGCCTTTCCAACCATATTAAGAGATGCTCCTTATTCTGGAATCTATTATATGTTTTACAGTCAACTTAAAAATATTACAACTTCAGATCATGATGACAAGCGACAACCCAGTCTGAAGACGTTCATAAATTTTACTTGTAGCCTTATTTCAGGTATTTTTGCTTCCATTATTACCCATCCAGCTGATGTTGTAAAGACCAAAATGCAACTTGATCCAAAAGGATTTCCTGAATTAAGTTCATCGGTTGCAATAATATTTAAAGATAAAGGATCAATTGGTTTCTTTATTGGGTTAACTCCACGATTAATGAGAAGAGCTTTAATGACTGCTTTTACATGGACTATTTTTGAACACTGTATTCGTACGTTAGGAGTCAAATAATGTGTTCAACTTCCTAGGAATATATTCATTTTTATCATGTTATCTTGTTATCTTGTTATCATCTTCATACCAATCTCCTCCTCCAAAAACTTGACCTTTTATTTATTTGCCTATTTCTTTTGTTATTTATATGCATTTATTTATTTGTCATCATTCACGTTCAAGCATTCAAGATGCAAATTAAAGCCAAAATCTTATTGATTATTTGATTCTACTTTTTTTATCTCATAATCAATCTTTAGGTTACATCTGGTGGTCTGGGTTTGCCTGTACTTAACCCATTTTACTTGGAATTAGATTTAAATTGTCGTCACAATAAGCTGTAAGAATGAAATTGTTATTTAATTAGTAAATTTTTCTACTTTCAGTAGCGAAACCCACAATTTCAGGAAATCTTCCAGGAAAATCAAATGACTAGCATTGTAACACTTTGATATTTCCATTGCTGAACAATCCTCTTTTATCAACTCAGAAGCTTTTTTTCTTATAAAATTAATCAAAGAAGATGCTAGTTTTGAACAATTTAAGTTCAAGTTACATTTGTTATTCCTTATATAACTATGAGAAACTCAACTGGTCAACAACAAACTACAACATTTATGCTTAATGACCAGCTACGAAAATGGATAAACTAAGTCACGTTAAATGTCAGATAATTAAATGACACTTGAATGACGATTAATAAGGTAGGAAATAATAACCATACAATTAGAGTAGTTAAAGATGAATTTGAAAATGTAGTTAAGGGTAAGAAGACGAAATTGAATTGAGTAATGGTTACCCCGGAGTCAAATTACACTAGGCTATTACATAAGATAAACTGTTACATTTCCAACAATCAATACAATGAGTAATCAACATGGATATTATAATCTTACATTGGAACTAAAATTAAACCCAGTTACACCTGTCGTTAAAAGACGGTTACTCAATTGATTTCAAAAGCGGAAACACAGGGTCAACTTTAAACACATTTCGAGGCTTATTAAGCATTAAAATTTTCAGTGAATAGATTTAGAGACTACTCTGGGATTTAAAGTCAGAAAGATAAAGCCGCTTCAACAGCAACGGAAAAATGTTGAGCATAATTAACCTAATCAGCATCCATGTAGTCGCTGGCTGATTTTCAAAATCATTATAAGGCGATTTCTAGAAGCTATATTCGCATCATCTTGAACATTGGCTCTTCAGGTCTTGTCTTCTATGTAAACAGTCAGTTGCCACAAAAAAAGACGCTTCAGGGATTATAATCAGTAGCACGTTTTACATGGTTGAGAGCACATTTCTGCCGACATTCGAAGACTATTGAAAATCTTTTCAAGCTTAATTTTTCTTCAACTGACCCATCTGGTTTTAATTGGTTCACCATTTAGGTTTACTGGAAAGATTGGCGTATTAGTGTTGAACATTGGCAACTTTGCCCAGTTCGCTTGACCAATAAAAGTAATCCAATTAATGGAAATATAACAATGATTTGAAATCATTTTGTAATCTTTCAAGAGTCTATTTAGGTTTCACATATACAAAGAGAGTCCACTTGTTCTGTAATTATTATTATTATGGGCTATGTACAAGGCCTTGCAGTTCATTGTAGTACAAAAATGATAAAATCAATCATTTAGACTAGTGATAAAAACTTAAATATTTTTAATGAGTGTTACCTCAGATTCAGGCATTCCTGGGAATGTCTTGCAGCTTTTAATGGCGCCGCTTGGTTGAGGTATTATATTTATGGTTTTGGTACAAAATGAATGTATTAGAAGAGAGGAAAGTGTAAGTTAAGTTTTGGTGGTGAGTTGAGGAATGATTTCATGATGAAAGAGGATATTAAGGGAAAATCTTTACAAATTTGGGGTTTTCTTAGACAGAATTGAATTAGGTTGAGTTTGTTTTTGTAGATTGAATTACATAGTTGTTCAAGGTAGTGTCTTTGTCCTGAATATTTGGTACAATGTGCAATCCAATGGATATTGTCAGGACCTTCGCACCCACATGAACATGATTTATTTTGTGTGATGAAATTGTAGTAACCTAGGGCGAAATTGGTGCAGTTAGAAAGTTTACTTTCAGTGTCCATGATGGTCCATTGTGGTAGTATAAATTTAAGATTATGATTTTGTTTATTTTTGATTGTATTTTTCCAAATTTCGTTGGTATATTCCAAAGCCAGATTTTGTGCTTGCAGTTTGGGATTCCAGTAGGCTTTATCATTGCGAATGGTGATTCTTATAGAGTTGTAGTATTTGTCAATACAAGGAATTTGATTGCTGAGGTTGGCATCCAAAATTTGCTTAATTCCAGTCTCAATGAGTTTATGCCAAATAGGTTTCATCCCAAGTACTGAGTAGGCACTGAGCTTGTTTTGTCGAGGTTTTATGTTGAAGATTTTTTTGTAATGACTGTAGATGGTGTCATCAAGGCGTTTACTGAGTGATATGTTATTTATTAGTTTGGGAGTAATAATGGTGGAGTAGGGAAGAATGGTACTGGTTATTAGTGAGTTAATGAGAATTTTGATTATTTCGGAAGGAAGGGCAGTGAGTAATTTCATTGAGAAATTTACTTTTTTGATGACAGCAGTTATTTTTTTGATGATCTTGTCAACATTGAGTTCAAACTTGGTTTCGAAGCTGCATGGTAAGCCTAGTATGCTTATCTCTTTCTCGACATTGATTGAAGTTAGTTTTTTAAAATGTTCAGTTTTTAAGTGATGAGTTAGAATGTGAGATTTCTTCTCTGAGATGCTTAGACCGATGCGATTGAGATTGTCATTGAGAGCCCCCATGAATGCTTCGATTTTTGAAACTGTATTGTCACTTAATTGTGCATAGGTATCTTCTCGTTGTTTATGAGAACCTTTGACTACCAAGAAGATATCGTCAGCGTAGATTTGTAAGTTAAAGTTTGGTATCTCTTGTATGCTATGATAAGTAGTTCCGGGTTGAACCATGTTGAATTTTTGTGCAATGGTTTTGATGACTGTATTTAGACCGATAATGAAGAGTTTGGGACCTAGAACAGATCCCTGAGGAACTCCTTTGTTTAACTTGCACGACCAGTAGGTTCCATTATGTCTGATGACACAGTATCTGTCAATCAAGAAGCACACTATTAGTCGTAAGATTCCGATGTTAATTTTATCTTTCAGTTCCTCAATGAAGGAAGTGTGTTTAATACAGTCGAAGGCACCAATGATGTCTGACTGTAGGATGGTGCAATTTAGGTAATTGTGTTGATTGAAGATGGACATCAGGCATGTTGAAATTGATCTACCAGCTAGATAGGCATGTTGGTGCAAATAGTATTCCACAGGAATTGCTTTATTGATTTCTTGATTGATATAACACTCGAGAATTTTGCTAAAGATGTTCGTGCATTGAATGAGTCTTGTACGCTCACCATCGCTCTTTGGTATTACTATGCCTCTGGATCTTTTCCAAATGAAGGGATAATAGCTGTTGTGTATCAAGACGTTGTAGAGTTGAACAAAGTATTCCATGTTCGTAGTTATTATATTTTTAGCATTATGTTTTTTCATTTGGTCGGTACCAGGAGCAGAGTTGTTTAGCTGTTTAAGCAATTCCATAAGATTTGTTTCGTTCACATATTCTTTGTCTGGCTTTCTGAGTGTGATTTGAATAGTCGGTTTATCAGGTATTTCGTCCCTGGTGTAGTCATTGAGTAGTTTGATTACATTTTGTTGATAGATATCTTTGGTTTCGGTGTGTTGCTTGATTATTCTTTTAATGTTTGACCAGGCAGCTTTGGGATCTTTTTTGATGTTAAATTTGCTGTGAATTACCTTCTTTAATTCGGTAAGCATGAAGCTTTTGACGAGTTTGATCTGATGAGCAAGGAAGGATTTATCTTGAGAAACTTTGATCGCTGCTTTTAGTGACTTTAGTGTTTTATTGAGCTGGTTGAGTTCCAATGATTGTTTTGAAAATGATTTTATCCTTTTTTTGAATTTCGATTTTTCCAATGCATCATACAGATCTTTATTCATTTTAATTAGATCTTCATCCAATTGCTTGGATGTCTCGAAGGATGTTGGCGAAGTTTGTTGATTCTGGTTCTGTTCTCTCCAGAAAGTCTTACTATCACTCTGGCCTTGTCATTGTTAAATCTGTCTTTATACTCAAACTTGGCAACGAATTCGCATTCGCTATCAGGGTTCAGTCTATTTCTTTTAATGAAATTTTCCTTTGTTTCAAGTTGATCAGCATTGACCACAAAGGATATTTGAGGTAAAAGCTTAGGAGGCTCCCTGATTTCAAAAGCATCTTCACCAATTGCTTCTTTAAGTTTATCCTGGATTTTTGTTTTAATCTTGGAGTCGTTTGAGATCATTTTAACTGCTTGTTTGGTGGTGAATAGTTTTTCGATCTGGATTTCCTGATCATTTCTTATAAGTCCATTGACATCGTCATTAATTTGAGCTATAGTCTTGGTTCCCTTTGGCTGAATGATTAGTAGCTTTGAAACCGGTCGTTTTTTGGTCTTGGTCGCATACGTTTGCTTATTGGGGTCTTGAGTTTGGCTGATCTGGTTGGCTTCAAGTCGTTTGGCTAGGACCAATTGATCCACCATCAATTGTAATTGATGAAATCTTCCATCTACTCCATGTTCGTTCTTCCTGAGGCAGGCGACAGGTAGGATGGATTTGATGTAGGATTTAACCTCTTCAAGTACTCCTTTAAGCAGGTTTGCTTGGGTCTCCACGTGGTTCACGTTTTCCATTCCAAAAGGGCCTCTGATGACAGTTGTAGCACACAAATTATATATCGTTGTGAAGGGGAAGTCTTATACTTTATTTTGGTATTATAAGGATAGTAATTAGATTAAAAATACACTAATTAGGGCAATTAATTAGCAGAGCTAAATTTTAACATGCACGCAAATATTGTACAAATCAAGGATGGTTTCTATTGGCAACAATTTAAACCAGTCGAATAGATAGTCGATAGATGGCGCAGAACACTTGCTCAACTGTTCTGTTCGCTTTGGTTTTTTGCTCGCCAATAACTCAATCCAATATACTTCTTTTATGGAGAAAATTCTCTTTTTTTAATTGTGATTATAATTAAGGTTAATTATTTATATCTTACTTTTTATTGTGTTTGATGATAACTTTAAGTTCAGGTAACAAATTTTTACCCAACGGTTTGTTTTAATCTTCTCTCAAAGATGACTATTTGTTTATTAATTGTCTAGACTTTTTTACTTGGATTGCTCAAGAGTCAAAAAGAGAAGTAGTGAAACCCGTCAACATCAAAATTGTTTTCAAATGCAATCTCAAATGAGAATATCTTCAGCATCTTCGAGTGTAACTGGAGGTGCCTCTGGCTCTCTCATGGTTGGACCTAATTTCAAAGTGGGCAAAAAAATTGGCTCCGGTAATTTTGGTGAACTTAGACTAGGTAAGTTTATCAAAGGCCTAAAATATGGAGTTTGGCCTTTTTTGTACTATCTGTTTTCATCTCCCCTCTTTTTTTTCTTAAAACTGGTTGAATGGGAAGATAGTTGAACCATACATATATGAAAAGAGAAGAGAGTAGGAAAAAAGGGAAGGAAAGGAACCATTCACCTTGGCCATCAGTAAATCTTGTAAATGCTAACCTTCTCGTTCTTTGTTTCATTTTATTCCGGCCTTTGACTCTTCCTCTCTCACCTCACATCACCTCTCCCTTCTCTCCATTTCTCTATATATTTCTCCTCTTTTATCGTTCACATTCTCTCATGTTCACTCATTTAACCATCTAATCATAATCTGGTAACATTTATACAACAACCGGTATAATTAATTTATGAGCCATAAGAATTAGATTAATCCGGACTGGATTGATTGTAGTCATGTCTCCAATCAACTGTATTGGCGATAGCTCAAGATAAAGCTATAGGTTGTTAATTTTTTGTCGCTAATTGAAAGAACTTACCGTTTTATTCTGATCTTTTCTTCTTTACAGGTAAAAATTTGTACACTGGCGAACATGTAGCCATTAAATTGGAAGCAATGAAAACCAAAGCTCCACAATTACATTTGGAATATAGATTTTACAAACTTCTTGGCAATTGTGGTAAATTTAGTTTGTGTTTTTGCACTAATCAAAGAAGTCTAATGTTAAGATGACTTGGTTACTCATAAATTCTGGATATTACTAATGCAATTATTCTTTGATCTTTCCAGAGGGCATTCCTAAAATATATTACTTTGGACCTTGTGGTAAATTTAATGCCTTGGTTATGGAATTATTGGGTCCAAGCTTAGAGGATCTCTTTGATCTATGTGAACGTCGTTTCTCAGTTAAAACAGTCATTCAGATAGCACTTCAATTGGTACGTATTATTAGATCATAAACAACTTCTTAAAACCTTATTGTTACTGACGCTTATTTTCTCATCTTTATACAGTTTAATAGGATAGAATATGTTCATTCCAAACATCTCATTTATCGAGACGTCAAACCTGAAAATTTTCTATTGGGGAGGCCGAACTCCAAGAAAACAGTAATCCATATGATAGATTTTGGCCTAGCTAAGGAGTACATCGATCCAGAGACAAATAAGCATATTCCTTATCGAGAGCATAAAAGTTTAACCGGCACTGCCAGATACATGAGTATCAACACACATCTTGGCAAAGGTTAGGAATCCCTTATTTCTTTTTAGTCATCTCATGAAACCGTAAATTTAACAGTCATCCTGTTAATTTAAGTCCTTGTATATTTTATTCTATCTCTTCTGAGTAGACATTCTTTTTGGTGAACAAGTTTTTCTCCTTTAACCTATTCACTAGTTTTTTCAATAGCTTCATCTACTTAATAACGTTTTGGTTACAATTTACTTTAAACAATGAAAGCCAAGTCATTCCACACTTTATTTTTTTCAAGCAGCATGAATATGTGTGCTACAACCGATCAGAAAATGATTACAAGTGTGACGGTATTACGACAATTTTGAAGGTTTAGATTCAGTTAAATGCCAAATAATACAATTGAAAAATGCGTTTACGCTTATTGCTGACTTTTTTGAGTTTTTTATTTGTTTCAAGTTATTATCTACACCAAAAAAGATCTTTTGTTTTTTTTGTTGACTTCTAAAAAAATAGTGGTTAAGGTTGAATACTTGAACTAAGTAACTATTATAATCAATACAAATTGACCATTCACGCAGTTTCAATTTGAAATTGCTTTTGACACTTGAATCTACGGTCTTATTGGTCAATCTTAGGTATTTTTTAGTGCTTTTCCTTAACAAACTGTAGCATAAGTGATTTTGACTTTTGATGAATCTAATTTCCTTTCCTGCTATCTGGTTTAATCGATAGTTGATAATAAACTCTTCCAGCTTATTTTAGTGTTTCTTCCGCAAAGAGAACAATTGACAATTGCTATGAGTATGAGAAATACTATCTTTTATGTTTCTTGTATAACAGTGATTGTTTATTGATCCTGATTTCTTAATCAGTTAAGATATCTGATTTTATAAATGTTTACTATCGAATAACAAATACAACCACTTTAGCACCCTCTACCTCGCTCTCAAACTGTAAGCCTCACCAAGCTTTATTAATAATGAACTTATTTTTTCATGTGTATATTATTGAAAAACTTACCTTAAAGATAATCCAAAAATTTCAGACCTTAAATTATTGCTTTGAAAAAACAAAACTTTTGGTGTTTATATTTGGCTGTCAAAATATTCTGTTGAAACTAGAACTCATTATCTCGTTATCATAGATAATTTCAGATTTTTCTGTTTTTCTAAAAAGTATTTCCCTTCTCTATTTATCAACTCGAGTTCATCAAGCATTTTGAATCCACACCGATAAGATTAGTTGTCATTTCATTGAATTTAATTCTATTCATAGCTATCGAAACATTGCTAATTACAGTATACTGAACCTTGCTCGTTCATTGTTTTGAAATTTATCTAAATCAATTTTTTAATTATTTATTCACAGAACAAAGCCGTAGAGATGACTTGGAAGCTCTTGGGCATATGTTCATGTATTTCCTTCGGGGAAGTTTGCCCTGGCAAGGATTAAAAGCAGATACTCTTAAAGAAAGATATCAAAAGATTGGGGACACAAAACGAGCTACTCCGATTGAAATTTTATGTGAAGGATTCCCAGAAGAGTTTGCTACATACTTACGTTATGTTCGTCGATTGGACTTCTTTGAAACCCCAGATTACGAATATCTTAAAAAATTATTTATCGATCTATTTCACCGAGAGGGATTCTCACATGATGGTGTATTTGATTGGTACTCAGTAAATCAAGTACGTTTCTGATCAATCACAATGAAAACATGCCTTATTCAATCATCTGATGATTTGTTTTTCATTGAATAATCCAGGAAGATTTTATTCCTGCTTAATTAGGCATTAATATACATTATCTAATTAATCTTTTCCTCCTTTTTTTCCTCCATATTTATACAAACTTTCCATCTACTTTTCTGTTACCATGTCTACCCACTTTTATTGCACTTTCCCACTTTGACCTATTCACTTGTTAGCAATGGGCGGATGGCGATAAAAGTGTAGATTCAGATAGATTTAAAATAAGAGAGAGAAATGAAAGAATTGAAAAGGATTACCATAAAAATATAGGACCTATGAAAGAATACTTGACCCCAGCCGATAGACATGGCTCAGTGCAAGTTGTTAGCTCAACTAACGGAGAATTAACTAATGATGATCCAGGAACCGGTCATTCTAAATCTAGAGTCCAAGATCCTGCTGAAGTGGAGGTTGTATCCGAAACGAAGTAAGTATCTTGCAAATTATCTAATTTACTAAAATAATTTACTTTTTCTTCTGAAATTGTTGCTATTATAAGACCATTTTTAAATTAAAAATATTTTTTCTTCCTTTTTTTATTATAGATGTTGCTGTTTTTACAAAAAGAAAAAGAAGAAAGCTTCTCGACCCAAAGATTAATTAATGGTATATTTCAGCTTCATCGATCCTAAGCTGGAATGAATCTGTTTCCATAAAATTCCTCTCGGACTTTATATCTGCATGACGACTTAAAGCTCTCTTTCTCTTTCTATATATATCTATCTCTCTTTCTCTCACAATCATTGAATTTTCTCTTACTTTCGTCACTGTCCATCTTCACCATCCTATTTACCATCCTTTTCATCTTTTCATTCTTATCTTCCTTTATATCAAATTCTACTCCGAGAAATGAAAACAGGATACAGCAACGGACCAAAATCGAAACCCTTCATTGTCCACTTAGATCGAGCATTTTTCTGTAAATTTTGAAAGCAAAGTTCCAACAGGATAGCTCATAACATCCTAACATAAATCAATGCAACGAAATGCTTGGAGTGAAATGATCTAAGCGAATTAACAACTTTGATAAATGCTTGCATTTGTCTGGACTATTCTTAACGGAGCATCAGATCATGTTGAGTTGTCTATGTATAAGTACAATTTACTGGCTCTGGTATCAGGCAGATTCATCGTTTTTCAATAAAAATTAATTGTCTGAGCGATAGCAAAGACTTTATCATGACCAAGATAACTCATTTTGCTCATTCTGGATGGTTTAACATTTCACGTTCCTGTGCATCGGATGTTGGATTTTCTGGATAAATCAAATCTTTTATCAGAATATTAGCTCATCAAATTGGTTGAATTTGTTCAAAATTTGCAGTTTCTATCTTTTAGCTCAACCCCATGGAATCACAATGTTCAATGCTCATGGATACAAACCTTTAACCTTTACAGACACTTGAGTTTAGACTTTTATCCATTACCTAGACCAAAAAATTTTTTAAGTTATCGTGATTCTTATTCTCGTTATCAGACGCTCAACGGATCAGTTAATCATAAACCGTACTTTTGATATTTGCACAGTCTTTTATCGGATCTCAAAGTGGTTTATAAATAGAATGCGAAAGTTCTATTGTTCTACCTGAGTTTCAGTGCTGGTCAACAGTTAATTAGAGTTGATGATACAGTTGTACTAAAATCTGTGATTAAAAAGTAAATTTGAAAATTATTTGATGAACGTGGAAAAAGTATTTCATTAACGAAAACGATCAATATTTCTAGTCCAATTGACAATTAAAATAATGTTACCAAAAAACTATCCTAAACAATGAGATTGACTCCCTGGAACACCAATGAGCAAAACAATCTCCAGTTAAGAAAAGGGCCTCAAATCATCTCTTGAAATCAAATTTGGTTGAAAAATTACACTTCAATTGTTAATTTTAACTTTAATACACATTAAATTAAATTTGATTATTGAAACAGTTGACTTAAGTCTTGTAAATACAGTAGTGGTCAGGGTTAATGATTTGATGTGAATAAGAGGTTCACTATGAGATATGATTAGTAGAAAAAAATTGAACCATTTTCCAGAATCAACCATCAATTGTCTGAGAAACTCACTAAAATAATTATTAAGTTGACATCAAGTTAAAGGTTTAATTGCTTTTATTAAAAATTAAAGGAAGCAAATTGCGAGGACAGAGTTCATCTGATGCTCTAGCTATTGATTTGCCGCAGTTTTGCATTAAAAACCAACACTTGTTTAAATACCATTTACCATCTGAACCACAAACTGGATCAGGAATTGTTACACATCGCGTTGGACAAGGATTGGGTTGTTGTACACACTCTTTCATATCAACCACTGAGAGCTTTTTTCTGCAAGACAAGAGTAAAATAAATTAACTTGATTAAATGACAGTAATTTGGGGAAAAAGGAAATATAAATTAAAAATAATTATATCAATAAACTGGGAAATAGATAAATTATTTTACCCGCAGTTTTTTTGACGCATAACACATTCATTGCGGTAGAGCTGCAAGTCAGATCCACAAACAGGTCTGTCAACTAATAAACAGTGTTTCGGGCAGTGCTCAAGTCGACGAGAAGATCCTGATCAGTTAAAGAGGCTGTTTAATAAGCTATTGTTGACAATTTAAGTCTACTTACGTCTAGCTGATTCAATACAAAATGATTTGTTCACAGCTTTAACCTTTTTTTTGCCACAATTCATCTTCAACATTAGGCACTTGTTTGAGTACATCCTATCATCGTCACCACAGACTGGATCATATATTTCAAGGCAAAATTCAGGACAAGACGATTCTCCCATGCAATAGTTCAAGTCTACGACTGTAACATTTTTACTTGGGGAATGGGAAATGATTAGTAAATTGTCTAAATTTGATTAAACTTCAACTTACCCACAATTTTCCATTTCCATCTGACATTTTGATCGATACATTTTACCATCAGAGGCACAAACTGGTGAATGTTGGTTACATTGTTTTGGACAGTTTGTTTGTTGATTTTTAATTTGAAATGAAATTTGTTGACCTGAAATTTGTTGATTAACACTGTTAAACGACCATCTTGAGACAATTAAAAATAGATTACTCACTTAATAATGATTGAAGTAAAAATCCAAATAAAGCAGCTAGAACTGTTGACTGCATTATGGGTGTTGTTCAATGGAAATAAATAGATGCGAAATTAAATGTTATAGTTTGCTATCCAACAATCAACTGACTGATCAGAGTAACTAATGGCTACTTTAATATTAATATTTGCAACCTTGAGATGGTTGTTTTCAATGATGACCATTGCTTCCAATTTCATCTCCAGTTAGCTTTCGATTTACATTTTTGCTTGCAATTATTCCTTCAATTCTGATTATTATTATGCTTGAGCCTCTGTTTTGTATTTCTTTGTATTCCTCAATTGTTACTAGAATTATTAAAACCTCATTGCTATTCTTAATGAAATTGAATCACGCTGAGATGAAATGTCTATTTTCAATTTCATCAATCTAATGTTTCAGCCTTCAAGTTTCGTCTTGTTTAGTCTAGTTGCATTTAAAATGTAAAATCTTATGATTGCCATTTGATTTTGAGGTTTAATAAACAATTCAACCTCAATTTAAATTGACTCAATTCATAGAAAATATATTTTCAATTTTTAAGGCATCAAAAACAGTAAGCTTGGCTCTTGGTTATTGGTTGAGTTGCAAGTCTTTGTAATTTCATGTCAACATCTAATGATTGATTTGTGAGGTTATTAAGTTTCTGAGTTAGATTACCTTTTATTCTTGAAAGAAATTTTGAATTATATTGTTCAGTAGATCAACAGCATGAAAATTGTTTGCGATTAAAATTGATGTTGACTGCAAAAATGGAGAGCAAACTTCAATTAAAATCCATATAGAATCCATTTCAATTTTGATCTTTCATTCGCACAGTCATAAAATGAATGTAAGATTTCACTAGCATATAATGATTGAATTAATCAATGACGGTTGCATGTTTAATTTCAGTTTATTGTTAATTTTCAATTTCTGAGCTACAAGAGTTTCACTTTGAATACGGTCCCCAGTTGGCGGTTCAAGTTTTTGTTCACAGCGTTCAACATTTAGTTTCTCGCATGTACAACCATCAAAACTGATTATTTAATTGCTATTTGTTGAATTTAAAGACTGTCATTATCAGCTTGTGTTATTAATAATAGCAAATATTGGAAAGGTAAGTTATTTCTCTTATTTACTCCAATTACTCTTGCATGCAACTTTCCTTCCAAACATTCCACTGCTGTAAACTTGAGACCTTTGTTTAACCAGATCCAGCCATAACAAAGTTTCATCGTCAATTCATGTTTAAGTGTCTGGATGGGTTTAATCACTTCAATCTTCTAGTCGTTAATCTACTGTTTAATCCGTATGCAACTGTCTTTTGTTTCTAAGTTTTGCTCGTCAAGTTTTGAAATTGAAACTGAAGATAATGATAATGATAATCTTCTCAAGGGAGATCGTACCACTTTAAAAGGAGTTAAATGTTAATTTCGCTTCAATTTTCAACTTATAATGACCCAAAGCTGGTCTGTTTTAGATTTTGGAAACAACTTTGCAGTTTACATTCAGTTACTTCGTCTTCTTTCAGCCTTTTTCAGCTTATTTTTGTGTTTTATATTTCCTTAAAGATGACCATCATGGAGAACTCGAAATATAACTCAATTGTTGAAGACTTCAGACAATTGAGACAAACCATTAAAGCTGTTGATATTCAAGATGTTTTGGACGCCTTATTTGAAAAATATTCAAAAGAAGGATATGAAGAGAAGCTCATTTTGAGTTTGATCATGTATGTACATCAAAGTGATACAAGAGCTAAAGTTGGAAAAGTTGACTGGGCTAAAGCCTATGACGATTATAAAAATGGAAAAGGTACCATTCTTGAGATCGCCAAAGAGCTGGATATTAGTCCAACAATCGTAGCCAAAAGATTTCTTCTCAATATTAGTGATAAACTCACTGTTAAGCAGTGGTTACAAGACACTAATGAAATTCCCAATGGTAAGTAAATCCGACAAATTACCTTATAAAAAATTAACTTATCGTTTCCTCTATTTTCACAGGAGAACTTGCAGTTCAAGTAATGATGGCTCAATATGCAGATCCCATTTTCGGCCAACTTTCCCATTGTGTTATGCGTAACGCTGGAGAACTATTTGAATATGAAGTTGCTCAGATTCTTAAGAAAGCTCAAATTTCTTACGCTTCAGAAAATTCACTAAGGACGAAAGAATTCGATGTTACTCCAGACTTCAAACTAAACATTCCAATCGAGATAGTCTTATCATCAGACAATACAAAAGCGTACATTTTACCTCCTGTAAAATTACCTCTATGTCAGTTGTGTTCAACTGATGAATTTTCAAGATCAAGAATTTTCATTTCTTGGATAGAATGTAAAGCTCTTTTCGCCTCTGGACACTGCCACAAGGACTATCTCAAGTATCAGTTCAATTCGTATGCCAATAGATTCGGTCGTGGTCTGATCTTGTACAAATATGGATGTACCCGTAGTGTGATGAAGAGAGATCCCAAGCTAATAATTGCTGAAGAGCTAGTCTATCATGAATGTGCAAATCAATTGGCAAACCTTCGTTTGTAATTCGTATCTGTGATTTCAAGTTTATTTAAATTTGTGATATCTTGTACAATAATTCAATCGTAATTTTATATTTTTATCAAAATTTATTTAAAACCCATAATTAAATAAGTTTATAGTGATTTCTTAATAGCTTACAGTTTTTGTTCCATGCCATCTCACCAAATTCACCTTCATTTTTGTCAGATGTACAATTAGAAATTAGATGTAAAAAAATAATCAATTGTTGTCCAACTGAGTAAACTATTATATTCAAATAGTGACAAGGACAGACAATTCAAAATATTTACTGAACTACATTCAGGAGAGAATGCAAATTAATATAAATTTGATTGTTCTTGAGTCTACTCATAATTTTAAATTAATGAGCAAACGAAGAAACCAAATTCAAGGCTTTAAACTCTTCTATGAAGGTGAATTGTGGAGATGAAATTAACAATAAAACACGTCAATTATGAGTCTATTTAAAAATTAATGAAGAAAATGAAATTTCAAATTTCCAATCAAATGGTCGATGGTTATCCAACATGAACTCTAACACCGCCGCCTGGAGCAAGGCGATTCCTCGCTACACCGACTTGAACCAAGCCACCCAATACATCGATTCCCAAACCAGAACCTTCATACCCTTGGTCACGATTAAGATTGATGATTCCTCTGATAAAAAGATAAAATATATCTAAATTAATACTTGTTCAACATTGTTTAATTGATTAACATGTTAAAATATAATAAAATCAGTGAAATCTAAGAAACGCTCAACACTGATAGAATCATTTTGTTTAATACCAAAGGTTATAAGATGTTAATGTTATACCAATTCAGCTAATGAACAAGGAAAATGAATTAAATGTCAAATTCATCTGATAACATCTCAACACAGCAATATACACTAGAGTACCCGGTTAAAGCAATTTTTTTTTCTAAGTCTCCATCTAGTGATAATGGGTTTCAGAAAGTGGCAGCGCTTAAGATTTATGTAATGCAAGGATTATAAAAACAATGTAAATTTTCATAAAATCATAGATGGCGACTGTGAAAATTGCTTTAAATGGGACACAAAAAAATTGCTTTAACCGGGTACTCTAGTGTATTTAGATTTATAAAGATGTAAACAATTTATAAACAATTCTGTTGTTTTATAATCATTACAATGAAATCTATGTCGTCAATTGTTTACAATTTTATTGTATCTCTAAATGTATTGCTGTGAGGAGAGGTTTTGTTCAAACTCATATTCTTAGATTGTTTTAGTACTTACGGAATGTTGAGTCCGAGCCATTGAGGAGCTGCGAGTGTATAGCTGATGGTTATTGCTAAGAAAATGGTACAAATTACGAAAAGGTTGAATTTCATTTTGGTCGATGTTTAAAGTTGACTAAATTTGAATAACAAAAACTAAACGAAGAGATTCGAGGAAATTTTTACACGTTAATGTTGTTGACTGGTTCAAGATTTGTTTAAAAGTGAACAATTTTACCAAGATGAAGGTGATTAAACAAAGCCAGGTTTTGTTGGGGAAAAGGTTGGCTTCATATTGAGACAATCTTAGCAATCAGCGCAGTTGTTGTTGTTTCTTTAATTGTCATTCGTTTAAACCAATCATGGGTTCAACTGAAAACCACCCCGGGTCAGGTTCATGATAATTAGACAACTTTAAAAGCTTTTGCTCTCCCTTTCAGGTCATACCAGTTGCTGTTAACATAATCCTTTAAGCAATAAAAGCACCATAATGTACCTGACATTGCTCTCAAGCAAACAAGATCTTCAGTTTTAACAGCTGTGACCTTCAAAGACTAAAAAAACTGGTTAAATGGTCTAGATTTGTGTCGTCAATCACGTTGACCATATCTCAATGGTCAAACCTGTGTGACAAACTAGACCAATCCAAATTAGATGAAGTTGCTTCTGTTTACAAATTTTTTACCAAACAGATTATCAAACTAAGGCACAGAAAAGGAAAAATGCACCTAATTAAGCAATCAAAACAATTTAACCAAGATTCTGTCCATTAAGATCCAAACAATTTACTTTGCTGGTTGGTTCAGCTTGAGATTTAGCAACAATTGAAAGTCATTTTGGTTAACCTACAAGGTCAGAACATATTTAACAGCCATAGATACCAAAATTTATTGTCAACGAATCAAATTGTTGGATTAGGGATAATTCAATGCCTGATAACTCGTTGATCCATTTTGATTTATCAATGATTTATCTGATTTAGTTTACGAATTGCTTTTATTTCAAATTCACCGGGCATTTCTATTACATAAGATAAAGAAAGATGGAGCTAGAAATTGTTGTTACTCAATATAATTAGGCAATAAGCAAATTGCTTAAAGCTGTTTGGTGTTTAAATTTTTTACAATTTGAATTGCAGCTGAACCGGTTTAAATTTGATTTTGATTGACTAACTTTTTCATTAATCATTTTAATTTTCATTTGTATAGTCAAATTCATCCTTTTCTTTTAATTAAAACCACTGTCAATATTTCTAGTAAAGTTACTTCTTCCATATCATTTACACGTCGATTTCGTTTTCTTCCAACTCTTTCATTTTGTTTTGATTTGATGTACTTGTGATTGTGATTGTGTCTCTCTGTTTCCCTTGTCTTGTTTCGCTGTGCTTTCATCTTTTAATCAGCTCTTGATCTAAAGTAACTTGAGTATCAGAATTGAATCTTTTTAACTAATTGGTTCGTGGTTACTGGTTAATAAAGAAAATCTAATTTAAATCTAATTTTGCAAGCAAGAAGAATGAAATTAAATTAAAATCGTTATTACTATTCGATTGAACTCGTATTGCATTAAGTAATTAGACCATGGGGTCTCTCATATCCCTATTAATGATGTCTCGGACTGTCCAATTTGCCGGGATAGTTGCGTTGTCATATGCGTACGTTTTATTTACTCCATTCACAAAAGTTGAGGAATCGTTCGGGATACAAGCGGTTCATGATTTCATATACCTTGGGTTTCCTCGAGCACTGGACATAGCGAATAGATATGCTAATGGCACTGCTGATATATCGATTAGTCCAAAATTTCCTTTAAAATTAAAATTTTCTATTGAACCGACCAATATCGTTCATTCGCATAACTACAGTGGTTGGCGTTGGGATCATGAAGAATTTCCAGGTAATTTTGTCCTTTTCAATATTAAATAATCATTATTGTTATTATTATATAGATAACATAATTACTTAATAATTGTCAAAGTTTGCATATGTTTTAGCTTTAAATTCACATTTCTTTTTTAAATTTTACAGGGCCTCTTCCAAGAACATTTATTGGTCCATTCATTTTGAGCTTATTCGCCTTCCCTTGGTCCATGAATACTCGAATACTCGAGAAAATATACATCCAGATAATCGTTAGGATAATCCTGTCAAGCTTTGTACTTCTCGGATTTTTTAATTATGCGTGTGAAGTTACAAGAAAATTTGGACGCCATACGACCAGTGCTCTTACCATTTTAACGGCATCGCAATTTCACTTTCTATTTTATGCATCAAGGCCTCTTCCAAACACTTTTGCCTTGATTTTAGTCCTGTTTGCCTCGGCTAAATGGCTTTCTGGACGCAATACTCCATTTATTATTCTATGTGCAATAACTGTTGTGATTTTCCGTGCAGAAACAGCCCTTTTGTTTGGTCCCATGATCATCAGTTCAATATTTTTCCAATATAATCTTGATATATCACATTTATTTCTAGTCGGTATTCCTGCTGGATTAGTTTCTCTATTTGCTACCGTCCTATTTGATTCATTTATGTGGCAAAGATGGGTTTGGCCAGAAGCTTTTGGCATATTTTTCAACGTTTACCTCAACAAGTCAGCAGAATGGGGAGTTCAACCCTTTCTTTGGTACTTTTATTCAGCTCTTCCACGATCTCTACTTTTCTCGCTTTTCTTTGTACCATTTGCATCAAGACGGTGTATGAGAACCTGCTTTGCAGTTTCTTTCGCATTTATTTTTCTCTATTCATTCCTTGGACACAAAGAACTGCGATTTATTATATATTGTCTTCCATTACTTAACACTTGCGCTGCCAACACGATTGCTATTACTGGATATCGATTTTTTACTCTTAAACCTTACCCTGAAAGTTGGTTGATTTATATCATTCGCAAGCGTTTAGGTTATGAAGTTTCGACCGAAGAAGAGGCTGAAGAACAGCGACAGATAGAACAAGCGAAAGAAGCTAAGAAAAGGAAGTCCAAAAAATCCAAGGCAAAGTTACCCGATAAATACGACGCAATACCATCACACGCATCTCCCGGAACAACAGGCGATACACCATATTACCCTGCACCCGGTACTTCGACACAAAATGTTCGTAGACGACGAGGACAAAACAGAATGTATTATGATGAAGTTCTCGACACTCAATATTCTAGCATAACACAGTCTGTATACGAGATTAATAGAAGTGCCACATCTGAACAGCAAGAAACCCCACCAGCAACAAATCGACCTGCATCCATCGAAAACTTACCTCCATCTTTTGCCTATTTCACGACAATAATTCTGGTCATCATGGCTTTCCATATTTGGGTAAATATTGGTTGTCTTGTTTATGCTTCTGTAGCCTCATGGCACAACTATCCTGGTGGTGATGCTGTTAATTGGACAAATAAACGAATCAAGTCAACCGATTTGAAAAGTTTTAAAGCTCAGGATATTGGTGTCTATGTTTGCAATTTAGCTGCTCAAACGGGTTTCACTCGATTCCTTCAACTCAATGGAATAACCTATGACAAGTCTAAAGATTACGCATTAATGGCCAATAAAACTCGGAGAATAGCGAAATGGAGAACTCGTAACCCTAAATTGAGACCATCTGCCATTGGCAAAGATTTTAAGGTTGTCTATTTCATTTTGGAAAATATTGATGTCGATTTTTTGACCAGATCTTGCTCTTCTACTGCAAGGATACCTAAAAAAGCACCCAAAACAAAAACTACGATCCGCTTATCTGACAATATTGAATCCGTTGTTTGTAAATTAAGTCCAGATGCACAGGACTGTAACCTTATCAAAGCAGTCAACGGGTACGATGGAATTGATTTAAGTCGAGCACCCAAGAGTGTATTTGTGTTAACCGCTCCTAAATTGTGGATATTCCGATGCGTTACACGTTAATACAAGTACTTTTAATGTAAAATTATCTTTACGTGGGATGTACATTTATAATTATATGTAAAAAGCTCAAGTTAATTGATACCCAATCGATGAACTAAAGCTGTAATTTGTTTCTACACTCGGTGCCAACAATATCGTGTTAAAAATTATTTCAAGCATCAACCTGGTCATATTCAAAGATGAAGCTGTGTGAATTTAAATTTTGATTTAATCTTTTGGGTTAAATTGCGGAATAAACATTACCTTTATTCTGGTGTTGATTATTGTAAATAATTTATCAATTCAGAATCTGGTAACACTCATTTAGATGATCACTATTGGATAAATATCAAAATGAGCACAATCAAATATATAGAATAAATAAAATCATTTTATACTTGTTTTATTGTATACCTGCACCGATTGTGTATCTTAATCCTTGCCAATTCTTAAATCACTGAAAACAAATAAAACACGAAATAATTATAATACAATGAATCTTAAATACTCAATCTATTGCAATCAAATTCAATCTTAATGCTCACCTGATTCACTATAATAGCGATGAAATCAAATTTCAATCTCAACTAATAGTCTCAACCATTTCTCCAGAGAACTTGATCAATCAAGATTAGTATGAGTTAATATCAAGTTATGATTATTAAACAGTTCTGTGCGAATAACCATTAACTTTAAATTAGGTCAGAGGTTTCAGTTAATTAAAATTCTGTCCACTAAAAATCAAACTATGTTTCACTTTCTTCCGCCTATTCAACTTTAAACCTGTAATTTATTGCCCATTGAAAGTAATTTTTTCAACTCGCAAGGTCAACAATTTAAGATCCAGAAATTGACTAACAGAGATCATTAATGTTTAAATAATTCAATAACCTTGTACAGAAACAATTTGGTTAATCAATAAGGGCAAGATGTTATAATTAAGTATCAAAGCTTAGAGCATAAAAAAGCTGAAAAAAGACTCATAAATCATTAGCAAATTGCAATCTCAATAGCTAAAGGTAAATATTGAATTTAACTATTAATATATTTAGTTGGCTTGAACTCTCTCTAAATCAACCACTAAATTGTTCATTTTGCTCAGTAATTATCTTAATCAACTGGTTTTCTGGTTTCACTTTTGGTTAATGATGATCTTTTTGATATGATCAATATACTATCAGTATTATGATGAAAAGCCATGATTAACAATCGAGTTAACACACAAGATTGACATTCTGGTTGGTTGTTTTAGGTAAACATGAAAAAAAACTCAAAAAATGGTATATTGATGGTGAATCTTGAAGATATATTAACTCAGAACTGGTTAACCTAACAATTATTGTTGTAATCATCACGATCATATTATTATTGTAAATCAACTCAACCAAATGTTTATTTAATCATTTATTTGTTTAATTCACTTATTTCAATTGTTTGCTCAGAATCTTCATCAATCTTTAATCTTTCCGCTCTGAAAACAATAAAATACGGAATAATCATAAATAATTAAAGAAATCAATCTTGATATCATAACTAATGATTTGTCATTTAATAAAGCATTGCTGAGCAAAAAAGTGAGACTTGAAATTATAACAAATTTCTTCTAAATCACACGGATTCAATCAGGAAAGATTGATTTAGCTCAAGCCTTTTTAAACAATTAGGTTTACCCATTGATCATAAAGGATGGTGGACTTTATCAGTTTCAATGTTGAGATTGATTTACTGGTGACAGTATCCTTTTCATTTGGCGCAATCTTATTGTTGGTCGAAGAAAAAAAACGGTTTGTTAACGGTTAAGATGCGCTTGGATTTTATACAAAAAAGCCAGCATCGATGATGACGATGAAGGTAAAAAACAAATTATAGTGAAGAAAGAAAAGGAGAAAGAGAAAGATTTAACGTGAAGATAAGAAAGAAGGAGAGCGAGAGAGAGAAGAAGAGAGAAAGAGAACCAGAAAAGTTGACTGGTTAACTTGTAAACCCGATTCAACCTGGTTTGTGTGTTTTGTTTCAAGTCAATTTTTAAATTTTCTCCTTTCTTGCCATTTCTTTTTGTCAGACCTTTTCTTTCATCTTTTCATCATCTTTTCATCCTCTATTTGATCAACATCATCATTTTCTTGATCACTTCCATCAACATCTTAATCAACACCAGCGTCAATATAATAATCTAACATAACGCCATTTTTATACTACTTTCATTGCATTCACTTGTTTCTTCTCTTTTTCAACTCATTTTTCTCTTGATTTTTGGTGGATTTTGTGTGTCTCTTTGTTTCTTCTGTCTATTGTTTTATTGTGTTTTCATCTATAATCATCGGTTAATCAAGGGTAATCTGAGGGTCAACGTTAAATCTGGTTGGATTAATTGTTTATGTGAACATTATCTCAGTGAAGGCCTGTTTCTGGAAGCCAAATAAGAAATGGGATTAACCAAGAAAAGAGGATCTTGATTGAGTAAACACTCGGAATACTCTACATACTGTTGAATCAGTTACCGGCTACCGGTTACCTAAATATCATTATCAATTTTTCAACTAAGCTTCGGTGAAAGAGATTATTAATTAAATCAATTACCCACTCAAAGCACATTTTTTTCACCAAATTGGATTGTTTTTTAGTGTATCATATTTTTGCAACTTATCTAAGTGTGGAACCAATAATTGAGTATTACAGCAAGCAGACTTCAAGTGAATAAACTTTCCTAAACATTGTCTATCCTTCAACAGATTCTTATGCTTATAACTAGATAATCAACCTACTCAACGTTGGTTAATCAATCAATCAATTTTTATTTTATCAACTTTAAATTAAAAAAGGTAAGATGTTGTAAAAATATTTATTCATGAAAAAGTGAGAAAAACAAACCTCAATTTAATTCAGTCTGACCTTTCAGTTTTTCCTAAAAAATACTCTACCTCGACAGTTGACCAATAATATTATAACGGTCAAGGAAATTGATGGCTATTGCAATGTTTCTCATTTCTCATGAGTTATCTCCTTATCTCTCGGTTTGATAAATTTGTGTACTTGGTGAAACTGACAATGACTATCATATTCAGCCCTGTTTATTCAAAGTATCAGTTGTTTAATATCTGTTATAAATTGCTAATAAATTCAAGAAATAATCTCATTAAGCTAATCTTTACATGTAAAGTCAAAGTCAACTAAACACAGCCGTCGCGGCTTTTTTCTTGACTCGTTTTATTAATAGATGGCGCTATTCAATGTCTTTCGTCTTAATTATTGATTAAGAAAAGACTTTCTTTTTTCTATTATAAGCAATTCTTATTAGTTAACTCACAGTCAAGTTTAACAGTAAGTTAAGAAGTGTTAAATGGAGACAAGTATTTTAATTCAGTTACACTAATTTTCTACATTTTTAGTTGTGCATCTCAAGCCAGGAAAGTTTCACTGTTATTACTGTTATTTAGTTTGTTACTAAATGTTGTTTTTTGGATAAAAAGTGTGGTTGGAATGTATGCAAACATCAACACCTACTTAATTAAAACTTATTCATTCTGCAACCAGTTTTTTTATCTACCTTTTCCTTAATAGCTTTGTCTCGATGACATGGTTAACATATTAACATCAACAGTTACATGTAAACAAATTTTCAAACTAAATAGCAAGAAAAAACAGACCGTCAAAAAAGATGCTTTTCACTGTTATGGTCGTATTTTTTTCCAGTTATTAACATTACTTGCACTACGCTAATCAACATTTTTCAATAATCTTCATCACCTTTTTTTATGTTGTTTTTCTCATCATCTGGTTTCTCTTTTCAGTGTCCATTCACCTTGTATTGTCTTTCTATTTGTGCCTTTACACCAAGTATTTTACTAATTGACATTGTTCTTATCTATCGTTAAAGAGTGACAAATTTGGTTCATCCTAAGTGACAAAATGGTTTCTACATCAAGTAGCCAGGAAAATTATGTGGTGGAACATTTGGCCACTTTTTCAACCTCGACGCCTTCACAGCAACCAATCACACCTAAAGTTGCCATCCAACGTTTATTTGCTATGGAAAAAACCTCTGGAATATGGACTCAGCGAATGTTTGTTAAGATTGAAGGTGAACCTTTAATGAATTTTGTCTCAATCACTTTTCCTCACCATTTATTAATTGATAATTTTCATCTCTAATGCTTCTTTTTTTGCTATTATAATCTCTTCCAGGTAGCCATATGTTAATAATTGATGTTGAATCTAATGATATCGTTGAAAGGTTTCCCGTTGCCTTTATTCAGCAGCCAATCTCCTTTAGCCACCGAGATCATATGTATGATAATATATTGATTTTTACCGTTCAACATCCGGATGAAAGTCAAGGTAATGAAATTTTTTTTTCTGCTTACCTGTCACTTTGTTTTTTGTATCTTCATACAATAGACTGCTTATTACACTGCATTGAATTGTTTATAGTATAGTTTTCTGTCCATTAACTGATTCATCTTTTCTCTTCATCTTCCTGCCTATCATTATTATCTATTAACAGATTGATTCTTTTACATTGTTGTAAAGTTTCACATAGTAACCCATTTTCACTTCTCTCGCTCTCTTCTCTATTTAGGACTATTTCTTGTTTTGTTACCTACCTTGATATACATTTGCTTTTTTTGATTACACATGTAACATATAAACATTTTCATTTCAATTGATTCTTTTCGTTGCAGGCGAACTCCATATTTTTCAGTGTGTCTCTCATTCTGCCCAACAAATTGCCGAAGATATATCAAGTTGGATGAGGAAACACGGAAATCTCGCTATCACCGTGGACCATATTCACCACGAGACCAATCCCGTTCCCGTGAATGTTCATGTTAAAGAAACCGTCAATGCATTCAACGCTCTTGCAGCTCAACGAGAAAAGTGAGAGTCGAGTTTATTTCCGGATTCCTTTCTTCATCTTCACTGCTTTCCAATTTTTTCTCTTCCAAAACTATGTCTTTTATGCCTTTCCATTTATCTAATATTCTTGTTTTTTTCTGATACTTTTTGTAACAGGAAACCTGCATCACCATCAATAAGCAGCTCTCCTCAAAGGCGGACTCCACCATTAGGACCTGGTCACAATTCTCGTGATCATGACTCTAGATCTGTTACCACAACAAGTTCAATTGATTCAAATCACAATGCAGCTCCAAGGACCAATTCTCATGATCAGGTATGTTTCTTTTTTTCCAACTAATAGTGACTTGGAGAGGATAAAAAGATTGCTCTTTAATGCTTTCGCCTGTTTTTACATTCCAAAGCTACTGTTCCTTAAGTTGATCACCTCCAGGGCAAAGGAAGAAATCAAGAGAAATTATCTTTCCCTTATTTCGTCTCTCTTCTTTACCATCATCTTTCATCATCAAATCATCGTCCTTTCTCATTTACCTCAGTTCAAGTTTTAATCGAACAAGAGAAAGAAGAAAATGGTTTCATCTTGAAAGAAAAGCCTCAATAAAAAAAAGTTAACAAGCCGGAAATGTAAACTTTAACTCATCTGGAATTTTGATTGATACCTTGTATGATTACAAATAAGTTTGCCAACAATTTAATGCATATTTAATGTGATTCTGTGAAAGTGATCAAAATAAGTTCATCTTCATTCAAAGTTAGATGAATATTCATAAACAAATATTGAAATTGAAAGGGAAAGGGAAAGGGAAAGCCTATCAAAATGAACAATACTTACATCTTTTCGTGAGATTTCATTCCTTTTCATTTACTCTCACCTTTTGTATTTGTGTATTCATATTACGTAAATTCATCATCATCATCAAGATCAGGATGATAAAAATGAATTAAGGATATTTGAAAGTTGATTCAACCATTTACTTACATTACTTTCTTTTGTTTCTTATCAGTCTCTTTCAAATGAACGCTACGTTTCCATATTAAATCATTGTTTTGACGATATCGAGAGATTCATCCAACGACTTCAACATGCTGCTGTAGCATTGAAAGAACTTCAACTTCGCAATCACAAACGAGGAGGTTTGTATTGTTATTTAAATTTTAATAATTAGATTGAAAGAGCGATACTTTACGGTAATCATATTTATTGACTTTTGAAAATTTGACTGCAAGATGGCCGATAAATAACATACTTTATTGCAATAAAAAGAAATGATTATAATTTAATTTATATTCTTAACTTGCACTTTGTAATTGGTTAGTTCATCCCTTCTAAAGATCGCTCTCATTATTTGTTTTGGTTAACATTTTTATTGAAATTAAAATCTTCTAATAATTTATAATTATTACTTCTACAGGTAAAGGCGCGGCTCATGGCGGTGACGGTTTACTTTCAATTAGAGCCCGAGGACCCAGCGAATCAGAATTTTACGAAATTCTTGGAAAGTTCAAGTTAGCCTTTAATTTGCTAGCAAAATTGAAAGGTAAATTTGTTAGACACAATATTTGAAGAAAGTGAATTTTCATCTTTAAAATTTGGCTCATCTAATTGATTAGTTTTTTTTGACAAATGTGAAAATTATTTTCTTAAATTATTAATATTTGTTTTGATTTTTTTCTCTCTTTATTACAGGCTGTATACATGATCCCAATGCACCAGAGTTGGTCCATTTCTTGTTTACACCTTTAGCAATAATAATTGAAGCTGCTCGCATGAATGGTATTTATTGCCCTTTTATAATAATTTGATGAATCATGTTCATCATTTTCCCTCTCCCCATTCACCCTGAAAACAGATTGAGAATTAATTATCATTTATTTTTTTTCTATTCTTGCTCTCCTATCTTCCTTTAGGTCCAGTTCCTATTGATCCGGGAGCAGTAACAATTCCATTTCTCAGTGCCGATGCCATTGAACTATTATCTAATTGTTGTACCAGTAAAGAAACAGAATTATGGCAATCACTTGGAGTTAATTGGACTCAACCTGTAAGACATCCGATTGGATCACCTTCACGATTGGGTCAAGTTTATCAACCAGTTTTCTCTGATGGATGGGCTCCGGCTATAACAGAAAAAGATTTAATGGGTTTCCATTCTTCTTCTGAAACATCTGAACATGAAGATGATTGTCTACCCTTGAGTAGAGAAACCCCCATAAGGAGAGACAGATCTGACTATGTTCATCATCATCATCCTCCACACTTTGTTGATAGTGACTTTGACGATCATTTAGAGCATCATATGGTTCCACCTCCACATAAAGGTATTTCATTTTTTCTCTAAAACTCAACCTTGATCAAAACGGGCTAAATTAACTCCTTTACGTTACTTTTTCAGGTCCTCCACCACCACCTTCAAGTATGCACCATGGAAGACATCCACCACCTTCACCAATCGACTCAATTGAAAGAGATTCTCCAACCATAGTACATCTTAGTGAATTGGAGCAAACAACTTGGCTCAATGAATTGCAAGATAAAGGGGCCAAGATTGTGCAAGTTCTGTTCCCAAGAACTGCTAATAATGAAAAGGAATTGACTGTTGAAAAGTACGATCAAATTATCGCATCATCATTATTATTTACCAGAAAAAAAAGCAAATTTTGCTTTCAAGATCATAAAGAGCTGAGCAAGTTATATTTACCTTCTTCAACCTAAAATCAAAAAATTGAACATATCTGAGCTGTTTGCGTTCAATCAAGGCCCACATTGTTCTGACAAAGTTGACACTTTTACCCGACTAAATGAAACATTTGGTTCTTATCAAAGTTGAAAACTTGCCCAGCCCTTGAGTCCTTGAAAATGAATTTGTGATACAATAGTTGTTACTTAATTGTTTACTTTTGGTGACATATCTTTCTATATCATACTAACCTCATTTCTCTGTTTTTTTTATATTAGAGGTGAAATCTTGGAGATTTTAGATGCATCTCGAAATTGGTGGAAAGCTCGTAACTCACGTGGTCAAATTGCTCATGTTCCCAATACAATTGTTGAACCAATTTCGGGCAACTATCAATTTAACCGAAGCGAAAGAGGTAGTCGTTTAACTAGAGGATCTCCTGATGAAGATTGGATTCGTAAAGAGAGACAAGGTAAAAAAGGCGAGTTTCGATATTTTTAAGCCGCCTTCATGAATCGCACTGTTTAACTTGATGTAAGGTTGATTATTATTTGAATCTGCATCATCATCAAATGAGTGATGACGACAAACAAAATTAAGACTAGTTTTTATCAATAATATACAATTTTTTTACTTTCAATTACTTAACTCATCAAGTAAACACAAAAAATATAAGTTAGGGAACCTTCAACATTTCTTTTTATTTGTCTTTTAACCTTAACCTTTCTCCTTTATCCCCAATTGATTTTTACTTACCAAAATGTGAAATGTAATTTCAAACCTACCTGTACAGCACAATTTACGTTATTATCATCATTATTTTGGGCTAACTGTTTCCCTAATTTTCTTTTGCCATTATCACATTTGTTTTCATTTGTCTTTTCTTTCGTCTGTTTATGTTCATCATTTTGTTTACCCATATGTGTTTATCCTAATGTAAAATGTATAAATAAATAAATGTTGAATGGTTACAATTTGATTGAAGGAGACAAAAAATTTAATTTGCAAAGATTTATATTGGCCAATTTAAATGTACTCGAATCCATCACTTTAACAAAACAATCACTATTTTTACTCATTTTATTCATTTCTCATTTCCATTCTCTTTAACAGCTAAAATGTTTGAACCAAAGGCGTGGTAATGCAATTTGAATAGCGTCAAAACTATGATTCAATTTATCATTGTCTGTAAATATTTACAATTTGACAATTCAATCCTGCTATCGTTAAGATAAATACATACTGTTTATCAATCCTGAAAATTATTAAACAATCAATCATGTCTAATAAAATACGCAAAAATTTCCAATACGTACCTTAAAACATATAATTTCATAAATATATTTATACATTACAATTTACTGTATGTTTATTCACCTCGTGGAAAATTTATAAATTGTCATAAAAGTTGTGGGACAAGTTTTTAATTGCTAAGCGAAACAGTCAATTAGAAGTGAAAAAATTTACCTCTCTATTAAATGAACATTAACGGTCTATTAGTAAGGTAGAAAACTCATGGAAAATTCATTAGTAGATGAAAAGGAAAATACACTGAAGATGGAAGCAGTTGAAGCACATTAAAAGCTAGAAGTTAACCCGTCAAATCCTTGGAAATCTCTTTCTTCAGGTTGATTCGATGGACCAAATCTTGTTGCAATACCCAAAGTTAAAACCTCAACCAAACCTACAGGAGGAGTCTAAAAATTTGGGTTGACAGGTAACTCAAAAACTTACCTAAAGAGGTTCTTAAAAAATTGAGATGCCCTTCTCTTCACCCCCTCTTGCTGCCTCCTTCTTACTGGATGATTAAATTTGATTGTTGTTAGCTTGGCAGTCTGGCAGTCAGTACCAACAAGAACAGTTAAAATTGTGTTGCTGTCCTCATTCCTCTTGATAGGTATCTCATCTTGTTGTTCATACAATATCTTGTCTCTCTCCTCTTTAGGAGCTGTAAAACGTAAAACGAAACAAATTGAAATTAAAAATAACTTTTAAAACCGTTTTTATATTTACCTGAATTGTGTTTAATTTAATCGGTTATTCATCCAAGTTGGTGTGAAATCATGGAGCAAAGTGATCAAACAATTTGTATCATTGGAAGTGGTGCCACAGGAATCAATGCTATAAAGGTTTGTCGAGAAGAAGGTTTCAACGTGGTTTGCTATGAACAATCAAACTTTCTTGGTGGATTATGGAAGTATCGTGAGGATGATGTGGACGGATTGGCTTCCGTCATGAGGTCCACAATTATTAATTCATCCAAGGAAATGTCAGCTTATTCAGATTTTCCGCCACCAAAGGAATTTGCGAATTATATGCACAACACTGCAATGGTAAGTTAACACATTGGAAACCTTTACCAACAGTGGAAAGAAAAGCGTCAGTTAACATTTGACTCATGACTCAACCTTTTCTTATCAGTTTTTTTTCCTAATCCTTTTTGTTTTCTCTTTCTGCTTTTCAAAATGGCTTCTTTTGGTTCAATTTTTCTTAACAGTATCAATATTTTGAAATGTACGCTGAACGATTTGGTGTCCGTGAATTTATCCAATTTGAAACTAAAGTGATCAAAGTTGAACCAGCGGACGATTATGATGACACTGGTAGATGGAGGGTTGTTACTCAAAGTTTGAAAACAAAAGAAATAACAAGCCGAGTGTTTGATGGTGTTATGGTTTGTACAGGACATCATGTCAAGCCTTTGGTTCCTACCTTCAAAGGGCAAGAAAAATTCAAAGGTATGTACCTTTATTGTTTATTTAAATTCGTAAATATTTCTAATTTTGTCTTTGCACCTTCACTTTTTAAAGGTCGTATCATTCACACACACTCTTATAAGAAGCCCAATCCTTTTGAGAATGAAACGGTTGTCGTTGTTGGCATAGGTAATTCTGGAGGTGATGCTGCTGTAGAGTTGTCAATGTTTTCAAAGAAGGTAAGCTCATTTTAAAGTTTATTGATTTGTGATTTGCAACCAGTTGCTGTCAAATGAGAAACACAAATTCTCATCTGTTTACATCTATAACCGGTCTCTTTTTTTCATCATTCACGTTAATCAATTACTTGACAAACCAAAAAAGCAGAAAATTAACTGAATAGATAATTTGTTAGACTCAAAAGAAGTTACCCTTTATTGATGAAACAGTCTTAAGTTATCAATTTTCAATTTTATTTTCTCGCATGTAGCACATCAGTTAGCAAGGATAAAGCTGATTGTTAGCTTACAATGGACATTTTGCTTGCCTAATTGCCATGCTTTGAGATTATAAATGAAAAACAAAAAGTAAAATTTTCACAATATTGGTAAAGCGAAAAAAACGACTGAATAAATCTCTTTTGAATCTGGATCTTTTTAGATTGTTTAGGGAAGTGATGAGATGAGGAAGAAGAAGTTGTTGGTAATGATATTTTGTATTATACGAATAAAAGTGTGTGTGGCTTAACTACCGAAGCAAAATATTTATAGAACTCATTACGTTCGTTTTAATTTAGTGAACCGGAAAGATGACGTGACCCTGGTTATATCCCTAAATCAGGTTAGATTGGGTCACAAGTTACCAATTTTTCCTGTATCTTTAATGCCTTTCAGTGAAAGTGATACTTGTTGGTGCACTTTTACCCAAAATGAATTGAAACAGTAGCTTAAATCAATTTATTTATAAAAGATGGACTATTCAGATTTGTTAAGAAATTGTTTTTCTTTGAAATCTGTGAGGTAATTCACAATTAAATAATGTGTTGAACGTTCCAGATAGATTTAATGATTTAACGATATTACCGCTGTTGTCATTTGCAGGTAAAACAAGCAAAATAACAAAAACAATCCAAGTATAGAGCTTTTCTTTCTGTTAAATTTGTTGGTTGATTAAATTTGATTTTAATGATAATTGCACACGAGATTTAATAATCATTGAATCGCTGTAATAAAGAGTTTTCCCATTTTCAATTCCACATCTAGTGTAGTGAGACATTCGCTCTTAATTTAATTTGTTTGACCGTGAATTTAAACGTGTTTACAATGACTAATTATGCCTTTATCTTTTTGATTTTTAGGTTTATCTTTCAACAAGGCGAGGAGCTTGGATTTTATGGCGAGTTGGTCCAGGAGGACAACCATTCGACTCTGAGTTTATAACACGATTTTGTTTCACTCTATTCAATTATTCACCTTACCGAATCAAATGTAGTTTTGTTGAACATTATTTAAATAATCGTTTTGACCACAAATTATATCGAGTTGAACCCGATCATCGTGTTTTTGGTCAACATCCAATGGTAAATGATACTCTACCCAATCGTATACTTTCTGGAACTGTTGTATTGAAAAATGACATCCAAGAGTTTACTGAAGATGGTATAATCTTTGAAGGAGAATCAACTGTAACTAAATGTGACTCTGTGATATTGGCCACTGGATATGAGGTTTCATTCCCATTCCTTGATCCATCCATTGTTTGGACCAAGGATAATCATGTTGAATTATATAAATACATGTTCCCACCAAAACTCAAGCATCCCCATACTCTTGGACTTATCGGGCTTATCCAAGCAGTTGGACCAGCTATTCCTGTGTCTGAACAGCAGTCTCGTTGGTATGTTCAACTCATGAAAGGTAAGTTTCTTCTTTTGCCCTTAACAACATTATCTGATTGTTTATCTGCTTCACTTACTTTGATTGCTCACCTTTTGTAAACAACATTTTTTACAATCACAATACAATCGTTACGTGTTTTATTGAAGTTTTAGGTTACTTGCCTTTACCAAGTTTTTTCATTCATTTCATTAGTTCAAAGTTTACTTTAAACTCGATACGATCCTTTCAAGAATCCTTTTTAAAGTCGATAGTTTTTGTATCTTTTCGTTTTGCTTGAAGCTCTTCACACTAATTTGAATAACTATCATTCAGTGACAAGCTCGATTGGCTACTCACTATAATATCCTCTTAGTCCCTATCAACAATTTTCATTTCTTCTGATAACATAATCCATTAATTCAGCAAATAATAATAATCCGAGCATGACATGTAAAACTATAAAGTAACATCGAGAGTAGTCAATGAGGAGGTTACTGTTAATGCTTGCAACCAATCAAAATACCTATAACTAATCAATTTATTTTCTTGTTTTTCAGGCACCTGTAGACTTCCAAGTGTCCCTGAAATGATGAAGGATATTGAAGCCAAACATCGAGAGATTGAATCACGATACTTTAAAGGTCCAAGACACACAATGCAAATTGATTGGGTCAACTATATGGACGAGATAGCTGAACAGTACGGAGCAAAGCCCAATCTATTGAAATACTTCTTCACTGATCCTAAATTTTGGTACAAATTGTATTTCGGCCCTTGTCTTCCTTATCAATATCGTTTACAAGGTCCACATGCATGGGACGGAGCAAGAAACGCTATTATGACTGTGGATGAACGTATCGATGCCGCCTTCGCAACCCGATCATTGAAGTTATCCAAAAAGTCAAAGGTTCAATCAACTGGACCAATGTATGCTCTTCTTGCTTCTTTCGGTTCTGTGCTTTTTGTTTTCCGGGCTTACCTTCGCAAATACCTGCAACAAGATCATTGGCGTTACCTTGCTGGGGCTTCGGCTATCCTCTTTATGCTTCTCACTATTCTTAACTACACTCTTTAATTTTATCTTAAATTGTTTATAAATTTATCTAATATTCCCTCATTTCTTCACCTTTCCATCTACTTTTATTCAACAGGAAAAAAGCTCACAATCTTACATCTTAATGTTTTTGCTACTTTGTTGAATTTTTTACCCTCGGTGTGTTATTACGTCTAAAAACATGATATTTTCTCAATCTTCATGCTTATTTTTCACACTCATCATTTGTCACAATCATCTTTTCCCATTATTCATCGCACATCGAAGCCCTATTATGATTTTTTTAAGAAACTTTCCCTTATTTAAATGGAAACACTGTTGCATGGGATTACTATTATTATGATGTAATTATGTCGTGTAATTTGTTCATATTTTTTGCAAAATTATATCTAATCTGTGATATAACACACAGAAAGCGTTACAATGAGACAAGTTCATTAATTTAGAGCATTTATTTACTGATTAAAGTCTCTTTTATGCAATCTTGACCAAAGATGTGTATTTGCTTCTCTTACATGTATTTTTAAAATAAAACCAATTTTTTGTTAAACATTTTCAACCTTATTTTGATTCTTTCAAACCTTCAATACATTCAGCACAGCAGACTAATATATTTCATTTGTCAAATGAGGGATACACTTTTGGATGTGTTCTCATGTCATTGTAAATTCATTTTCATTGGAATTCCCGAACCAATTTTAATTCATGATGTCTTTCAAGTTTCGCCATGATTGCAGGAAACATTAAGGAAATTGTTTTCTATGACTTCAAGCTGACACAACAATCAAAATTCAACTTTTTTTAATGGGACAACTTCACTTTCTCTACTCAATGCGTCAGCAGAGTAATCTAGAAACAGTTTCTCATACGCAACGCAGTTTCATTACTGCATTGAGATAGCCATTTCAAAATGATAGTTCAGCTAATTATTCAATCATAATTTATGACCTGACCTCATCATTTTCGTAAGAATCCTAACCACAGTATCTTCAATATTACATTGGAGAGGTATATTACAAACTAGAGGTACTGAAATAAGATACGAAAGTAATGTAAATTTAGGTCATTTATTCACTGATACAAATCGTCTTCAGTATATAACCTTGACCGAAAATATGGCATATCTGTTTATTGTATTGGAGTAAATCAATTAGTGGCAATCAGAAGTACCATGTAACATGAATTAATCTTGATAACTTTGAATAAAATAATCACTAATTGATAAATAGGTACAGACAAGTTATGAAAAAGCCATATCATGAAAGACTTGATATTGAGAACCCAAAAGATAGGTTAAACTCATTATGAAGCATTCACCTAAACTCTAGCCTTTCTATAATTCTGTCTTTTTGACTCCTTTCTCAACAATATATAAACCAGAATATGAAAGAACAGTAACACACAATTAATTACAATAAGTTAATTAAATCACATATATTTCTAAGCAAAGAGAAGATGTACATTTACAAGTCTTTTGATTTGATATTTTTTTTGGTATACCAGAAGTAGTTAAACAAATCTTTAGTCAAATATGTATTGGCCCTGATAAGGGCCGTTTTTGGTTGATTATTAAATCATGATGAAGATTATAAAATGAAGATGATGATGATTATGTGATGATAGTGGTGATGAAAATTTGATGATATAAAAAGGTTGACTGGGTTGCTTGAATTAACCTCCAAAACCATAAAGGGTTCTTCCTTGTCGTTTCAAGGCATATACAACATCCATAGCAGTGACAGTCTTCCTCTTAGCGTGCTCAGTGTATGTTACAGCATCACGGATAACGTTTTCCAAGAAAACTTTCAATACACCACGAGTTTCTTCATAGATAAGTCCAGAGATACGTTTTACACCACCTCTTCGGGCAAGACGCCGGATAGCTGGCTTAGTAATACCTTGGATGTTATCTCGTAAAACCTTTCGGTGACGTTTAGCACCACCTTTTCCAAGACCTTTACCTCCTTTACCACGTCCAGACATGTTTAGGTTTAATTAGTAGTAAATTTATAAAATCACTTGAAATGAAAATTCACAAAAGTTACACAGACTAAATTCAAATTGACAATGATAAACAACAACACAAAATACAATTATTTATACCAATTTTATGCTTACTTCTGATTGGCTCAAGCTTCAGTGAGTCCTCGTTCACGTTCAACTTTCATTTACTACTATTAACTATACAATAGCTTACCTCAACGAGGACTCATTCCATCTCCATTAGTAACCATCTTAGCGCCATCTAAACTCATTTTTGAATTCAACCTTTTCTCACTTTTACCACTTTTAACAATCTTTTATCATTTTATTCTCATTTTATTTTCATTTCTTTTATTATTTTAATATTCAATTGCATTCACTAATATTCATCAATTAATTATCAAATGCATTTTACCTTTAAAACAACATCTTTTCATCATTTAAATTACCCTCTTTTTTACTTTACATGCAAATTCAGCGGCACAATCTGGTAAAGTCATGCGTACATTTATAAGAATAAAAAAAAGGCTTTTTTGAATCAAGTTACTGATGATGATGTTTTTGTTTTTTAATCAAATAATCTACATTTTTCAATATCTATCTATCTAATTAATTTATTATTAATGGTTGATTTAATTATTAAATGGTACTAGATGTTACCTGCATAATTAGTGTCATTTAAATTATCTAAGCTCTATTCTAGGTTTACATCCATGTTCAACAATTATTTTAGTAATTTTGGTTACCATTCATAAGTGTTCTGTGATGATCATTACAACAGTAATAAAATGTCAATGGATACTGTTAATAATAATTGGAACTCTTATTGTTCCAATTTGTTTATTAAATCAATTAACAGATCATGGCAAAGAGTCTTTTAACAATTTCAAGACATTGAACGATTTTTACTATAAAATAAATTGGCTTGGTCCTTTGGATAAAGTCAAAAATGACAAAACACTTTCAAAAGTAAGTTGTCCAACTGATGTCCAATTGAAACATATGATAATTTTGTTTCTTTTCTTCCTTAGGTACCTAGCTCTCAAGATGAATCTTTATCACTTATAACAGCTAATAAAGAACGTTATCATTGTATTCTTCCTAAAACTAAACCTAAAGTAAGCACTAATTTGTCATACACGGGCATGATGATTCATTAATACAACTCTCTTAAATCAATCCGAAAACAGAATGTAAAAGGAAGCAAAAAAGACCGAAGTGACCGGTTGAATCCCTTTCAGATGCTATTACCTCTATTCACTCGTGAAATTTGCTCATTTCGCTTGGAACCATACTGGAGTTACGAGCTTTGCCATGGTAAATTTATAAGGCAATTTCATGACGAGAGTACCTCACAAAAGGTAACTTATGGGATATATGAACTCCGATGAATATCATGATTACCATTATTTTTATCTCTTTTTATTCAGGCATATTCTCAAGAATATTACTTGGGAAAATTTGATCTCAGTCAATTGAAAGAAAGTGAACTTGAATATGATGAAGCAGAACAAAGTTGGCTCAAAGGAAGTAAACCAAGACCCACAGTATTGATAGATGATGTTCAAACCCCTTACATTGAAATTAACATGACGGGTGGAACAGTTTGTGATCTTAACAATCGTCCCAGATTCACAAGAGTTCTTTATGTTTGCAATAACGAAGCTAGAAATGAACTTTCTTCAATCAAAGAGACTTATACTTGTGAATATGAAGCTATCGTTCTTACACCTCTTCTCTGTAGCCATCCTGATTTCCGTACCAATGTTATATCAGAGGAATCAATTGATTGTTATTCAATCGGCAACTCTCCAATCGAACCTAAAGGATATTCTGACTTTGAAGTGGAAAATAAAAGTGAATCGACCTCAGGAAATCCGTCAGATATCGAAAGTAAAGAAGAAAATTTAATCTTTTATTTTTCCTAATGCTGCTTTGTTGGTTCTACTCACAATATATTACAGTAGTTATGAACTTCTGTTTCTGTTATCCATTATAAAGTCTAGAAATTATGTTTTAAGTGGATTATTCTATCTATTTGTGCCTCTTTAATGTTTACTTGAATTATTAAATATCTGATTTTATGTTTTCGATTTGAAGGTTCCAAAATACAATTTGAATTGCATAAATTGGATACAACAACTGAGGAAACTTACAAGGCTGGCAGTTTCCGTGCAGTAGAGCCTTTTTATGACTCTAAATTATTGCGTGATTTTCTTGCTGGTGACTATTGTCTTCGCGGTGTAAGCAACTTGTGATTTTGTAAATTATATTTAAACATCTTTACTTACACATTACATATTCAAATTACAGGGGACAGATTGGTGGAAATATGAATTCTGTTATGGAGATGAGGTTGAACAATATCATGAAGAAAAAGGTGAAAAGAAATCGAGAATATTGCTAGGTAAATGGAACCTGGAAAACCATATGCAATGGTTGGTCAAAAACCCAAACAAAAGACCGATTAGACATAAAACTCCAAAACAAGTTTCACATTTTTATGGTAATGGTGATGTTTGTGATCTTACCGGAAAGCCGCGCCAAGTTGAAGTGAAATTAAAGTAAGTTGACAATTAACCTATTAAAATCAAAATGTTGACTCGATAACAATATTTATACCTTTTCTCTAACTTAGGTGCAAATTTGCTGGCGGTGATCCGGAAACTGTCGCCTTATATTTAATGGAACCAAAACCTTGTGAATATATTTTAGGAGTAAGTAAATGAATCTTGCGCTTTATTTGTTCAGGATAATTATTAATTCAATGTTTTATACTTTGCTATTCACAGATTGAATCACCATTGATTTGTCACCTATTGAGTACGATCGATGAAAACGGAATAATGAACCATCCAGATGATTAATTTGAAATATTTTTGGTATTAAAATTCATAAATAAAGCAAAAATTTTGTATCCAAATGTTCTCAACTTATGACAAATTGTTCGGTCGCTATCTTTTTCAACCTTATTTTAAAATTTCTTGAATGCTATTCATAACCCACAAGTTATTATTGATACTGGGTTCGTGTCAAATTGCAGCCTGTTCGAGTTCGCATCATGCATTTATAAGAACTCGACTTACAAGAGTTTGTTAGACCTAATCTTAATTTAACTTGTTTGTCACATTTCGTTTACACACTTCTGTATTCGTATATAGTTTTGATTTGAACTAGCTAATTAGCTGACAATTCTGGCTCTCTTTCTTTCATCTTCTTGCTCATAAAGAAGGATAGATTCAGTTTAGATTAGTTGAATAAACCTCATAACCTCAGAAGCCTAATTATTATTAGCTAAACAATTAATGTAGCTATTTAACAGGCCTTTTACTCAATACAGTTACGCACGCCCCTTCTTTCCATTGAGCAGGAAGTACACGTTATGTTCATTGGTTATGGTTGATAGTTTAAATCACTGAGGCTGTTTCAGAAAAAAATAAACATAATGAACAAAAACTATCATGATTTACCCTGTTTGACAAATGGTGAGAATATATCATGAATTGAGTGACATCGATATTGCAAAACGACCTATTAACATGTATGCTGCTATCGCTCAAATTATTTTCAATAATTGGTTTGAATGATGCAAATTTTAAAATGCTTGCATGTTTTCATCATGGAGTTTCAAGGTGTGACCCAACGTGTATCACATTTTACAGTTATTTTCACACATTTCCACCAAAGACAACGCCATCTGATAATGAAAAACCCTTTCATGCTATATCTTTAAATTATAGATCAAGAACTAACATTTTAAAATCCAAATTCACTTCTTTTAATGTTGCTGAATTTTGAGCCTAGACTAACAATGTAAGATGAAAATTCATTGAAGACAACACTCAATCTCAAATAGCGAATGTGATAGAGTTAAAAAATTACTTTATTTTCGAGCCATTTTACAACTTTTACCTTCCAAACAAAACGTCCAAAAGGACTATCAATCACCTTTAGTGTATAATCTTATTGCATAAAATTTTTCTGGCTCATTTCAAGCTTAATCCACGTTATAAGTCACTTTAGTAATGATTACATTATCAATTTGCATCATTTTTTTCAAGGAAACGGGCATCCGCTAAAAGTTTGGCATCTAGAAATGACAATGACAATGATATTCGAAATTCATTCCCACTCTTTAACCAATTCAAAGGTCCACTCCCATTTCAAATGTTCATGTTTGTCATCATCGGTGAATAGAGATTTAACATCATATTTTCCACGGCACATCAAACCGGAAGGCATCTCTTCGGGAGGCGTTGTGTAAGATTGGATTTCAGATTTAGGAGCATAACTTCCAACCATTTGGGATATCTTTTCCACTGGAACACCCAATCGACTAATTTTTTGCACGTATTTGAGTCCAGTGACAATTTCTCTCTGGACAATAAAATCAATCCTGATTTTATATTGAATTCCTTCTTTTATCTTATAGACTCGTTTCTTCAATTCAGCCAGATCACCTTAAGTGATAAAAAGATGAAAGATATATATGAGAGATTTGCAACTTTTCTAGCTTATTGAGCTTAATTTACCTGTAAGGTCAAGAAATAAATCAGGTCGTCCTTCTGTAACCATCGCCAATCCCTTAACAATGACACGATTGGGATTTGCAGGGTCGACAACAGGAGCAGTGGCTGTGGCATCTCCTAATAAGGTTTCCTTGTAACGTCTCAAGCTTTCATCGTCTTTGTCAGCTTCCAATATCTCGGTTAAACTTTTCTCCGGTGGAGCTTTGTAATCAATGTGTTCTGTCTCATCAAAGTCACCCTCACCAGTTACTTCTTTAGGTGCACTCATGGTTAGATACTTAGTAAGATGATATAAATGTATCAAAAAAAGACACTAAATAAAACAAATAAAAGTTTAAATCGCAATTGTTAAAAGAAATGCTAACATCAAATTGAACACAAAAGCTGTTGCTTTAACAGGTATAACGCCTTTCGCCTTTTTATTATTGCAACACATGCGCTCTATTCTACTACTGTTGTTCATTGAAAACTATTCAATCCAAAACTTAATACAATACAATTGACCTGTTGCTAACTAATGCCGAAAAATAAATTTTATGCCTTGAAATTGTTAAAAGACTCTTTGCCATGATCTGTTAATTGATTTAATAAACAAATTGGAACAATAAGAGTTCCAATTATTATTAACAGTATCCATTGACATTTTATTACTGTTGTAATGATCATCACAGAACACTTATGAATGGTAACCAAAATTACTAAAATAATTGTTGAACATGGATGTAAACCTAGAATAGAGCTTAGATAATTTAAATGACACTAATTATGCAGGTAACATCTAGTACCATTTATTAATTAAATCAACCATTAGAAATAAATTAATTAGATAGATAGATATTGAAAAATGTAGATTATTTGATTAAAAAACATAAACATCATCATCAGTAACTTGATTCAAAAAAGCCTTTTTTTTATTCTTATAAATGTACGCATGACTTTACCAGATTGTGCCGCTGAATTTGCATGTAAAGTAAAAAAGAGGGTAATTTAAATGATGAAAAGATGTTGTTTTAAAGGTAAAATGCATTTGATAATTAATTGATCAAAATTAGTGAATGCAATTGAATATTAAAATAATAAAAGAAATGAAAATAAAATGAGAATAAAATGATAAAAGATTGTTAAAAGTGGTAAAAGTGAGAAAAGGTTGAATTCAAAAATGAGTTTAGATGGCGCTAAGATGGTTACTAATGGAGATGGATTGAGTCCTCGTTGAGGTGTGCTATTGCATAGTTAATAGTAGTAAATGAAAGTTGAACGTGAACGAGGACTCACTGAAGCTTGAGCCAATCAGAAGTAAGCATAAAATTGGTATAAATAATTGTATTTTGTGTTGTTGTTTATCATTGTCAATTTGAATTTAGTCTGTGTAACTTTTGTGAATTTTCATTTCAAGTGATTTTATAATCTACTACTAATTAAACCTAAACATGTCTGGACGTGGTAAAGGAGGTAAAGGTCTTGGAAAAGGTGGTGCTAAACGTCACCGAAAGGTTTTACGAGATAACATCCAAGGTATTACTAAGCCAGCTATCCGGCGTCTTGCCCGAAGAGGTGGTGTAAAACGTATCTCTGGACTTATCTATGAAGAAACTCGTGGTGTATTGAAAGTTTTCTTGGAAAACGTTATCCGTGATGCTGTAACATACACTGAGCACGCTAAGAGGAAGACTGTCACTGCTATGGATGTTGTATATGCCTTGAAACGACAAGGAAGAACCCTTTATGGTTTTGGAGGTTAATTCAAGCAACCCAGTCAACCTTTTTATATCATCAAATTTTCATCACCACTATCATCACATAATCATCATCATCTTCATTTTATAATCTTCATCATGATTTAATAATCAACCAAAAACGGCCCTTATCAGGGCCAATACATATTTGACTAAAGAATTGTTTAACTACTTATTGTTTTTGCTTTTCATCGCTTGAATTTAATTAGCTTTTGAGCTCAGACTAAAATGAAACCTTCAAGAGGACTTCCAATTACATTTTGTTTATAATCTTATTGCATAAAATTTTTCTGGCACAATTTTTTCAAGCTTAATCCACGTTATAAGTCACTTTAGTAATGATTACATTATCATTTTGCATCATTTTTTTCAAGGAAACGGGCATCCGCTAAAAGTTTGGCATCTAGAAATGACAATGACAATGATATTCGAAATTCCTTCCCACTCTTTAACCAATTCAAAGGTCCATTCCCATTTCAAATGTTCATGTTTGTCATCATCGGTGAATAGAGATTTAACATCATATTTTCCACGGCACATCATACCGGAAGGCATCTCTTCGGGAGGCGTTGTGTAAGATTGGATTTCAGATTTAGGAGCATAACTGCCAAATGATCTGAGATCTTTTCCACTAGAACTTTCAATTCTTTGCACATATTTGAGTCCTTTGACTTTCCCCTTAGGACAATAAAATCGATCCTTAGTCCGTAGCGAATTCCTCCTTCAATTCAGGCAGATTACCTTGAGTGAAAAAAGATGAGAGATAAATGAGAGATTTACAACTTTTCTAGAGCTTAATGAACTTAATTTACCTGTAAGATCAAGAAATAGATCAGGTCGTCCTTCTGTAATCATCGCCAGTCCTTCAACAATGACACGATTGGGATTTGCAGAGTCGACAACAGGAGCAGTGGCTGTGGCATCTCCTAACAAGGTTTCCTCGTAACTTTTATCCGATAAAATTCCTTGCCACCTTTCAACTTTCATGTAACTCAAGCTTTCATTGTCTTTGTCAGCTGACAAATTTCCTCACCTAAAAGGAAAACCAATAGATGTCGCACCCTTCAATAAAACCCAAATCTCAACAAATGTAACCTAACCTTTTTCACAACTCATAGATGGCGCATAAGACTCGTAAACCTTTCGTCTTTAAAATGACTTATTTTAATAAAATTGCCATGTATTTATACCTCTGTACCTGAATGTATTTCATTACTTATTTAGATTACTATTCATTACTGCTGCTATTAATAAAAATTAAAGTATCAATCAAACAGTACCAATTTTGAATACAAAGATTAAAACTAAATGACAAAAATTAATCGAAACAACAATCCACTTTTGAACGATTCAATGAATTTAATCATCTCAAAACAATATTGAAAAATAGCCAATTTAAAGGTTTAAAACGACAATCAAACAATTGAACAATAATAGTCAATAATCAGACCAATTTGAATTGAATCACAACAAAATGCTTTCCAATGTTGGATAATTTGATACTTTGAAAATGATTGAATGAAAATCAAATCTCAATCTCCAATAATTACAATTTAATAATGATGATAATTGAAAAAAGTGAACTCACAAATGTTATGATAAACGGATGAAAAATATTTTGGTAAATAGTGGTTTAAATTGTGGTTTTAATTAGACTTTACCACGCCTTTGGTTGAAACATTTGGCTTGTTGAAATGAAGGGAATGAAAAATGAGAAATAAAATGAATTAAAATTAAGATTGATTAGTCAGTGAAAGTGAGGTAAACATGGCAAACAATCAAATAAATTGTCGATTAGCGCAAAGCAAAGGTAAATGTTAATTCGTGGTTTCAAATAACAATTGTATGAAAAAGCATTTAACATTTCTCTCTCATCTTCATCACCATCATCATCATCATTTTACCTTTCCTAATCTTGATAAATACATGATACCTGAGCAAACAGTCAGACAAGAGTAAAAGAAAAATGAAATGAAATGAAAAGCAAAAAATGAATCGACAACAATTTTGTAACCTGCAGGCTTGAGATGATATTATTTTGTTTCAATGATGTGAATACATTTGTAAAGTGCTTCAATTCACATTGGAAAGTTAATGGATGTTAATGATGTTTAATTTAAAGGTGAGGTTTGAATCAAGTTTCATATTCACACACCCAGATAAGGGCTTTTAACCTACAAACGGCCGAAGACAATTTAAATCAAATTACAATTGATATCAACAATGATAGGTAAAGAAACACAGACAACTGACAATCAACTTATAATAACATGGTAAAGCTGGAAACGAGTTTCATTCCAATTCCAATTTGTAATTAATTGCCAAGAAGCTCAATAAAAGGGTGGTAATCATGGTTAAACCACAGATGAAAGATAAATCACTGAAAAGATGAAAAAGAAATGAAAAAAGAGAGAAAAGATGAAAATTGAAATCGCATTGACCTCCTAGCGATTGAACCAATCAAGTGCCAATCAAATTTGGACTTGAACATGTAAATGACTTGTGAAACACTGGACAATGCAACAAAGGTAACCTTCAAACAATCAAAGGTAAAAGGTAAGGTTAATCAAAAGTAATGCGATATTGATAATAGACATTTTTGGCCTTCTTTTGTGTCTTTACTTCATCTCATGGCGTCAAACCTTTTTGTTGTTGTTCAATTTTTTTATTCAATTTACTGGATCACATTTAATAATGTTAATAATGTTGAGAATAGGTTCAGTCAATCAGAAGGTAACATGTAACAAGGTGAGCAGCTTGTGTGCTATCAACTGTACAATTGAACATTTTATCCCGCCTCTTCTTGTTGGACCTTCAAGTTTCCCCTTTTGTTGTTGAACCTAAAATTTGCTGTTCGCTTGAACACAACAAAGTTGAAAAAAATCGTTGATTCAATATCACGCCTTTCATGTTAATCATTGTTCAATTGAATTGTCCATTGATCAGTTATTTATGGTCACGATTGAACCTTAGAATGTCGATTATGAAGAAAATATTTTTTCATCTTTCATTTGGACCTTTTAGCTTCTGTTTCCATTCAAATTCGTTGGACTTTCAACTATAAATCATATGTACATTTGGCTAGTTTGGGTTGAAAAGGGAACCATTTTGCTTTTGTATTTTGTACTTTGCAAACACAAATGTAACACTTTTTGATCAACTTGAGGCTTGTTTTTGCCTTGCACAGACTTGTGTACCTCAAGTCAAGTTCAATAGACTGACTATGGTCAAGTTAACATCAAGACTATTCATTGGCTTATTTTGCATTATTATTGTGACAACAAACTGGTAAACCTAAAGGCAACTGAATTAATCAGCAAGTTTAAGTTGGTTTGCTTTTAATAAATTTGGCCCGCTTAGACTCGATATTATTTTTGCATTTTTATTGTAAAAAGACCCAAAACAAACTGAGAATCAGATCTGATGAATAAAGGTGATTTTATTACAATTTTCAACTCACTGACTTGGTAAGCTTCAAGTCAAAGCGCATTTTACACCATCATTGGGACAAAACGAATGCAAAAGCTGCAATCAGAGGTGAACATTTAGTGGTTTTGATCAGTCAGTTTCAGAAAAGCAAAGAATCGCTTCAAAACATTGAAAAGACTCGTCACTCGAATGTTAATTTGCAGTTGGATTATGGTCGATCCAAGTATTCAAAATACTTTGTCACTCAATTCTATTTTCATTAATTCGCAATGTTTCTGTCTTTTTCGTGGGATAACTCAAAAAATAAACATTTCATCGAAAAATGATTTCACTGCAGTTTCATTGTTTATCAAAATACTGAGTATTAAGACTTGCACGAGAGAAAACAGTTTTTATTTCGATTAGACCAGTTACTCGAAGATTTGAGATGAGAGATTAGTTCAGATTTGCTTAGAACTGTTCTTACAAGAACTCTTAGAAAACCTTTTACGACTACGTAAAAGTACGACTGAACAAAGCAAACAGTTGAATTTCATCTCCATCTTAACTGATTAACTTGACTAACTCAGTTTCAAAATCAGTTTACTTTGATTCACCATTGAGACAGAAAATAGATCTCACTATAAAATGCTGAACAATTTACCTCTCAATATCTGTTGAATATAGCTTGAAATTTAACCAAAAACCAGACTGATTAACTCAACTCTTACCATCAGGTTACTTTGGTTGATTTGATGCTAATAAGCATTTAAATTTGAGTGAAAATTCATGTCAATGACTCGAGCATTTATTTGCTTTCATTTGTCCCAATGTGACCGTTAAAGTGCATTCTGATTGGAATGTGAAAAGTTGATTTAATCAAATTCATTACCTTTGGTGAATGAAAGTCAACTAATTAACCTAATAAGGTGAAACTGTTAAACGGTTAACCTTGAACTTGGCCTTGATTCCAGCATTTTAAAATATTTATTTATTCAAACTGATTACAAGTCTAGTGTTCACTTGATCAGTCTCTCTTTATTCACTCATCAACATCATTATTATTATCATCTTTACTCTCATTGAATGAATAAATAATAATATGAAGAAGAGGCTGAAAAAGAAGAAAAAAAATTGTGAATGAATCGTTTGAGTAAATGTTTGTAATAATAGTTAAATATATGCAGCAATTGAAGCGATCTCATTGATTTATGAATGAAGTTGTATGCAAATTGCAAATGAATAAACCAGAATTACATGAATTTTAACTTTTGCCAGTTGATCTTTGTGGTTATATTACACTCCCAGCAAGATAATATTTAACATAAGATGATGAAAGTGAAATTATTTCCTGACAGAATCTTAATTTGTGTTCAATTTTTTTCTCGCTCTCTCTTCTTGCAAATTTGTTTCATCAACTAATCATTTACAACCAATTAGACCAAATGAGAAACCTTTATTTTTAATTAACTTGTCCATAAATGATGAACCTTGAATAATTCAATAATCATAATTTCATTTTGACACCAAAAATTCAAACGGTATAATTCGAAACAGAAACAAAATTATCATAATAAATGTATGAATATAATGACACTTAATATGAAACATTTACATTTTAATTTATTTGCATTTTTGCTTGTTTATCAATGAATTTTAATGGCAACAAATTTTCAATGGCAAATTATACAACATTTAATTGCTCATCAATTGAAAACTATCCATTGAAAAATTGATTAAAGTCTAATAAAAAAGTCAAATTGAAATGTGAAATTTTAAGGGATCGTCATTTGTCTCTTCACTTCACAGTTTGTAATTTACAGTCGATCCCTCAATTTTCATTTAGCTTTTCCTTTTCCTTTCTCTTCGCATACAATAGCCAAAAGCAAGTAATTATCATTTGTTATTGTATTGTCTTCAAGCGGTGAATCACTTGAATTACCAATCGGTGAAGAACGTGGCTAGCTACGATAATCGGTGTGAATTGTGAGACACATAGAGCACTTGAGCTTCCAACGCACATTGCGGCTTTCTCTCCTTTGCCGGGATTACATCGTCTGAGAGTTGAGATCATAATCAACAATCAACAAAAGACTTGCTTACTACCATATATGCATTGTTTTGAGAGGATCGTATATTTATATGCATGAATCTTGATGTTTTATCCCTTTTCTTAGTTTCAATTCGTTGCAATTCAGTAAGGAGAATCTCAAATCTACTTGTTTCACATGATAAATTTTGTGTACAATACATATTTTACCGCTGCGAGCAGTATATATGAATAGATACTAGCATGTGACTAATTCACTAAGAAAATTGTTCAGTGAATGTCATTTTTTGGTCTTTTTATTTTGCTCAAAATTAAAGTGAATTTTTCTCATCATAGATCTAAATAAGTAATTTATTGGTAGATTTTATACTGAATGGTAGATGTAAAACATCTCATGTAGAGTGTTGGGAAAATGTTTATTGGTATCAAAGTTGGAAATGTTGAGCCAAAGAGTCCAATGACGTTTATATTGCTTTCAAAGTTGGATTAAGCTTAAAAAATGGAAAGCAATTGTATTTTGTGGCTAATTTTACTGCTCCAGATTAACTTGAAAATGATGTT